CACAGAGCAAGAACACGCGAGTTCACCGAAGAATTACGCGACGCGCAGGGTGTGACGTACAGCCTGGATGACTTCTCGCTGCCCTGGCGCCTAGTGCGCCACTACGCGCAGATGCAGCTGAGCACGTACAAGCTAGCGGCCGGCAACCCTGTCATGAGAGCCGCCATAGCGCGTCACAATGCGGCGCGCATGACGGACTTTCTGATCCATGTCGAAATGGCCGGTTCGCGGAGGGCACAGTTCGGCCATGGCAACGTTCACGTGGTCCAGGTATGCACGCAAACAACGCGCTCCGAAATAAAGGGGCCTCCGCAACATTTTTTGAAGGAATGGTCGAAGGCTTCATTAAGAGGGCTCGTTGCTTCACGGATCGACTGCCGTAGAAAGGTTTTAGAATCCGTCAATTACGAGCGCAGTTACCAAGATTTGCCGCACGTTTTAAGGCCTGGCCACACGTACCCGTTGCAGCGCGTTGCTTTCTTGACGCGGCGCCATGCCCTCTCTCTATGAGAAGAGAAAGAGGACACGCAGCTTCGCGTAGCCACGTGCTCTCTCTTCATGTGGATAGGGCGCGGCGTCAGAAAAACGCTAGGCCTGCACGGAAGGCGCAGCACAGTCACAGCAAAAGCAAGAAGAGCAGCCTTTTAGAGCCTTTTCTAAACACTCATTGGGTAACTACTGCAAGCACACTTGCTTTATGACCATTACGGCATTAATAACAGAAATGTTAGGGTAGTAGGTCGGCATTCGCTATGCTATTTTTCGTCATTCTTCTGAGAGGCGTGGTATCCACTAAACACTTCAAAGAAATTTTGTTTCAAGGTATTTTGTGCCAATTGTTCATGCACTGGCTTACGCCAGTGCATGGCTGAAGACGTGGGAATGCGCTACAGTTAATAACTGAACAAAAAGAAGCTTTTGGAATGGGTCGGAGCATTACACGACCCACTCATTACGCTATTCGCATTGTGCGACGACTGGTTGTTCTTTCGCTGTTTTAAAACGCTTTATAAGACTTATTAACACGATTGCTTTCCTGACATCAAGCCTGCCTAAGGCAAGTTTGCCAACAAATCCCAAGCACCGGCGTGGCTCAGTGGTTTAATAACCCAGCAGACCCGGGTTCGAGCCCCACTGTGTGATTGGTACTATGTTGTTTTTTCCAATTTCGTGCGATACGGTTACACAGACATCGACAGAGGCGGCGGAGGACAACTACGGCGCTGCGCGAGACCAGAGTTGTGATCTCACAACAGCTTTCGCTGTAAAAGCCACGCACTGCAACGGGTGCGTGTGGTCAGGCCTTTAGAACTAAAAAGCGCACTGAAAGCAATATACTCAGGGGGAGGAAGAGCGGTATGTCAATAGGCCAAGATAGTTTTGATAGTTTTGCCATATTTGAGAATAGAAATGTACCATATCATGTCTATAGTAAAAAAGCTAGACGCCAATAAAGCGGCTGGGCTCGATGCTATTACGGTTAAATTAATAAAAAATAACATAGACATTCTGGCAGACCATTTGCTGCACATGTTTCAACACTGGCAGGACTGTGGTATATACCCAAATGAGCTTAAGTTGGGCAAAGTCATCCCTGTATACAAGGATGGAGACCGATCAAGTGCATCTAATTACAGACCAATATCTGTGTTAAGTGTAATTAATACAATTTTTGAAAAAATTCTATCAGTGCAGATAACATCATTTGCACCCAAACATAATATAATTTTCTCAAACCAGCATGGTTTTCGAGCACACAGATCTACATCTACTGCAGTTTTGGTATTAACCCATCAAGTTAACAAAGCCTTGAACAACAATATGATAGCTGTCATAGTTTTTTCGGAAATAAGAAAAGCTTTCGATTCCGTCAACCACAACATCATGTTAAGTAAGCTTCATGACTACGTTTTTCGAGGCAAAATTCACCAGCTTCTCAAATCATACCTATCCGACCGCCAGCAACGAGTAGTGATGAATGGTGTAGAGTCCTCTAGTCAATCAATAGTCTCTGGGGTAACACAAGGCTCAGTTATTAGGCCCACTCTTTTTTCCCTGTACGTTAACGATTTTCCCTCCATCTTACTATATTCAGAAGCTTTAATGTACGCAGACGATACGGCACTAATCTTTGTTGGTGACAGCTTAAGAGACATCGAAGATAAAATTAACGAATAGTTACAGAGAGTACAAGTATGGTTTAAACGAAACCTCCTAAATATCAACACAGAGAAAACTAAATACATGGTCTTTCACTCTCGGAAAAAGGAACTCGACTTTGCAGGTTTCAACTTGGTTTTAGATACGGCACTGTACAGCCAGTAGCCTTAGGGGTCAGTAGCCTTAGTAGCCTTAGGGGTCAGTAGACTTAGGGGTCATGTTTGACTCGGACATGAACTGGAAATCGCATATAGAAAAGACATGCTCCAAGCTAGCATATGGGTGTCACACGCTACTAAAAGCCCGTGAATGTTTTGGCGTATCGATTTTGCGTATCCTATGTTTTGCATTTGTGCACAGTCACTTGAGCTACTGTATAGCATCGTGGGGCAGTACATATAAAACTCGTTTGAAATGTATTAGCCGCCTGCAAAAGAGAGCAGTCCGGATTATCACATACTCAAACAGGACGGATACTGCAAAACCACTCTTTCAAATGATGCGTGTACTTCCACTGGACTCTGTTCACGTCTCTAGTGTTGCTGATGTAGTGCATGGAATAATAAAACGTGATGACCCATTCCCACTAAGCACCTTTACGTTACCCGCGCGCTGTACAAGAGCTGCAGCGAATCACTGTTTTAATTTACCGATAGCCAGAAATGCCTATGGTCGAAGGCTCATAGAATTACACGGCGCTCTCATACGGAATGAGATATCGACTGATGCGAAAGAGGCTAGAAATTTTTCATTGGCCATGAAGCATGCACTTCATGTGAACTTTCTAAGGTAATACGTCTGTATAGTCATTTAGTATTATTATTATTATTATGATGAGCATTATTCTAGTGCTATTATTATTCTGTGCTATAAGTAGCTATGTTCTGCGCTATGTTTCTTTGTATAGTTCAATCATGCGTTTTTTGCTTTTTTTCTATTTTTAAACATTGTATCCAGTTTGATGTCCTTTGTCGCTGTGTAACCGCTTGCGCAAGTATGCAAGTATGTCACACAATTGGTCCCTCTACTAGCCAGTTAGGCTACAGGACCAAACAAGTGTTTGCCAAGTTTTTTGTTACAAGGATGTGAAAGTTACAAAAAAAAAAAAAGATGATCCATTCATTCGTCAGCCCGCATTGTGACCTTGAAAGAACTTTTCCTTTTGTCTCCGAAAAAGCGGCTTATCACGAGCTCGCGCGCAGGCATGTGGCATCTCGCAGCAATCGCGGCGTCTCAGGATGCTTATTCCTCCATACAGCTTGTGTGGATTTTATTTATTTTTTGCTTACCTTGTATGCACCTTACTTGAAGCAGTGAAACAAATGTCGCCCCGTATTGCAGGCATCTGGGCTGGTGTCCGAAGTGAACGTGTATGTCATAGCGTCCTTGGTGACTGCTGTAGTGGTCTTGTTCACCACCTACTGCGCCTACATCATCGCTAAGAACGTGACCCGCCTCCTGATGGATTCTGCGCCACGGCCTGTACCGCAAGAGCAAACTCTTCTCTTGCAAGCGGCTAAGTGATGCGCACTTTACATTCAGGCCTGCCACTATATGAAATCACAAAAGCCCACTCGCTGTACATCATATCGGCTAAGGAGCGAAGTCACATATGGGCAGAACTGCGCGTTTGGCACTGCAGACTTCTGCTCCGTGTCACTGTATATCACAAGCTGATCCCGGCACCGTGAAAACTGTCACGCCGCGTGACAGCGCATGGTGACGTTTCCTGCATGTTTAGCTTCGACTCTCGAGTGCGTGAATTATTCACATTGATCAAACAGGCTACTCATGGCCTGCAGCATTTTTGCAGTGTTAACACCATTCACTCCCATTTTATGGAAATATTCGTAAGGACCACGCACTCTGCTGTTTCAAGTGCAAAGCACTTAGGGCCCCAGCTGGTCATCCATCCGTACATCTAATGTAGTTATAACATTGAAAGCCATAACAAGAGCAGCAATGCGCAAAATTGAGCTTAAAAAATTGGAGGGCACTTGAAGCATAATCGGGACTTGTGCGCATCGCCTTTTGAACTGCTAGCCTGCTTCGGTTCTTGGTGCGTGCCTCAACTGTGCCATTTGGGAGCGAATGACTGTGCATGCAACATCAAACGTTTCAATTTTAAAAGTATCATTGAAAGCCCATAGCATGCAACACAGCTAAGCGTCCACTACATATCCACAGAGCAATAATAAGCGAACCTACGCAGCTATTCCTTTTGTCATGTTTCTGCTGCGGATAATGATAAAATTTGAGTGCATATGGGTCGGCCTTTAAAGCGCAATTCACATCGTTTGACGCCTGGCGCGAGGTCAAAGCTTCCGTCACACAATATACGACGCATTAATGAGACTACATCCACTTCATGACATTTATATAGTGCTTTCTTCAGAAGCAGTTTCAACCAATATTGTAGCTCTGTGTTAGAACATCTGATTGTCACGCAGTCAGCCTGGGTTCGATCGTCACTATGACCTGAAAATGTTTATTATTTATTTAATTTGCATCTTTTGGAATTTTTCTCACGGCCAAGATGATTGTCCACTTATAACCAACACCAGAATGTTTGTGAAATCAGCTTTCTAACACCATCACGTTAATAAATGAGCAGTCTAAACAATATCAATGGGACAAATAACCACTTAATTGCTGTAAGTAAAAATCTCTAAAATCATTTCTAAAACTAGCGGCAGACTCCGAGGCAGCGTAGAAGCGTGCCACCACCTCACCAAGTGAAAAATGCCCATAGCATGCAGGTTGCACATAGCATGCACACTTGCACATAGCATGCAGGTTGCTATGCAACATGATATAGTGGACAAATGATGACACTCAGATATATGACAACTTCGTTTTACTTCAGGCATTACAGTTCTTCAAAGAAAAAAAAAATTGTCGTCTCGTCGACAGATGAGAAAAGCCCTGTTCAGCAGCCAGGTCAGCCTATATATGTACATTTATTGGCCACACAACCATATTGGCAGCCAATTTTCAACAAGCCAGGACAAGAAAAAAAAAGGGGGTGGGGGGGGGGAATGAGGTTTCCTTAGGGTTGCAAGAGCACGAAGTCCAGGCCAGTACTGCTCTGGTTAATCGTGCTTGTTCAAAGTATGCTACGCTTGCAGGAAAGCCTCGCTTCTGCTTTCGAACAACAAACATGAAAATTATCGGCAGGCACTGGCATCGAATTACTTAACTGGAAGGAAATGAACCAGGCTCTCACCTTGCTGCTTAGACTGTATTGCACCCCTTGTAGCTGAACGGACAGTAAATGTGATGGCATGAGCGGCCAATCGCCGTAACTTTAGCAATTAACTTTTCTGTAATTGCTTTTTATGCTACAGTGTGCATTGCTAAAAGGATCACGAAATGTTCAGCATATGTGGGCCATAAAGTTAAAAAAGAAAAAGAAAAGAAAGCATACCAAAAAAACGTGCGCAGATGGCTTGTATTGATGCCATCACGATTGCCATGCTGTTAAACCACTAACGCCAGCACAGAGCTGCATAAATTTCGGCATGCTCATTTCAGGTTTGCAACTTAAATGTTCAGTGAAAGTACACTAATTTAAATACAAAGATGGCTGCAGGGACGTTACATGCCATCTACTACTCTGGAGGTTTCTCGGCAAGACATTCTTTCATAAATGCACGGAACACGAAAATGCTGCAATGTAGAAACATTACTGCAAAAAGAAAAACTGTTGCACACTCGACGCATGACAGAAACGGAAAGCATTTAGGAATGTAAAACAATCTCTACAAGAAAGCCAGTCTTCCACACAGCTCCGAGAGATGCCAGGTTTCTTTTTTTGCAGGCATAGCCTTTTCGCACTTCTGGCTGAATTTGCACTCACGTCGAATGTAACGGCAGCAAGAGGTGCGACGGTCACCGAGTGGAATCCTTCGTAGGCGCCACAGAGAAAGCAAGAGAGAGAGAAAAAAAAAAAGTCTAAACGCTAGTCCTTTCCTCTTTTTCTTTTCGCCTATCCAACCGCGGAGATGATAACCTGGCAGACATCAGGGTCTTTGCTTCGCACAGCGAGGTTCATGGTGACACCTTGCGCAATGCCTGTGGTTGCCAGCCGTGCCCGCACCAGGACGTCATGGCCGCCCCGATAGACGCCAGCCAAGAGTAGCGTGTGCGCGCTCTTGCCGTCGGGCACTTTGTCCGAGCGTTCGCACACTTGCATGCCCAGGAACTGGATGATCTGCTGCACAGCATCTGCGAGCAAAAACGGCACCACCAGAAGAAGTTTCGCTCAGTTTGTCTAGCATTACCTTATTTTCTTGAACTTCACAAAAGAGAAGCCGGCCAGCCATCATTTTAAAAGAATGTTTACGACCAGTTCGAGCCTTTACAAGCACTCATGGCATTCAATTTTCATGCATGTTATCTTGGAACAGTAAAAAGTAAATATATGTAAAAGGAGTACATATGCTGCAGCGAAATGATTCTTTACGCATGAACCATTTTCTTTTATAGATTTCGCAGTCAATGCAGTCGAAACCAGTAGACTTTCACAAACTTATCTTTGACCATAACAAAAAGTACACTTATTCTGTCTGCAGTCTTGACATTTTATAGAATCCTACTTTTCTATTTATTGTATTGAGTTAGGCCAAACAAATGTGAACAACTCGGACACTACGATTTCTGTATTTCCGTTTAATCTTAATCTCCAAGTAAGTGAAAAGTAGCATCTATTGTGGATTTAATTCAATTCAGCTATAATATCAAGAATGATAATAGTGGCTAGAAAGAGCAGAACCAAGAAGCAGTCAAACTAACAGCTAGTTCAAAGCCCACCTTGCAATGTCTTCATTGTGCTGAGAGCATAGGTATCCTCCACTTGGTTGTCATTGCCAAGCTCTTCCCAGGAGGCGGCAAAGTTGGCCTTGAGAACCTTCTGTACATGATCTGCCACTGTTACCTCAAGGTCTTCCAGCTGAAATTCCGTATTCCAGGCATCTAAGAAGCCAGCACTTAGCTTTCAAGATTAACCAGCATGCTGACCTTCCAGGAACAGCCAATTCGGGTAACATAAAAGGCGAACAACAGAAGAAGAAGCCTCAAGTCCCCATCATGTAAAGCTAACTTGCACCATGCACAGTCAAACCCCTTTACACGAGATACTGATGTAAGTGATAAATGTGTCTAAGAGACAGCAGTGCACCTACACTGAAATGGCAGTTGATAAGAAAACAGCAGTGTGCCTGCACTGAAATGGGGGTTAATAAGAACTCGTACATGGTACCTTGCTTATAAGAGACAGCTCAAATAATAAAAGACAAGAATTGCTGCCCAGTGCATGTCCCTTGTAAAGGGGTTCAACTGAACTACACTGAAAACCACATCACAACAAAGTTGCGTCTTACACGAAAATAAGTTTGTTATATCCGAAATTCGTTATAAAGATTTATTTCTAACACTGCACTTATTGCAAAACTACTTTTTATTTATTTTGTTATAACCTATACAGTTGCCGGCCGATTTTTCGGACCTGGTGGGGATCGAAAAAAGTCCAAAAAATTGAACAGTTCGTTTTTGTCAGAAATATGAACTTTATTGCATCAAGCAGGCTTAGAAAAGTCCATGATTCTGCCTTGCCTCATACTACGATTGGAAGCAATTTGGTTTGCCCATATTTGCGCCAAGGTGACATCGTCACCGTAAATGCTTGACAAAAGCGTCACCGCGGTGCCGGTCTCCGCTGCTGACAGCTGCGGGCGATCGTCGTCATCATCTGAACCGCTCTCCAGCTGCGGCACAACCTGGCGAAGAATTTCTTCGTCTGTGGGCTCCGTGCACGAAATTGTCATTGTCCGCACAAGCAAAGTCTTTAAATAGGGAGTTTTAGAATAACTTTTGCAGGCGCTGCGATTGTTGCGGGTATAGCGGATGCATTATGAGTTCTAGAATAGTGTTTGCTCCCCATCAGGATAGGTATAGGGACATTCGCCCCGATCACAAACTCAGATGCACGGAAGCTACACACAACACTTTGCGGGCCTCACGGGCCGCGATCGCCGCACGCTATTTCAGATTTTTCGCAGGCAGGCCGCAAACGGCGACTCTCGTTACGACGCATGCGCAGTGGCAGCGACCGCACCGCAAGGGCTCGCAGTGCGCTATTCTAAAACTACCTAATGCCATTGTGGCAGGCACATTTACTCTACTACTGCACAGCTTCCCCTTCTCCCTGTATGGTACGATGACGACAGTGCTGACAGAAGACGAGAAAATGGTCTCGTACCGCGTTTTCTAAAGCAGACTCAGCCTCCGAAACTTGAAATATGACGTGCGAGCTTGTGATGAATGCATGCTACTGTTAGGTGGATCACTACTCACCACGTACTCATCCTCGTAACCTTCGTCATCATCAGGTTCACCAGTGTTGGGGTCACAGTCCTTGACCAGATACTTCAACGTGTTGCTGAATGTTCCTGCGACTGAAGTGATATGTTTAAGTTCAAGCATTAGAACACCATGCGCATAACCTTGTTTGTAAAGATTTGTGTGTAAAGACACGAAAAGTGTTATTGCCACAATATAAATGATATTATGCTTGTCTTGTTTATGCATCTACTACTGTCCTGTTTTAGCACACTAAACATTTTTAGTGATGCATCCACCTGCACAGCTTTCCACACTTGTCATTACTGCCCAAATTGTTGCATTTGCCCAAGAGAAGTGAGCTCATCCGGATCATTACATCCCTGAGTTAAAGGGACACCAGCTATCAGTGTCATTCCACTTTAAATAAATGCAATATCTTTCTTTACTAAGGTTTGCAGTGCTTTTTGGATAAGCACTACATTTTTTTATTCTTGAGTAACTTATTTGTTCTAACGTACAGAGTCAAATATTGGTATATACTCAAGCCTCATTGTAACAGTCACATCTGCCACAAAAATATTTTGTTACATCCAAAAATTCCTTATAAAGGATTACTTGTAACAATGTATTGATGGCAAAACCATTGGTCCCTTTGTTATAACCGATAATTGGTATACATGAAGTTCATGGTGTAGAGCACATGGATAAATAAATGAAGTTTTGTCATTGTAGAATCAGTGATAGGAATATATATTTACAGTTGAACCTTTTTATAAGAGACATTGATGTGATACGAATGGGTATCAGAAACTCTTAATGCGCCTGCATTAAAGCAGGGGTTGATAGGAAAATGCAACCATGGTGCCTTGCTTGGAAGGACAAAAATTCCTCCCCAGTGCATGCCACTTACACAGGGGCTGAAGTGCATAATGAGTTTTCGAATATACTGAAGTGATTTTCGTGTCAGACGAGACTTCATTATAATATTGTTTCAATGTATAAACAGCTTTCTTTAGCTTTAAATAGTCTTCTGCATTAGCCCTTTAGCTTTACTGGCAAGGAGGACTTTTCTGCTGACATAACCTGTCATGGTGGAGTCACAATAATAATGAGAACTAACAGAAAATGATGCCAAGGAAACCAGAGGAGACGTTATTAGAAGAAATTGTAATGTAAATGTGAAGGAATAAAAGTGGACGAAAAGGTAACTCGCCACTGGCAGGGACTGAACCAGCGATCTTTGAACGAATCCCCAGTACTTTCCTTGGCATCACTGCCTGGTAGTTCTCAGTAATATTGTGTCTAACTAAGAAAACAAGCTCTTGAATTCATACTTTGCTTCGTGGTGAAGTCAAGGTAGATCAAGACATCCAAGTCAGGTGCTGTTTATACTTACAGCGCATATGAATGGCACATGTTAGACACACGATGTGCCTAACTGTGGGGCCACTACGCAAATATACATACCCAGGAGAGGGTCTTCGAGCTCCATTTCAAGGCAGACATACGCCGTCCCAGGAACATTGTAAGCCAGCTTGGGACAGGACACCTCTGCGATAACATGGAAGCCTTCTGCTGGCTCCACAGCTACGCGCACGTGCTCTAAAATCTGGTCGTTGAGTGTGTTGGTACAATCGAACTGGAGAGAAAGCGGAGAGGGACACCACGGTCACACCAAAAAGCAAGGTGGTAAGCTAATAATCCTGAATAAGAGAGTCCTAAATTTAAGCACAAGTCTCAAGCATTTCCGCCTTCATAAAGATGTGGCCGCAGTGGGTGGGATTCAATATCATGACTTAGGCCTCAGTTATAAGCTAGCCATCTTTATTAAAATGCAAGAAGCTTTTCTTTTTAAACAAATCCTTTTCAGGAATACAGACCACGAACAAGATGGCGAAAAGAGAGTGACAAAAAGACAAGGTCCTCTGTAAGCAATGCTTGCATGCAGCATGCTCGGTGCCTGTATTTAATCCGAAACCAATCTATGAAAAAGATTGCGCACAGTATGTATTCAATGAGGCCGTAAATTCTGGGCTAAAGTTTGCCTACCTTACACCAAGCAACGAAATCTTCAAATTTAAGCTTCTATACTAGTTTATTAACCAATGCACTCGAGGACAACTCGACCTAGATTTGAATGAGCGCTGTTATTTGCGCCAAGAGGAGGTCCTCACCTGTAATACAATGTGCCTGCTGTAGACGTGTTTGATGCACTTGACGACGTACTCAGTTTCAGACTCTGTGAGGCTCACGGCAGGTGAGGACTTGAACAGTGGGCCCAGGCCGAGAGCCACAAGCTCGGGAATGTTGGCCAGTTGTTCTGCAATGACGAGGTAATTCAGCAATCTGGCCGGTCCCACTTTTAGACTGGTCTTTAAGAGACGAGGCTCACCTGCATACAGATCTTGTCTAGATGCAGCCACTTTGTCCGGTTTGCCCTTAGGTACAGCCTCTGCAACAAGTCAAAGAAGTTACAGTCTCAGTTATCCAAGAGTACAGCTCAAAGTACAGCTCTCTGAACCTGTCTGGCCTTTTTTATATGAACACACACAATAGAAAGCTACTGTTCAAAGAATCATGGGATCCTTATCTTGAGCCAAAGGTTTGAAAACCACTGTCTGCGAAGCTATATATACATTTGTGTGTTCCTAAGCCTTGAGGTATGCCCCTTTTGGTACTTGGCCACATTACGAACCTTAGTCAACAATCTGGCTTTCAAAGTTTTCACAAGTTCTTCTGAAAGAAACATTAGGGCCTCCCGAGACTTAGGCAAAAATTGCACTATTCATTTTCAGGGACTGCAAAACGGGGATGTCAAATGTTCTATTGGCATGAAGCATTAAAGATGCAGCAGAAAGTGAGGACAGATCGAAAGAAGCAGATGAGAGTTTCACTGTGGTACATCTCCATGCACTTGCAAGATAGTAATGACTCGCAGCCTAAGCATTGCTTCTCAAAGTGCCACCAAAGAGGCACAGACATCCAAGTTTTAGGTTACGTTAGTTTTACCACAGACCATTGCAGAAGCTATACACAGACATGCCCCACATTATGCCTCACACTTCCCTCGCATCACCTCCACACTCTTCTAATGTTACTCCAGTACCACACAGCAGGGGCTACAAAAAAATAGACGAGAAGAGTGGGGGGGCAGCAGGTCCTTGGGCACTACTTTTTTCTCAGCCTTCGAAAACAAAGGGCGGTAGCACCCCTCCCCCTCCAGCTTTGAGTTTATATGATTGGGACATACAATGTGAGAATCACTGTGCATGGCCTTTTTACTAAACTCTTGCTGCATATCAGCTGTGAACATGCATCTGTTCTTTATGGTTGGCAACTACAATACTAGAAATTGAGTTCCTAGAAGCACCAATTTTTCATTGCAAATCAGCATTCAAAATGATTCAAATAAAACTCAGTAGTTGGATCACGTTTTCTTGACTGCAGGTTTCTAGCCATAGTAGGTTGCTAATAAACAGTCAAGCAGATGTCACAGGGAAGCCAACGAAAACACTCAGCTCTGCGAATGTACTAAGCCCCGCCCCCCTTCTTTTACAATTTGAAAAACCCTTTTAAAACTTCTGCTAGGTGCATACAGCTTCCGTGCAACGATGATCAACTTCTTCCTCATTGTGGTATCAGTGTTACGCTAAAGAGGGAGAAATTGCCAAAACTTTGATGTCTTTCTCGTTAGACAGACAAGGCGACAGAGCACAACACACTTTGCGATGCATGGACACAGAAAGAGCAAGCAAAGAGAGGAGGAAAAGGAAAGAGGCAGACCACCAGGTGGGCTGGTGTCAAGAACAGGCGTGAGCACAACCATCTTGATGGCCGCTTCAAGCAGGAAGGGAACATGCGGAGAGACAGCAGTGAAGCAGTAACACGAAATCAGATGGCTGTGAAAGGCAGTATAGTACATAAAGCAAAAGTGGTAACGCTGAACATGCTCACTGTACCAGGCCCAGATTCACAAAAGTTCTTAGCAGTAAGCTTGTCAAAAGAAGCTTTGTTGCATGTAACTTTTTCAGTGTTTGCTTTCGATTCATTGATTGATTTTCGGGGTTTAGCGTCCTCAAAATCATTATATAATTATGAGAGATGCCGTAGTAGAGGGATCCGGAAATTTCGACCAGCTGTGGTTCTTTAAGGTGCACCCAAATCTAAGTACACAGGCCCACAACAAGTGTTTACTTATAGTGCTGCAGTAACTGGAGAAGTAATATTTCTTGATTGGCATAGCTGTAAGCCTGGGGACCTCGAAATTAGGGGATTAGCAGAGTGAGGAAGGAAGGGCACATGTGCGTTGGCATGACGACTGCATGGGCGTCGGCAGGAGGAGCAGTTTCGCAATTCGGCCCTCCGTCAGGGTGCAAATGCAGCAGTTAGGAATCGTACCCATGACCTGATGATAGAAGTTGTGCAAGCCTGTGCCATAAAGACTACTAATACTGCAAGCACACAGTAAAGACTCTCGCATGTTGCTACAGACATGATGCATATACAGCTATGCAGCCTTTCAAGACATTTTTATGGACAATGCAAAAAAGCAGAAGCACAGCCTCGGAACACAGAGTAACAAGTCATTAGTGATTATCATTGTACGCTAGCAAGCAAAGAAATCCGTACGCAGACGACATCAGTGAAAAGCGAGTGTATCATGCTAGAGCGATTGCACAGGGAAGATTGTAATACACAATCACCCACATACTGTGCATGAAAGATGACATACAAGAATGGCATGCATATACTGTACTTTCTCATACATGAAAGACAAAGTATACACAGAATTTTCAGCAAAAGTAGGGGTGCGAGTACTATATCACAAAGTTCAGCGAATAAGTTGGCAGCGGGCAAGTTGCAAGGAGGGCGGCTTCACAGCAATACGCGAAGATAGTTCGTAAAAATTACTAATGCAGGGGCAGGTTATATGTACGAAAGCACGGCACATACACACAGCACTACGAGTATGAGTCAACCATTCTTTGTGCCTCATCTTTTGTGAGCTGCATGCAGAAGAGGAAAGCAGAGCTTCCAAACACATTTAAAGATGCGAGAGCACAAAGACCAGCATTGCACAAAGAAGTGCACAGCTCCCAAACTTCGTGCAAGAACGCTGATCTATAAATGAAAAAACACTAAACTTGCGTGCTTGGCCAACAGGCCGTCCCACTCATTCCCAAATTTATGCAACTCAATACAAAAGAACTGCATTCTCTCCTAGTCACCGCAAGAGGAACAGTTGTAAGAATGCTTACGTCCAAAGGTACCAGCTGCCACAATAGATGCTGTGAAAGACAGAAACAGTTCTTCAGTGTTTGATGTCTAAGCTGTGCTCTACGCAGACGCTCACAAACTGAGCCCAAGGGCAGTAATGCAGCCTGATATCTTTGTACAGCTCCAAATGTTAAGCTCAAAAGGAGGTTCGTAACTAATGTTTCATGTATTTCTTTCAACCTCCAATGGAAGCCTTTTTTGGGCACCAAAGGTATCTTGAGTGGTGACAGATAATTGCACTGTAGATATACTAAATTGATAGGAAGAAACTGCATATAACATTCAGGAGTAACAACTTATTAGAGAAAAATACACTTTTTTATCAAAAAAGATTGCCATGACAATTAAGAAAATTTTGTCTTTTTTGTGCACCAATTTTAACACACAATAATGCAACTGATTTCCAATAGGACACCCAGACAGATTTCTCCCTCAGGTCTAAAACCCTCAACTCTACCAGTGGCTGTAAAGTTGCAGAGGCAGGCTGTATTCTGAATTGAGAACTGTATTTTGAGTGTGATGCCTTGACAGAGCATGATTGCACCAAGCACATTTCCCACTGTTCTCTTACAGTAGTCTTGTTTTGTTTTTGTGAAAAGTAAACTCAGCACAATTTTAGCTGCAGAAAAGGAGGAAAAAAAAAATATGTACCAAGGCCCAATCTCTAAAAGATATACGAGCAGTTAGAAAGGTTTCTATGGTTTTTGTAAATACTGATAAAACATATTCTTAAGCTTTACTCAAAGGCAAATTAGGAGAACTGGACACATGAATCGCATCAAGCTAAGTGCAGAAACCAAAAGCCATTACCTTGCGCCTTCTTCTCGATGGGCTGTGTGGCGATGGGTACACTGTTGATGTCGAACGGAACATCACCTGGCTCAGCAACGTAGTGCTGCAACGCCTTCTCAAGGCCTACTATAGACACCTGCAGTCCTGCGAATGTGACATAGAACTTCCTTCAATCCATCTTATCAGAGAAGGCATTCATTGTTACAGTTTATGTGTGCAGAAAGCCGTGCAGTAGAGGGGCACAACAGTGTGGCGGCACTCGATCATGCAAATCACTGCGGTGGGGCTGTCTTTTCGGAACCACTACGCCTGTAAGCAGATTAGAGCAGACAGGTGTCGCAGCGAACTGGGATAATTGTATGGTTTTTCAACTTCATCTTGGCCAAGTTGGTTTACACATACGAAATCCATTGACAACATGAACAGAGGAATGTGCATCGTGTGTTCTCTCCTATGTACGTGTTTCTTTGTGATACAGTGACTATTGTATGCGAACTTACGCTGTTTCAGGCCTGCAATCATAGTAGAAAGTACAAAATAACTTTTGAGAGCAAAAAATTTGGAAGGCTCGGATGACCTTATACGCTTTCTTTACAAGGTGCTTGGCAGTGTGGTGAAAGCGATAAAATTATTGGGCAAGTCTGAAAAATAGGTCATCGACTGTACTGTATTTGCATCACTTTTGCATGAACATACATGTTGGTTAGTGTCAGATCTGCATAACATTGGGTTTAATACTTACCTTAACATCAAAAACAGCTTTGCAGAATATGAATTTCTAGACACTCATGGGAATTGGAGAACTTCTTTAGCATTAACCAACTCTTTATGTTGGCTGTGCACATTTACAAAAACAGCCCAATAAACCCTTTTTGTAATCCGAGTGCAGTTTTCCTGCACTGCATATTCGGCCCAACTAATGACAGCACTAGTCGCACTTCAAGTGGTGATGAGGTACTAGTTGCTAAAGCTGGTCTATAACGAGTATTCGTATCAAGAAGGCCGAGTCAGTGTTTCAGTCAGTCAAAGGCTGAGTGAAAGGGCAGAGTCAGTCAAGCAAACTGCACTTGAACACGCTGTTTCCAGCAAGTGGCTAACTGCCATTAGCTAGGGCAAACAGCGTAGCAGGGAAAGCCAGCTATACAATTATGAAAAAGGTCTATTCCAGCCCCCAAAATCGCAGCTGCGCAATATCTCACCGTCGAGAATGTAGCGAGTGCCCAGGGGCTTCTGTCGTTGCCTCAGAACATGAAGGAAGTAGGCAGCCCGGTCGCGCACCTCGTCGTCAGTGTCAAGGAGCGAGCGCTCGAGCAACACCAGGATGTTAGGGCAGCAGGTCGTCGCAGTGCGCACCAAATTTCGCCAGGGCACTCACCGCAGCTGCGCAACAGGGACACGTCGTTGAGTCAGCTTTATGCTGTGTTACTCATTAGTCAAGTTTCAGTACGTTTGCAATAAAACATGAACGCTGCACTTTCAACTAAACATATGCTTGGAAAACACAGCCTCAATACTTACAGTGGAGCTTAAACTATATTCCCCCGGTTTCGTGAAGACCCGCGTTTTATGACAAATCGGTATGGTCTCGGCAAAAGTGGCATGAAAATAATGCATTAAAAATCTTGGTTATACGATGTAGTATTTATGCCGACCCCACATCTCGCGACAACTTTTAGATTACGTCCGATAGAATAAAAAAAGCCTTTATTCAAATTAAACTTTCTCTAAATATTCCACAAGCACAAAATATGAACTTTGCGTTTTTTTTATGTTGTCGATTAGAAAAGTAGAGACAGGGTTAGAATGGAAACTTTATTCTCCACAGCAAGTTCACGCAGCTTCTAGATATGCCTCAATCGCATACATGCGTATCAGTAGTTGCTATCTATTTAAGCTCTATCCACACAGAGTGGCCTCAGTCTGCCAAAAAGCTGGTATTTTCACGTTTTTGGTCCGTGGAAACTTTTCCTGGCCGACATACAGCTGATCGCCTGTCCTCGTTACAGTCGCAACTGCGCCGCACCCATAAGGACGCTATGCAGCTGTCTTCACAGTGAATAATTACTTTCACTTGACGTCAACGTTCACAATAAGTGGGACATCACTAGTTGCGCTACACAAGTGAACAAATTGCACTGCAGACAGCTCAGTCGCACACGAAGGCATTCTACACCAACTGGTGGTTCGTCATGTGATAGCTATGACACTGACTATTCTGACGGGAGGGCTGTTGGCAACGCGGTTTTGGTTTCATTTTGAGACACAGCCAATTTTCGGATTCTGTTTATCGGTAGAAAGATGCGCGCTGTATCAGATTTTACTTAGTTGGATGAGGTGCGAGATTCGTTCGCAACTCCTCCAACTAAGTAATGCTGCCACTGGCAAGAATAATTTAATCTACCTTTCTTGCAAGGGGTCGTGCTGTGGGCTTATTCAGGCGCTCTGTACCCACTTTTTGGGCAAGGCTGAGTGTCACTGCCTACAATCTTAGTTCTTCGATTATACGATACCCGAATTATACAGCAGTTTTGCATGGTCCCACCCATCCCCACACAAGAAAGTTTCTTGTACAGCACATATGCTAATGTATTTGGCAATAATTTCATGCCATTCGAACACTTCTGTTATTGACGCTAGAGTGTGGAGGGCAGGCATACCTTTGCATTTCAGAGATTGGCATTGAAATGAGCCATCTTTAAAATTATCAGCTCGTTTAAAGACCTTAAAATTAGAGCTTTAAGTCCAGAAATTGTACACGAGTTATAGAAGATGCTGCAGCAGAGTGCTTCGGACTAGATTCCAACCACCTGAACTTCATAAACAAGCAGTTGGCAAGTAACACGCTCAAGTATTTTCGTGACATCCGAACAGAGAAATCACCATTGTTAATATCTAACTTTCCTGCACAGCGAACTCAATAATGACCACTCTAGTCAATTCTTCACATTCCACCATCACTGGAGTGTTCAAATGTCTAAGATGGTGCAGTGCATGTGTCTTACTCACCGGCACGCACCGGGGCGTTCTCCAGGATGAGTCTGTTGTACATGAAGCGGATGTAGCGGGACGGCGTGGATCCCTGGGGTCCCTCGCGGCCAAGCAGGCAGAGGATTCGCACTGCCAGGCTTGTGTGCTCGCAGTCCTCAATGAATTCACACAGGTGTGACAGCCCTGTAGTGTTGAACCAAGTCCCAGCTTGACACCGACTCAGTCGCCAGTGTTCAACATACCAGTTCTATACTGCTCAATTGGGTTTAGAACATCCGGTCATGTTTTATTTCGTGTGGTTCCCATCCCAGATTATTGTGATATGCTTATTTGTTCTATAACTCAGTCTAGGAAGAAATCTCCCTACCAAGAAGGCACATTAAAATTTTGAAAAGAAGAAAACCTACATATTGTACTAGAAAAATAATTGCAATATTTAAAATCTGACCACAGATACATAAACAAGTTCAATCAAAATCGATCAAGAATTTAAAGATAAATTTTCAAGCACAGTGTTACACGAACAAACCGAGGGCACATCTACATACAGTGCACAATTGTTAATTAGCATTTCAAGAGGACGGGAGATTTGTTCTACACTCGAACTTCCATATCACAAATTTGGATTACAGTTGAACCCGTTTATAATGAACACTAAAGTGCCACGATAAATGATTGTTGTGTATGTTAGTATTCTTTGTATATGGACACACCTATAAAAACATCCACTTAGTGGCCAAATCGTTTTTTTTTTCTGTGTATTTTTTATGAAAAAGCGCGAACGACCCCTTCACTGACAAGTTAGGCCTTTTCACGTGTTACCCCACTGATATCAATCAAGAATTCATAGAGTGAATTCTTGATTGATATGTAAGGTTTAACATCCCAAAACCACCATATAATTATGAGAGATGCCGTAGTGGAGGGCTCAGAAATGTCGACCACCTGGGGCTCTTTACGTGCACCCGAAATCTGAGCACACGGGCCGACAGCTACGAGTAAATTTGACCATGTTTGTAATGAACTCGCGCCGTTACACTGAAGCGCGGTACATCCACGTCGAACCAATCATTTCTGACTATGTAGTTGCGTGCAGCACGTTGCTTACTCAGTCTCGCAATCGCATGTCAGTTTACTTGCACTTCCAATATATGCATGTGTTCGTGCGTTCTTTGCGCATGCTTCACTCAGGAACGTGCTTGGTTGTGGAGAGTAGCCTGTTCATTCAACACAACAAAGGATTTTGCGAACAACGTGCCAATGTCTCCTTTAAGGATGCGACGACAGTGAACCTGCGAATGGCAGCATGACGCACTTGTATTGCCGTCACTCAGCCAAACAGCTATTGTCTGATGACTTGTGATGAGGTTGCCGGCGATGAGTCAAAATGGCACGTTCATTGCCACCTAGCCATCTCACCATCGCTCTTTTTTTTTATGCTTATCCGTATTGCCGCAACCGGGCGGAAGTCGTTATAACTAATCGACCAGTCTTTCCCATTACCAAGAGGTGGAAAACCTTTTTGCGGCAAATTGTGGTGTCGTGAGAGTAGAGCTTTGCAGTGAACTTCTATGCGACAAAAGTTATCGCTTTTTGAACTGATGGCTTCTTGCTTTCGAAGGCATTGTCAGTTAATCATCGCATGTTGTAGATGCCAAGAACGGTGTCAGAAAAGCTTGCCAGGCAAAGCTGACCTCAAGTCGTTATTCCTCACTTTCGTTCTGCTACAGTGGCTAGAAATGTTCTGCTGTCGAAGAAATGTCTGGAAAGTGAGTGACCTCGCTCACAATGTCCGAAATCTGCGTGCGGTGCTCGATGCGGTCTATGATATCTTCGTTGCAAGTAAACAGCAGATGGGCACACGCGAGCGCGGGCTTAGTACATGCTTTAGTGTCTTTTTCAACACTTTTTTTTTTCCGCTTCGTATGCGCCATATTTTTACCACAATGGTGTCGGAAGTGTTCATTGTAAATGTAGGAGGCTTTGAAAAGTGTTCGCTGTATGTGGACTCAATTTCAAAGGGCAGCATAAGAAAATCGTCAGTGCACCAAGCTTTAGTCGTTATAACCGATAGATCGTTATATCTGGGATCATTATAAATGGGTTGGACTCTAACGAAATATTGTTTATAGCGAAGTAAATGAAGAATAATCTCTCAATAGACATAGAGAATTTCTAGTATAACAAACTTATTTTTCTGCAAGATGAAGCTTTGTCGCCCGCTGCGCGCTGACGCGGGCCTTGCAGGACCACAATAAAGTGTTGCAACCAACCAACCAATGCAGCTTTGTTATCATGAGGTTTGAGTGTATTACATAGAATCTTGCTAAATGAAACCTGAAGATACCGGGAAATGATGTCCCATTCAAAAGTAGTATTGTTGTGAGCGCCTACCTAGAATGTGTGACAGCACGTATGGTGGAACTAAACTTGGAAAAATCCAAGCGCCTACCCTCAATATTCAAACTATGAAAACCCCCGTTGGCTACTAGCATTGGTCTGATTGATGTTAATCATTGCAGGAAGCTCACCAACATCCTTAGCCTCTGGGTTGTCCTCAATGATGTGAATGACTGTGTCCACAATGGCCTTCTTGTACTCGAAGCCGCCCTCATCGCGCAACATTGACGCCAAGAACGTCATCAGCACCAGCAACTTGCGGGGAAACTTTTGGCACAGTGACCTGCAGAGGCAAAGGTTGGCATCGCAGTTGCACCAGAGCACGACTAATATTTGCTGTCGAGAATCAGAAACAATGAGCACAACTTTAATCGCTAAAGGCTTGCTCTGCCTGTAGCACTCATCGGGGTCAAAAGACCAAGGCTCAACAGAGGCGTTTTCTTCTCACAGCTCAATGTGCCCTCAAATCAAGAAAGACGCAGCAAGTCATCAAAGAAAAATGACATGTTAAGAGACAAGAAAAGAGCATTATGGGTCAAGGAATGAACTGGTGTTAAGGACACCTTACTTGCAAATCAAGAAGAAAGATGGGCAGGTCATGTAGCGTAAGGAAAGCTAACCGCTGCACATCAAGGGACACTGACTTAATTCCAGGAGAAGGCAAGTACATGAGGGGGATGTAGAAAGTTGGTAGGGAAAATAAGTTTGCAAGAATAAGGTGGCTGCAGAAAGCACGAGACCAGGTTGATTGAAGAAATTTGAAAGCGGCCTTTGTCCTGCAGAGGGCTTAGTCAGGCTGATGATGATGACGAAGCATTTGTTGTGCTCCATTTGATTTTTCACTCTTTTTTAACACTTTTTGCAGACTTTCCAATCCAGGTAATAAAGGCACAATGGCGAACTCTGGGAACTACACCAGTACCAGAGACATCGACAACAGGACAAATATCTGCTGCTCTGATTTGTCACGGCAACATTTCACGACTGCAAGTGGTGAACTGGGCCCCTTGGTTTACCATATACTGCTTCATGATTTTAACGGATCTTGTGCTCTCGCAAATGTAGCATGTCTGTTATCCCAACCAATAACGGCATATAATCTCCTGGCATGTGATTACAATACCATAATTATCTGGGTAGCTTACAAGCTCATTCGTGAAAAGAAATCACAGCTTTGCTCCTTCGAGTAGACTACCCCCTGAAGAGAAAACAAAGCAAACACTGACCGAATGGCGTGGACGACGACAATCTTGAACTCGTCCGAGATGTCCGACATGAAGGAGGTGATCTGCTTCATGAGGCGCTCTATGCTGCTCTCGCTGCCCGTCTTGAGCAGCGTCGTGATGGCCAGTGTTGCGATGGACCGGTTCACGTCTGTGATCAGATTCTCAAGGTCGAGATTACATGCCGTCACTGCTGCCGGGTGTGCCATTGCCACCTAATTTAGAAAAAAAAAAAAAAAACGGTTGTTTTTTAAAGGGGCCCTACAACACCTTCTGAGCATGGTCAGAAAACACTGGCCTATCGATAGTAGAGGCTCCCGAGAGCACACGAACCAGTATTATAGCTCACTGGATGGATCTTATTAAAATTTTTGCGGCCTTGAATTCGTGAGGCAATAAGTTTTTTTAGTGAACCCATTCCATGGTAACTTAAAGTGTTTCAAGGCCCCTTTAAGGCTCCCTTTCCCACAGCCTGAATTCAATGCACCTGCAGGGCCTTTAAAGTTGGCTTTGTCACAAAACACACCTGCGTAAATAGCTGGCTGCAATTGTGAAAATATGTGACATTTGACTGCAAACTTATTAGTGTGAATATTCCCTGGGTGGTGGAATAGTGTGAAATTTTCCTGGGCGGTGGAAATTATTTTGGAATACTGGTAGCAACATGTTGTGATGCCTTGTACTATTACAGTATATTAGAAATGATTGTGCCACTACCAAGGCTGGAGCTGAGTGGAATACAGCAGGTCACTAAAGCATTAGTTATGTGTGCCCTCTGAAGGTACTCTTGCACCATTAAACAACACATACTGCAATCTCTCGTTAAAACTCTGCACCACAAGATGTCACAATCAGCAATGCTAATGTCGTACACATGGCACCCAACAGGTAGCCTAGTATTTCATGTTGGCACCGACTGGTCAGAAAAGAGTGCTCGTTTCATTGACACATTATCTATTTCCAAGCAGGAATTTTCGATGTAGAAACAAATGTAATAATCGTTGGGGTATTATGTGCCAAGTAAAAAGATTATGAGACTTTACATTAAAGGGCTCTGGAAAGTTCAACCACTATAATGTACACCAACATTTATGTGCATGGGCCTCGTTTTGCCTGGATCAAAAGTGCAGCCACCTGACCAAGATAGGATCCCATGACATTCGGGCCAGCAGTAAGGCACCATAACTACTAGACTGCCGCAGCAGGCTGCAACACCAAATGGGGCTTCACCTTGTTCAGGGTGCGGACAGCTGCAAAACGCAGCGTGGGCTTGGGCGAGCTGCAAAAGAGCTGGAGCACAGACACAGCCGGCGTGAGCTCTCGCGTGGTGGTGGACCGCAGGTTGACGATGGCATGCGCTGCCTCGTAGATGACCATCTCGCTCTTGTGCCGCAGGCAGCTTTCCACAAATGCAAACATGGGGCTTTCGGGTCTGCAGCAATCGAAGGAAATTGGCAACTTGAAAGGCAGTTCATATAGCACTTCCAAAACACATAGCGAGGATTTGCTATGAAAGCACTGTGCCTTCAATAGTTTATTGAGGCTACATGATCGCCATATTGCCTTCTTCCTTTTTTTCTCCTTCTATGCCTGCCCTCTTGAAGTCCTTTCATCTTGACGTTTGTCGCTGCTCGATCTTGGCTAAGTGTGAAGAGCACACTATCAGTGCCGCAAAACTCGTAGGTCAAACTCTGCATTAGGACTATTGACAAGATTTTCTCGTGCCTCGTGGAATGCATTACTTCCTTAAAAAATGCTATCAAAAGGCTGCAATACTCACCCAACGCCATCTTCTTCAATCAGCTTGCTCGCAATTCGGATCTGTACAAAAATCGAGGAGGAAGAGAAGATCAGACACAAATAAAAAAAAGCTTTCATCACACTATCTAGTTCAGTATACTAGTATATTTATGAAAAGTAAGAAAACCAAAATATTAATTTAAAAGTTAATTCACACAAAGTACTAAGAAGCTATGCAGTGTCAAGCGATAAGGCAAATAGTGGGTTCCTATCGGACCATTCTGCATAGGATTTATCATAATGTTCTAATTAAAAATTGTCATAGCACAATTAGTTTTTTGTACACCAATCCCTGATGTATGATGCCATTCAAACAAAGAGAGATAACCAGAATGCCTACAAGTCGCACTATACAAGCATTGGCTGTACATTTACTTAAAGGGCCACTACACCATTCGCTATATTTTATCAAACATTTGAAGTAAACATGCGCATTGTGTGCAGGATGCCGTCACGATTAACGATTATACACGTGGCAGCACTACGAGCTGCTGGTGCACCACCGAGTCGAAGAAACAATCCCTCCTTCACTACGAGTCTTTCGTGTCTATGCGTGACACGCAGTTCTAATATCTCTGACGCTGCCGATCAAAATATGCTGTGATTGGTCGAGCAAGAGCCTATGACTTCCGATCACTCTGCAAGCAGCTGTCCGCGCTGCTTATTGTTCGTCATGTTTCTCGCGTGCGTGTGCCCACTCACGAATCAGCTACAGCCGCCCGTAACTGCAAAACTGCGCAAGCTAAGTCCGAGTGTTTTACGATGGCACAATGCAAGGTCCATACTGGCACGATTGGTATAGGCATGGCAGCCGCGGTTCGCCAACAAGCACGCAGCTACAACACAACCGACAAAGTCGACGGACAGAGTCGTGGCTCCGTCAAGCAGCGTGTTCAAGCAGCACGTCAGTAATGATGCTTGCCACGCAAGATTGGGGGCATGAGAGGGGCGCTCGGCAAGACGGCAGAGCGACTTGGGAGAGGATACCGTGGAAGGTAGTGCAGCAGAGAGCGAAAGGAGGGATCGTCGCGGATTTCAATAATCAAATGCGTCAAACTCGAGTTACGGCACCAATTCAAAAATTTCTCACGGCTCTGTGTTTATCGTATACTCATGCACTCACTTCACTCATCCACAACTGAATTTTGACTTCTGGGTGGTTTACGGGCTCTTTAGGCATAAATGGACACAAAGCAAAGTGTGCTTGGCTATCACAGTCTACCAACCTTCTATGTGTGCATTATAACAGAGTTGCCCTCACAGCATGCAGCACCATTAGTAAATATGCAAAATAAAAAGGCCTTGAAAAGTTACGAGAGTTTAACTATTTTTACGTATTAAAGCGTACTTTGTCACCGAAAAAGAACTACATTCCATCACACAAGAGTCAAAGCTAGAAAGCATTTAGTGCTTGTGAAACTACACTCAAACCTCATTATAACAAAATTAAATCTTACACGAAAATGAGTTTGCTATATCCAAAAATTTGTTATAAAAATATTTCTAACACTGTATCTATTGCAAGACCATTGTTCGTTTACTTCGTTATAATCGGTATTTTGTTATATCCAGGTTTGTTATATCGAGGTTGGAGTGCACTATAAGGCATATGTTATAGGAATCTTATACATGACTAACATACTGCATGTAACGTCAACGTACTCCCAGGAAAAAACCATCCGAAAAGTCAGGCAGATAAAAAAAAAATTCATGCTTTTTTATGTCTTCAAAATGTCAAGTCGCTAAAGCCATGGGCGAAACAGTTTTAATCCCTTAGGGAACTTTGTGAAAACCCAGGCTCTTGTAAGTATATTCTGCAGCGGGCTATGTTCAAAAACAATGTGAGAATCGCCAGTTTCAAATTTGCACCACATGATCAAAGTACGGAAAAAAATCACTGTTATCACACATGAAGAGTTTTAAAATGATGACGCATAACACAAAGGCCGTGGCAAAAAACTGAATGACTCATCCTGTGTCTCCACAATGCGTGTGCGCCCGTAAAAGAGTGAATTTCAGGCGTTTTTATACATAATTTATAGGCTTGTGAAAGTGGTGTAAAACTGTCCGAATTTTCAAGCAAGTCGAAAAATTTAGCAGTTGACTGTATCGATTTCTTCTTTTATTTTTTTCCCCTCATTTGTCCAGAGAAGATAGCAGATATGAAGCAAATATTAATTTAAAGTCAGTAATAGCAGTCAACAAAATAATTATTCTCCCCCCCCTGCATGCGCATGAAGTGAATATGCTGCTCATTCCCACTCACCAGCATACAGACTGCATAGGGTGACTTGAGAGCTGACCGTGCATACTTGGAGACCAGTTTGGAGACTGCCAATCGGTCACTCTTGCGAATGTGGTAGAGGAGGCCCAGGGCGTGGAACTGGAATCACACAATTCTCACTTTTTTCCTTCTTCTCAAGCAGAAATATCTGCCTTATCACCATTGCAACCAATACTACGACTTGCACGAAGTAATTATCACAATCTGTAACACTCACTCCAAAACCAGCATGTTTATTACGGGCACCAAAAGTTTTTTTTCAAAAGTAGTTTCGTGCAGCTGAGACAATGACAGCTGAAACTCTAATTTGTGTATTAGTAGCTTGTTATGTGACAAAGTAATTTTTTGCCCACATTCTAAAGCCTGCAACACCGTGGCATTCTACAACATATTACTGGCACAAGCATACACTGAAACTATCATTTTGTAATGACCAAGACGAATTTGAGCAATGATAACTTGCGGTGTTTAACGTACCAAAACAATGATATGATTATCAGGCGTGTTGTAGATATAATTTGGGCATTTCAAAAGCATGGATTACTTTAATCTGCACCTAAAGTTAGCTACAGGCGCCTCCAGCATTTCGGGTCAGCATCTTTTGAGTCAGTTGCCGAGCACGGTAACTTTGCACCACCATAACACTGAAATGGATTAGACTGTTAAAGGTGTGGCAATTATTAGCAACGGTGCTATGTTAGCTCAATGTAAGATACTATGATAAAAACTCTACACCTGCACAGCTTTTCATGACTAACATAAACAGCACCCTGCACAAATCTTGCTTTTCCACCAAAGGAAGACCACGATTTACTATTTCTTACAAATACGTGGCTTGACCAGACAGCTCGCCAACACCGGATATCTTACCAGCACCGAACAGCTCGCCCAACACCAGAAGGCTCACGAACATGCAGAAAGGTAATAAGCAGAAGAAATTTCACGAACACCAAAGAGCTTACCAGCGCCACTGCAGGGCACCGAGGATCTTTTCACATACCTGAACCATGATGTTGTCCGAGTTGACCGCTTCTTGCGCCTCGTTCACCCACCGCTTCACCACGTCCGGGCTGACAAACATCAGGTGCTGTGAAGCAATACACAAGTACAGGCTAAGTCAACAGGGATCTATAGATGTTTGGGGAAAGAATAAGGGAAAGCAAGTTCATAAGAGCAGAAAGGAACATCTTCTAAGCTACCAGTTCGTGCCCAAGCCCTTTAGCAAACATCAGTGATAGCTAAAACTAAAGCTGCTTAGAAAAATAAGTCGGCTTCAGAGAACTAAGGTTGTCAAGTCTTAAAGAAAGTGCAGAGCTGGGCAGCCTTCTTTGTTTCTCTTTGCTCCCCTTTGTCTCTTCATTCTCCTTTTCAAATTTTCTCCCTTTTTAATTCTATTTATTTCTTCCTCTCTTCTTTTCTTTCTTCCTATTTGGTGCTTGCTTCCTTTTTTCTCTCTCTTCTTATACATGGTTTTGCCTACGTTAAACAAAGCACATTAATCTTTTTTGATGATGATAGCGATTACGTTTCAGCCGCACGAAGAACAAGAGGAAGAAGACCAAGACTTCTCCTTAGCGTGAGCATGCACTTAATATTGTCACAACGTGCAAAGAACAGGACACAAGGCTTCTTTTCGACGTTAACAGCAAGGCTCTATTGGCACACAAAAACAAAGTGCAAGAGCAGACGCACAACGTCGTCTTTCTCGAAAACGCCAGAGACCACCACACGTGATGCTGGCTTCTTCCTCCTTTTGTGCTTACGGCTAATAACCGTGACATTAGCCTCCCTCTCCAGAAGGCATCGTCCCGATGCTTCGTCATTCATGGCGGAAGCTTTTGTAGTCACTGGCAGCCCACGGGTTCATTCGGACAAATAAGGTTTCATTCGAACCAGCGTGCACAACTTCTGGTGCATGTCTTTGACGTCTTGAACAATGTGGACTGTCGGGAATCACCTCATAGTTAACATCACTGAGACGACGGAGGACTTTATATGGCTCAAAGTACCGTCTCAAGAGCTTCTCCGAGTGGCCACGATGGCTAACTGGGGTCCAGATCCAAACTTTCTGTCCTGGTTCATAGGAGACGGGTCGGTGACGAAGATTATAGCGCCTTGTATCATAGTCCTGGTGGCGACGAATACGTACGCGGGCAAGTTGGCGGGCTTCTTCAGCAAGCCGAGTTATGTAGTCTGCACTTGTGTCAACGCCATCACTTTCATGCGGCAACATAGCGTCGAGCATGGTTGTGACGTCACGACCATAGAGAAGGCGGAATGGTGTCATGCGTGTTGTCTCTTGCTGTGCCGTATTGTAAGCGAAAATGACGTAAGGCAGTATCTCGTCCCAGTTTTTATGTTCCACATCGACGTACATGCAAAGAATATCCGCAAGTGTTTTGTTCAGCTGTTCTGTCAGACCATTTGTTTGTAGATGGTATGTCGTTGTGTGCCGGTGAGATGTCCCACTTAGACTTAAAACTGTGCGAAATAGCTCGGCTGTGAACGCATTTCCTCTGTCAGTTATTACTACAGATGGAGGGCCATGCCTCAGGACTATATTCTCAATGAAAAACTGTGCTGCTTCACTTGCTGTGCCCCGCTCCAAAGCCTTGGTTTCGGCGTAGCGAGTAAGGTAGTCTGTGGCTACAATTATCCATTTGCGACCAGCAGCTGAAGTTGGAAATGGTCCTAGAAGATCCATTCCGACTTTGAGTGAATGGAGTTTCCGGCACATAAATTGGACGGAGGAGCCCTGCTGGTTTGACGGCTGGCACTTTCCTACATTGGCACTCAAGACAAGTACGAACGTGCTGTTGAACGGTTGCTGTCAGTTTCGGCCAGTAATACTTCTGTCTCACTCGGCATAGCGTTCAGTGTGTGGCCTAAATGACCGGATGTCGGTTCGTCATGGCACGCCTCTAGTACTTCTTTCCTGAGTGGTGTTGGGACGACAAGTAAGTAAGTGTTGCCGCTCGAAGAAAAGTTCACCTTATAAAGGACCTCATTACACAAACAAAACGATGCTACCCCTCTTGCGAAGAGCTTTGGCATAGCAGATGTCCGTCCCTCTAAGAAATCAATAAGGGGTTGCACCTCGGGATCGTTGCGTTGCTGCTGTGCGATTGTAGATGTGTTGACTACACCGATAAACGCCGCATAGTCATCATTTTCAGCATTTACGTCTTCTAATGGGGCGCGAGAAAGACAATCGGCGTCTGTATGTCGCTTTCCGGATTTGTAAACTATAGCCATATCGAATTCTTGAAGCTTGAGGCTCCAGCGTGCCAATCGTCCTGACGGGTCCTTCATGTTCGTCAACCAGCAAAGTGAGTGGTGATCACTGATGACTTTAAACGGGCGGCCGTATAAATATGAACGAAACTTCATGACCGCCCACACCACCGCAAGACACTCTTTTTCAGTGGTAGAGTGATTCTCCTCTGTACGGGAGAGAGTCCAACTTGCATAATAAGCAATTACTCGTTTGGCGCCATCTTGTCACTGAACGAGCACAGCTCCTAAGCCGACATTGCTGGCAACGGTGTGAACCGCTGTCGTAGCGTCATCGTCGAAGTGTCCGAGAACTGGCGGGCTTTGAAGACGTCGCAGCTCGTTGAACCCTTCCTGCTGCTTTTTACCCCACACAAACGTGACGTCTTCTCGGGCGAGTTGTGTTAAAGGTGATGCGATACGCAAAAAATTCTCAATGAAGCGTCGGTAATAGGCACAGAGGCCTAGAAATAGCCGCACTGCCTTCTTGTCTGATGGCGTAGGAAAACTTGCAACAGCGGCTATTTTGTCTGGGTCAGGCCGTACACCTTCACTGCTGACAAGGTGTCCCAAGAAAACAAGCTCTTCGAAGCCAAAGTGACATTTTTCTGGCTTGAGTGTTAGTCCGGCCGATCGTATCGCTTGAAATACCGTGTGTAGTCGCTTTAAGTGCTCGTAAAATGTCGCTGAAAATACAATTACATCGTCCAAATATACTAGGCACGTTTGCCACTTTAGGCCTGACAGGACTGTGTTCATGAGCCGCTGAAACGTTGCCGGTGCTGAGCACAAGCCGAACGGCAGAACTTTAAACTAATAAAGACCATCGGGTGTCACAAATGCTGTTTTTTCTCGATCTCTTTCGTCAACTTCTATTTGCCAATATCCGCTCCGTAAATCCATCAACAAAAAATACCCTGCATGGCGTAGTCGATCGAGAGAGTCTTCTATACGAGGCAGCGGGTAAACGTCCTTTTTTGTAACCTGATTGAGCTTGCGGTAATCAACACAGAAACGTAAGGTGCCATCTTTTTTCTTCACCAATACTTGGGCATCACCTTGGGGTGATGCCCAAGGACTTTTTGACGGCCGAATAACGTCATCCTGAAGCATCTTTTGCACCTGACTTTCTATGGCCTCACGTTCCCGCGGAGCTACTCGGTATGGGTTCCACCGTATGGGTCTGGCCGTTTCATCCGTAATTATGCGATGTTTTATCAACGGCGTTTGGCGAACTCTGGACGTTAAAGAAAAACAGTCCTGAAATTCATTAATAAGCTTCAGAAGGCTTTGCTTCTGCGGGGGCAGTAAACTTGGGCCAACGTCGACGGATAGAGGGGCTGACCCGGTGACATCGGCTTTCTCCACAGTCAAGCAGCTTGCAACCACAATGAGCTCCTCGACGTAAGCGACTGCCATACCTTTTGCAAGATGTCGTCGCTCAGTACTGAAGTTCGTAACCAGAACGTGCGTGTGTCCGCGATTGAGGCTTACGATGGCTCTTGCAACAGATAAGCCATGGCTGAATAGGAATGCTGGAATTTGTTCAGCGATGTGGTCGAAGTTGCCTGGGTGGTCGCATGTTACAGCTACGAGAGCACTTGAACGAGTGGAAGGGTCACGTGATCTTCGAAGACGTGCAGATGTTTACGCCGCTGGTAGTTACATCTCATATCTGGAACTTGATCTGGGGCCATCAAAAATGTAACTGACCTGTCTGGAATGTCTATGACGGCGCCATATTCACAAAGGAAGTCCATCCCCAAGATCAGGTCTTTGCAGCACTCGGACAAAATCACGAACGTGGCAACGAAAGCTGAATCACCAATACTAATTCTGGCAGTGCACTTTCCAGTTGGCGTCATCAGTTGGCCCCCCGCGGTTCTTATATTAGGCCCCGTCCATGACATTTTAACTTTTTTTAAGCCAATCAGCAAGCTTTCTGCTCATGAGAGAGAAATCTGTGCCAGTGTCTACTAGCGCTGTCACAGGGCGTCCGTCTATGTAAACAGCTATGTCGGCGCTTACGATTTCCTGTGGGGTCGGCGGCGTTGCATGGTTCGTCGTATCGTACTGGTACTGGAGGTATTGCACCATTTCGACGAGTGGCAACCTTCCCTCCAAAGGTCGCAGCTGTTAGTTTCCCCGATGAGGGCTTGAGGACCTGCCCCGGACAGCGTCGGCGTAACTACGACGGCTGGGTGAAGAGCTCGACGAAGGTGACGGAGAGCGGGGTCAATGATACAGAGCGGATGGCTGTCCCTGCGGGTGCGCGCTGTCACGTCGGGTGTCGAAACGAGGTCAGTGAAAAAGTCGGCGCATAAGTCGGGTATCTTTCTTCACAATATGGACAGATGCGGTAGACATGTCCAGCTTCTCCGCAATTGAAACACAGTGGACGGCGGTCGACGGTGCGCCACAGATCCGTCTTCTGAACGAATGGTCGACTGATAGGCACCCTCGGCGACCAAGTTGCAGGTGTCGGCGGAGGGTAGAACGGCGGGTAGAACGGAGTTTCAGTAGGTGCGTTATATTGCGGAGGCGTCGTCGTTGGTGGTGGCAGGTGGCGGTGGGTTGTAGACTGGTGGCGCCAGGCGTGTTGTAAGAACAAGGAAGTTGCGGATCTCCTCACGAACAACCTCGCGAATAAGCTCACGAAGAGAACCGTCACTGCCGACCGTCAGAGCAGAGATGCTGATTGAGGCACCGTTTGGTCGGTCGTAATAGCGACACCGTTGCTGCAGTGTGCGCTCGATAGCTGTAGCCTTTTTGATGAATTCCGCAACGGTCGTCGGTGGATTGCAGAGAAGGCCGGCAAACAGCTGTTCTTTGATGCCTCGCATCGGATGGCGGAGTTTCTTGGCTTCAGGCATATCAGGGTCAGCTTGTCCAAATAGGCGCGTCATGTCCTCCGCAAACATGGCGACACTTTAATTTGGTTTCTGGACCCAAGACTCGATGAGTTGCTGAGCAAAGTCACGGCGGTCGTTGTTTGCGAAGGTGCTGAGAATCTGGTGGCGAAATTCATCCCATGAAGACAGCGTTGCTTCGTGGTTCTCATACCACGTACGAACGCTGTCTGCTAAAGCAAAGTAAGCGTGAAAGCTTTAGCTTGGTGGTCCAGCGGTTTGCCTTTGCTACTCGCTCATACTGGGCTAACCAGTCAACGTCTTCATACGCCTCACCATAGAATGTTTCCGGAATCTGAAGCTGCTCAAAAGTCAGCTGGGGAGCACCTGCAGTTGCCATTTCTTCAGGCGGAGTGCTATGCTGGGAAAGTTCCAGGGGGATTGCCTCAGGACTAAGGCCTCGCTGTCGGCGACTGTAGCGGCGGACAGGGGTATCCACTGAAGGAACGGGTTGCGGTGTCGGACTTGAAGTGCCGGGCCGCGGAGGAGTCCCGAGCATCAGTCGTAGAAGTCTAGCACCTCCACCAGTGTCGCAACGTGCAAAGAACAGGACACAAGGCTTCCTTTCGACGTTAACAGCAAGGCTCTATTGGCACACAAAAACAAAGCGCAAGAGCAGACGCGCAACGTCATCTTCCTCGAAAACGCCAGAGACCACCACACGTGATGCTGGCTTCTTCCTCCTTGTGTGCTTACAGCTTGATTAATATCTGGGGTTTAACATCCCAAAACCACCATATGATTATGAGAGACGCCGTAATGGAGGGCTCCGGAAATTTCGACCACCTGGGGTTCTTTAACGTGCACCCAAATCTGAGCACACGGGCCTACAACATTTCCGCCTCCATCGGATATGCAGCCGCCGCAGCCGGGATTCGAACCCGCGACCTGCGGGTCAGCAGCCGAGTACCTTAGCCACTAGACCACCGGTGGCGGGGCTTGTGTGCTTACGGCTAATAACCGTGACAATATGCTACACACAAAAGCGTTATGCCAAGCAACGACAACAGCATACTACAGCATTGCCCCCTCAAGAACTCTATACATAAAAAGCAAGAAAAGAAAGCTTGCCATGTTCATAAAAACAAGCCTGCTTTGAGTTCACCTGGCGACTGGGTACTACAGCGACATATGTTAATCTTTTGTACGAAAACGACACTATACTTCTTGTAATTTGCTTACGCTAGACTTGTGAAAAATATTCAAATGTTTTGAATACTTGCACCAATATAACAGTACTTAAATTTGCTTAGGTTCAAATTTAAATAATTGAAAACTTCTCAAAATGAATTAATAGATATATATTAGTTGACATGTAACCGTTATAAAAGTGGTTTCACTGCAGTAGAAAAATGCTAAACCGTGAAAACACCCATCCAGGGGGAATTCGCACTTTCGCAAAGCCCCACTTCAAAGTTAAATGAACATACTACCTTCGCATCGATTCATAATTTTTTAAGTTTAAAAGCTTGCTATATGGGCTTATATGCTGTTCTAATTCCTTTAATGTTCTACAAGTTGGGTCCCGACAAGTATGCTTTTTTTTCTGTATAATATTTTATATATACTATTTGAATTCGATTCGAAATTATTCGACCAAAATCACTTTACACTTCGAACCTGAAATTCACGATTCTCACAAGCCTAGCGTACACTTTATTCCATTCGTTTAAAAAAAAAGTCCAAATCGTACACATGCATTATTACAATTATGCAGTTGTGGTCAGAGACATGCATGGCACCTCCACTGGACAGTGCCTGCAATACAGGCGAGACTGCTTACCAGCGATGAGACTAAGGCAGCGCTAGACACCCCATGGTTCTTGTCCACAATGGCCTGCTTCATGTAACGCTCGATGGCCTGAAGCATACTGCTCTGTAATAGAAAGACACCAAGCACTTCACAGAGCTTCCATGATTAAAAAAAACTGCGCTACAGTTACAGTGAAATATGAAGTTAGGGGGGAGAGACAGAACGAAATGGACTTTACATCAAAAGAAAAAAAACTTTCACAAAATGGAAAGACTGGTTTACGATGAGGATGGGGGAGGCCGAACTGTCTTCAGGTTCTATACGTGAAAAACCAACTAGCCCAATACCTCACTTTACCAACGCGGGCTATCACACTGCCTGGTCATACGAGATTCAGTAAAGCAAATAATTAGGAAAAATAATGACTACTACGTTATGAAAACTGCTGTCTAAAAAGCTACATAAGTGGCCTGACAGGAAATGATGAGGATTCATCAGAACAGAGAACTAAGATTGCCAGTATCCCGTAAACTTGATACTAAAGATTAAACTTTAATAATATATCAGTGGTTTAACGTCACAAAACCACAATATTATTATGAGAGATGCCATAGTGGGAGGCTCTAGAAATTTCAACCAGCTGGGGTTCTTTAATGTGCACCTAAATCTAAGTACATGGGCTTCGAACATTTCACCTCTATTGGAAATGCAGCCGGGATTCGATCACGCGACCTTCGAGTTGGAAGTCGAGCGCCATAAACATTAGACGACTGCGACGGGTTTGACTACACTTAGTGAAACACGCGAGTCAGTTTCCTTTTATATGATGGCTTTCCCGAATCACTCAAACTATTTTTTTAGAGACCTTTGAATATCACAACATAAAAAAGTGTTGTGTTATTGTGCAGTGTGTTTTATTCGGTCTATGAGAAAATGACACCATTGCAAGGAGGTCTAGAAACCCTCCTTTCAGAATTTGAACACAAATTCAGGAATGACAGTTTTTGTGATATGCTGTAGAGAAGGTGCACATACTTTCCCGAGGGCTATAAATAGGCAGCATATGAAATTTACTAAGCAGTAAGATGCCTAAGGGAGCACATTATCAAGGCCATTACCACAGCTTCTAGTTTCAGACATGGGTAGAGACAGCGATGTGATGCCCGCCTAAATAATATGTACAGCTCAAAATAAAAAATTACGTTGATTGCTTTCTAAACAAATATTACAATACAGTTATGAAGCGTGCCATGCAAGGACTCCAGATTAATTTTGATCGGCTGGGATTCACTAATGTGCACCTAAATCAAAATTCTTGTGCTTCACCAAAACTGAAATACAGCCACCTTGGCCGAAGATTGAAACTGTGATGAGTAATTATAGAACAGTTTTAAAAATGGCATTCTTCAGCAATCCAACTTCTGATGCATTGATTGATATGTGGGGTTTAACGTCCAAAAACCACCATATGATTATGAGAGACGCATCCAACTTCTGATGCATTCAAGCCAATTTTACGACTACTAAATGCTTCACTATCATGTCAAGATTAGAAAAATTAAGACAGCGAGAGAAAAACAGCCAGCCATTTTAAGTAAGTCACCAACATGCATTCACTATAATGGAATGACGTAGGTATCTTAAGTGCTAAATGCACTTACATCAGTGATCTTGCAAAGGGCCCTTATCGCTGAAGCACGATACAGGTCCTCCTGTTAAGAGAAGTGCTTACAGTGAGTACTGCACAAACAAAGTCGACACAACACGAGACCTCACCTTTCCAGTCATGTCCTTGGTTAGACTGGAAAACAATGAAGAATGCGGTCAGAGACGAGGGAAACTACACTGAGCTTATAACAAGCCCCCTTCCCCCCTGCACATATATTAGCCAATTTCAACAAGTGCGCAGGTTTACTTTCACTGGTGTCCTTTTATAGCTAATTAGTGTTAAGAAGATATGGCTTGGCGCAAGGTGTGCCTTCATGAATTGAAAACTTCTAAAATGTTGTCATTCATTCTACTCAGATTACACATTGCGCATTGATGGCAATGCTCATTTAAGAACTTACGTGGGCACCAGCGATATTCTAGAATATACAATCATGGCTTTATGCAATAAACGAAAGAAGGGGAACTTAAGGTCATCTTTCTTTGTTGGACACAACCTCAATGAACAGCAACAAAGAAGCCAAGAAAAGTACAGTCGTCCTGTTTCTTCGGCTAGGTGGAATAGCATGCTGTATTATTGGACACGCTTCATCTATGCATGCCTCACTGTGTCCTCCTTTTTTGAGTGAATTAAAGAATACATAAAGTACAAGAGAAGTTACATGTTGCACTTACGATAAAAATGTGAAGAAATCAAAGTAAATGAAAAGACAACTCGCCGCCGGCAGAACAGGCTCCGACTTTTCTTTTACACTTCCAAAAGAAGCTTGGCTATTCGTTCGTAGAGTAGACCACGGCGATCATGTTTTCCAAATATCACAGCACTGCGCACCACGCAGAGCCTCCATTTTTAAAAACAACGTCAGCACTCCTTTCCTACCACTGACCAATCCTCCTTTCCCACAAAGTGACTGATGCAATGTCGCTTATTAGTGACTTGATGTAGCACGCAGCTTGCCGATTGCTTTAAACCAGTCACGACGATGGGCTACGTCTTTCCCTGCTGTGAGGAAAAAGGGTGGCAAGGCCATGCTAAAATTTGAAACCACCTGAAACCGATGTTCTCACCCCTGTAACTTCCTTGATATGGCATGCATATGCAAAATTTTTGCAGCAGCATGTTTGCGAAGCAAAAGCGCACATATTTTCCTATATAGCAATTTTTGGACCTCGGGGTTGTTTACTGGTCTTTTAAGGTGAAAACTTGCTGCGGCCAGCAAGTTGTCTTTTAGTCCCCTTTAACTTCTTCACATTTATGTCATAGTTACTACAAATAACATCCCCTAAACTTTCCTTGGCTTCTTTGTTGGTTGCTTTTCATTCACTTGCCCCATAGATTAGATTGGGGTTAATGACTGCGATTGTCGCTATCGTTGTTGAGCGAGTTTTTCTTGCTTTTATAGGGACAGAATTTCCCAACAGGGAGTTCGTTCTTTTTCACTTGTGGTTCACCTGCTGGTCACAATGATAACGTCCTCGGCAACCTTGGAGAGCTCCTTGATGCCCAGGTAGACCAGGCGCCGGAGCACCGGGTCACGGCACTGGAACAGCTTGGTCATGGCGAAGAAGGCATCCGTGGCCTCCCTCGTCCCAAGGACTTCCCCCTGTCAGCCACAAGGCACAGCTACAACACCTAACCGACACACTTGTGTACCTTACAGATCAAAAAGCTACCACTCGCAGCAAAACTGGCTTGCTGGACATTCTCGAAGTGTGAGATTCTACTGCAGTTAAAGTTCATGCTTGCACATAGGGAAAGTAACAGGAGAAGTAAAAAAGCTTGTATAAGACATTGAAAAGCTAGGCAAGAGCAGAGGTGTGCAATAGAGAAGAGATCTGCCCCACCCACCTCCCCAAATTTCAGATAATGTTCTACTGCATTGGTCCCGGGTTCGAACCCTCAGACCAGGACTAATTTTTCGGCAACTAAGAAGCTTTTCTTTCCGAGAAATCCATAAAGATTTCCTCGTGGCTTCCTGCTACAATCGAGTGGTTGTCTTCTTTGATTTTAATAATTTTCTATGCCGTGGCTGTAAGCTACATAGCTTGATTAGCACACAGGTTCCAGACTTCACTATGGCCGCCCAAATTCTCACGTTATGCACTAATGAGTACTCTTGCCAACCATGTCACGGCAGTAAAAGAAAGTCCGCCAGGGCTGGATCCCCCCCTCCCCCCTTGCGGTTGCCCTTGAGTACGGGGATGATTGATGGAACAAAAGTGCATGCAGCTCAATGTGAAAGTTGCATACGAAAAAACACATCCGCTTACCTGATTCAACAGGTAGAGGATCTTGGTTAGTATCTCCGCACATTTCCTTGGGTGAACTGGAGTCTCGTTAAATGTGCGTGCCTGACGAAAACAACATCATGCACTTGAAACATGGCGACATAGTATGGCACACTCATGAATGATGATGTCTGTGTGTTCATGCAATGAGGGATAAAATGCGATGCTTTTGTTGCGTGCGTTTTCATTTGCTCTAACTGCAATGCTGTCCCACAGTAATCACACTGCACTATTGGCCACTAGTATGTATGCATGACACGCAGGGATGCATATACTGTGACAGACTGTACAACACTACGCTAGGTTCATGTTGTCACTGTGTAAGAATCATGAGGTACCTGTCAGAACTACTTGCAAAAGTGTACAAACGTAAAGAAAAAAAAAAGCAGGAAAGTGTGTACCTCGAAATTATTTGAGCACAACATGTGCAACATGTCAGAATTATTCGCTTGGCAATGTTACTTGTAGCTACGGCGCTGAGACCTAAACTAACACGTAGCCTCTGCGTAACAAGACGCCAGCCGATGTCGATGTATATTGACGTTGCACGAAACCAAAAGGGTGGCTGCTGGTTACGTAAACCGTTACATGCGGTATTTCGACGGTTATTTGAAGTGGAATTCACGTACCTCTTGAAGTACTGACGTCTTCTCGAGGTTGCTGAACGGATTACTGCCCCCTGCGACAGAGCGATAGCGTGAAATGAATCGAAACGACATTTACAATTGATGGGCGCGGCGAGAGAAAAAAAAAAACAACAACCAAGTTGCACGTTCGTTAAAGGTGATGAACATTCGTAACAAAGCAGTTATAAAGAAACGTCTGCGTGGTGTGCGCGTCACATTTTGTACACAGCGGTACCTTTCAGAACGGCGTTCAGTAGACAGATACGAACAGTCATGCAAATGAAAGAATGACCTTACAGCGATTTGGAACAACTAGGTCAGTCCAGTCGGTTGATATGCCCTTTGCAGAGGTACGCGCACATCAACGATTTATGGCTGGGTGTTCACACTAGGGCAATGACAAGGTTGAGCTCGCTAACAAGAACACGTCGGCGATGGCAAACGGATCGTGCTTTACAAGCCGCTGTCACAGACACCTGCGAAACGGTCAGCGTCCAGCCGCTGCTGAACGTGACGTTCTTACCAGTATCGCCGCCCGCCGATGACATGGCTGCAATGCGAAGACGATTGAAAATTGGTAAACGCCGTTAATGAGAAATGGTCACACTTGCGCTTATAACGCCGGTAAACATTGCTGTGTTAGGGTTAGAAAAGCGGTGAAGAGCGCGGCAATCGGATGACCCAGAGTCGCGCACGAGGTCCGAGTGATAACAGACACTCCCGAAAAATGCGTCCAATAGCGTCTCACCGTCTTCTTCGTCCTTCTTTTCACGCTTTAATACATACATCTTGAGAGTCGCGACTAACTTTCGGTCTCGACTCGGGTGCCACACACCTCAGAGCCACGTATGTGACATACTCTCAAAACCGTTATCGTCTGCATGAAAAGTAAACGTTTTACGTAGAGGTCGCCACAATCGCGATATCGTCTGCTCGCAAGCGTCACTACGCGCTTTCGTTTTCGGTTTCTCGGGTCAGGTCCAACAGTTAACCAGCCGTAAGATGACGAGCGAGTGCGTTTCGGTAATCCAGAAGTCGGCCGAAAGAGTTAGAGATCTTCTCACCTCGATAAAAGACGGCCGCCAAGCGGTTGACTGCGACCTCGTCTTCAAAGAGATCAAATCCGACCTCAAGGACAGCATCACCGCGTACCTGTCCGACGGTGATGACGACGGCACGGCAATCCTGGTATCCGCTTTAAACGAATGCGTGCGCACGGTCACTACCGAATGTTTCCTAACCTCCACGAGCGATGACGAGGTATTGGTGTTGAACAAATGCGTGAATATGTATCTCGGCTTCAGCTCTCACATGATGGACAAGATGAGGACACCGCGACTGTACGTGACCGCACTTTGCTCCCGAATCCAGGCCCTCGAAGTAGTCACTTTGCTTTTGGTGAAACGATCGCGGTACGGCGAACTAGAAGGGTACATCAAGCAGCTTGCCGAACAGATCCGCTGCTTCAAAGGTGTTGCGGCCGAGGATGCGAAATCAGAGAAGGATAAGCTCAGAGCGCGCCACGCGGAATCAGTCCTGCAAGTTTGCCGTTTCGCGGCTATGACGGCTACGACCGCGAACTCCGAAGCGGCACTTGAAAGCCTCTACGCTGCAAAGAATGCGTGCTGCGACGATTTTCCAGCTCTGCAAAAATATGTTTCGTTGAGAGCCTACACTGCGGGTGTCACGTGTTTCAAGAGTGGTCACTACCAACACTCCGTCTCCTACTTCCGGGAATCCTTCTGCCTCGGCAAGACTAGCACCGACATCGAAACACAGGCTCACACGTTGTACCTCCTAGGTTGTGCCTACCTCAACTGGGACAAGCAGGAGCACTGGGAAAAGGCAGTCAATGCCCTGGACATGGCCATCTGGCACCGTCCGGGTCAGCTGAACTACATGGCCAAGAAGCTGGAAGCGCTTTACTCTAGTGGTAACTGACAAGCAGATCTCGAGCACCCTGGACAGTATCCTCAAGCACCAGGACATTTCAATAGCACATGTGCTTGGAATCCACCAGTCTATAAAGGAACACTGGCTTTGCCCAGCAAGCCATCGGGTTTTTGCAGAGAGCCTACATACGCTTCAGCCAGGACCGTGAAGCTTTATATCTACTGGTCGAACTCCTCAAGGCTGAGCTCGACAGCAGCGAGTTGGACCGTGCCTCACTAACCTTCCAAAGAATCCTCATACAGGACAGCGCCAAGGCAACACAGTTCACTGCACAGAGCCTCAGGAAGCTCTTCCTGCCACTTGTTTCACTTTGGCTGTAGCAAGGCTGAATCAGGCAGCACCTCTGAAGGAGTAGAGTGGCTCAGGAAACTGTGAGACACTCGTAACAACATTCAAAGACTGTTTCAATGAGGAAGACATCAAAAAAGAGGTGGACAGCATGCGGCACTGTTTGGTTTATTGGAGCCTGGATCTTGGAATGACCAACACAGCAAAGGAGACCTTGGAGCAGTGTACAGACACACACAAAGTGACTAAGCTTTACCTGAGGCTCAAGATTGCTCTCGAAGAAGACAACAACGCCGATGCAATAACAGCCGTTCAAAATATGCGTAAGATACATACATTTGCAGTTGAAAATGTTTAAAGAATCTGTTTGAAATGTTCCATTAGGGTGGCCTGTTGGGAAAGTTGGTACATAGTCTTGGTGGGAATACCAGTAGCACCAAAAGAAAGCAGAAGCAACCGAGACAACCAGCATCCTTCCTGTCCCCTGTCTATTTTTCTTGTCTCGTTTGCGTCTGCTTCCTTTTGGAGCTGCTGGTATTCCCACCAAGTTAAGAGAGGTCTTAATCATCTTTTCAAAGACTAAAAAATTATGTTAACAAAGGAGGTCGTGGAGTAGAAGAAAAAAAGACAAGATAATGCTAAATAGGCAATTATCGTATAATGTCATACTGTAGAACCAAAGACATGACCTAGTAAAATGTAAGAGTAAAATTCCTGCAACAAAACCAAGCCATACTAGTATATATCTGTCCTATAAATCTATGCTTTCAGGAAAAAAATGTGAAAAAAAAGATCAAAATTTTTTCAAAAAATTATTTTTCTGGCGCATTCTATTCTGTTGGTGAGCAATGACAGGATAAAAATAAAAATTGATAGCATAGGATTAATACTACAGACTGAACTTCGAGAAGTACATACCTAATTCATATGCTATAATGTAGTGCAAGGAGCACAATTTGCACTGTGTTGATGTGGAGTTGTTGCCTTGTTGACATATGTATGTACTACGCGCATTTATGGTAGCAGCATGTATTATCTTTTCCTGTCATTTCAGTCCAGCTTGTCAAAGAAGCAAATCGTCTCGAGCATGACAATATGGCCAAGAAAGTCTCGGACGCCCTCATTTACGCAGCAAGCTTCACACTAAAGGTTAGAAAATGCAGCTTGACTGTTTAGGATCCTGGACTCTTCGCTGGTATTAGAGACGAATTGGAAAGTAGGAAATTTGCGAGGAAAGTTTCATGCTCAGTGCTTGCTATTGACTAATGAGATTGTCGATTTGCATGCCACTTTGTTGCAAGTTTACTGCGCATAGATAAAAAGTCATACCTAAAAGAAAGGAAATTTCATCTTAGCTGTTTTGAAGGGCATGTGTGTGCAGACAAGTATGAAAAAGTACGTGCATAGAGTAAGACAATGTTGATATACCTCCGGCTGTTATGTTTTCCTGAGATGCTGTGACGCCATTCCCATTTTAGATTTGTTCATGGCAATGCTTATAAGATGTTACCTTTTCTTGGGTCATAAATATGCATTATGTTTCCTGAGAAGTGTAATGGCGGGGTTTCGTATTCAATAATGTCTACTCTGCAGCGTCTTGATGCTTTTCAATGTTAAGGAAATATATATATATATATATATATTGCAGGCTGGCAAGATGGACCTCACCAAGGATGTGCTAAAGCAGATGGTATCACCTCCAGAAAAAAACCCAGCCCTCGCAGAGCTGCAGCTAAAGTGCCTGCAATGTGTTGTTGCACTCTGCCTCACAAAATTTGGTATTTCTCACCGGACAATTCTGACGGCACAGCCTCTTTTTAATTTGCATGAGATTTCTGCTAATCACACTGAGTACTGATTGAGTGAAACCACTCACACACTTAATTAATCAATCAATCAACCAATGAATGAAGCAATCAATCAATAGTTTATTTCAGCGAAAAAATCTAGATGCATGTTCAGGACTAAAAGCTACCCTAGACAGCTTTACTGGGTCCCTGAAGACAGTTACATTGGCAGTATATGACTTCATGGTATACAAAGTTTGACATCATATAATTATTTTGATTGTGAGTTATACTATAAGAAGATAGTTCCTCAGCTGCAGTGTTAGCTGAAATATGGTTAATTAACAAACCTCTCATACACCAGCCACTGTAACTCCTTCAACAATGAGCACTGTCACTGATTAATCTAATTATATGTTCACAATCCTTAAAAAGCATGTAACTACCACTGTCTATTAACTAACTCAATAAAAATCTTTGCATTTGTAATACACCAGTTTTCACAAATTTATACATTTAAAGTGTGAATATGCATGGCTGTTCAAGTTAACATGCTTCAGCAATGGTGAGAGATCAGTGGAGTATTGAAAGGTAATATACAGAACAGCAACCCATTTAGCCAATGCAGTTGGAGTTGACAGTGGTGCTGTGTCCAAATTTTCTAATTGATAATGTTGAGTGCACAGGCTCAAAATTGATTTGTGCAATAAAATATGGTCAGTATAGCCATTAGAGGAAAACTTATTCAATTATACTTAGTTCACAAAGAATCGCAGTTGTAGCTGATTGCATGACAGGGTAGAAATGTGGGTGAGTTGGTGAATTAGCAAAACTGAAAAAGTATCAACATACCAAACATGAAAAAAGTAAGTGGGGATGGGGTGAGCACATTTGCTTCTTTGTTCAGCACATTTTATCATTTCCAATGTTGTATTGAATCATCACACACATTGATATCATCATCATTGATGTACAGATTAGTCATTACTCTCTAAATATCACTAATCTGAAGTAGCAGTCACTATCAAAATGTGTGATATGTAATTGAACAGCTACTTCATGCTGTGCACTGCACTAACAGCAGTGTTTTTCAGAGTTGCCAGATGTGTAATTCTGAAATGTTGAGGTCATGTAATAGCCTGATAAAAAATGGTAATGACAGCGACAGAAAAACTATGGGGTAGTCATACTTGCCAATTCATAAAAAAAATACTATCTGCAGCCTGGCTTTCATTCTGCTGTGCACCGCATGCTGTGAAGTGCCATGCTATGGCCCTAGTGTGAGTCGCAGAGTTGTATGTCTGAAATGAAGTCGCAATTCATTGCAGAACAAAACTCCACGGGCTTCTCCAACACTTATACAGAAGTGGGTGACTGCATTGAAAAGGCAGCCAATATTCTCTTTGTATGTGAGAATGTAAGTTGCATTTATTTCACTTAGCTTCCGTATATTGTTATTAGTCCACAATGTCAGTAAAAGAAAAATATACGCTCAGCCCCCCAAAATATTTGAAAATATTCGTGCCTTTTCCTTTACACATATACACTCAAACCTCGATATATTGAAACCAAATATGACGAAATATTGGTTATAAGAAAGTAACGAAGTAATATTTGCAATTATTATAGTGTTAGAAATAAACCATTATAACAAATTTTTGAATATAACAAACTTATTTTTTTATAAGATGCAACTCAGATTTAATAAGGGTTGAGTGTACTCTATGTGTGCACGCATGTGTGTGTGAGTGTACGTGCATGTGTGTGTATGTGGAGAGGAACAGGCCTAACTTTTCCAATGGTTTCGACCAGTACGTGCACTGATCTTCGTCATGACTTATGAGACTGGTTCAGTGGTCGAAATTATTGGCTAATAAAATCAGGATAACTGCTAACTGGTGTCCTTTCTTTTCCAAAATATGTTTGGATAACTGAAAAAAAGAAAAGCTGCTTCTAACATGCACATACATTTACATAGCCTGCAATTACACAATGCAACTGGTACACCTCTAACAATGACTGCATGGCCCATAATCATACCTGACACAAATAAATTGACATTTAAACTTTATTCCAGAACAAGAGCATGTTACAAAGAGGGGAGGTAAAAGCTGTTTGGGAATTCTGTTTTCAATATTTCTACTCTGGGACCTTCACCTGTATACAAGTATTATGTAATTGATGCTAATATAACCAATAAACTGACACTGAAACTGTTAGAACAACTAGAGCAGCCCTGACCCCCTAGTGCACAGGATATGGCACAGAAGCATGCCGTGAAGCAACCTATTGAGAGAAATATGTCTTTCATACTGTGGTAAAAAAAAAAGAAAGAAGATGAAAATGAAGACAGAAAAAGGTAGTGATTGCATCATTATACAAACACTAATCGCAGTTATTCTGGTGATAAGATACACCGCAGCCCTGACCCCTAGTGCGCAGGATATAGCACAGAAGCATGCCGTGAAGAACAGCCTATTGAGAGAAATATGTGTTTCATACTGTGGTAAAAAAAAAGAAAGAAGATGAAAATGAAGACACAGAAAAAGGTAGTGATTGCATCATTATACAAACACTAATCGCAGTTATTCTGGTGGTAAGATACACCCAAACCTCGGCATAATGAACTGGGATATAATGAAAAATCTGTTTTAACAATATAAATCAGGGTTAGTGTTGCAATATACATAGCGTTAAAAATATATCTTTATAACAAATTTTCAAATACGTATAACAAACTCATTTTCGTGTAAGATGCAACTTTGTTATCATGAACTTTGAGCGTATGTTATGTTCCTTAGCTATGCGGTTTAGAAGTGAAGGCAGCTGAAATTTTAACCCCGATTCTTCACGCAGGGCAAGTGGCACGCGGAGCAATGTCAGTGGTTCGCTACTGTGTGCTGGAACCTAGCGTTGCAGCCAGAAGCGAATGCTGAGCAACAGTTTCGCCTGCTTAGCCACAGTTTCAAGCTAATGTTAAACGTTCATGGCCGCCAGGACACCACAAAGCGAATCACCACCTACGCCATCATGGCGACGTTATCAGGAGTCACGGCTTCCAGGCGCCCGGCTATAGACGTACAACTTAAGGAGGCAATCCTGAGGTGATGTACTCCAATCGTATAGTTGGCTAGGACTGCGATAGCTTCAGTTGCGACCACATTTTGTTGTTTGAAAATTTCACTTCTTTTTCTCTTTGGGGCACTTTGTAAAGTACTCAAACATTATAACAGAACAATTTAGAGATGAGCAATGCACATATTCTTGTTTTCATCAGCCCCGTAGCTAAGGGGGGTGCCCTGGCTCCCCCCCCCCCCCCTTGTGCATATAATCTTGATGAAGGAGGGTGTTTTACCAAAAATGAACCATGAAATGAAAATAGGTGTTTTTTTCAAGGCTTCAGTGAATGGTCCTGTTACGCTGAGAAATATTCCTGAATACAGGCCTGATTTCTACCGTCTTCTGTATGCATCATATCCGTGTAATTTCAACTCAAACGCATATATCAGAGCCAAAATTATCTTGAGAGATCAGATTTGTCATGAAAGGATGTGGTTATCCATAGCAATTGTGCATACCAGTCATTATACAAAAAATTTGATGCCATGTTTGAATGCGCACATTCATGTACACTTGTTTCTGCTAGTTGTGACAGCTAGTGGCTTATGTAGAGGAAGATACAATGAGGTTTGGATTAATTGAACCTCCTGTGTAGATAAATGTGCCTTTATTTAACTCAAATTTGTGGTGTACTGTTATACATCATCACTTTGCTGAAGGCAGTGCCACATTTGAGTTGTTTGATGAGCCACTTTCTGTGAGCCACGTCAACTCTCTTTTTTCTTGGCTTGCAATGAAGATAACCAAAAACAAAATTGCACTGTATTTCTTGCCTTTTCATTTTATTAATGCAATAATAGATAGTGAAGGACATCAGAATAAATATTTGATTAAAATTTTCTTGAGATTAATAACTATAAAACGTGCAACTGAGCATCTCATGACATTATTTTTTGTTGCAATAGTAGAATATCAAGTGCCTTGGAATAATGCGTACATTTGATGCATTTACAGACAGTTCTTCATTGGTTGCGTCTGAAGGGGCTAAGCACCACATCACTTCTTGAAGATAACAGAATAGGCATGCATTAGTTAGGACTGGTTGGTCTAATAGTTGGTCTTGATTCATAAAAAATTGAGCTACAGTGCAGAATACAAAACAAAAGATGAAACGACGAAGTAGCAGCGATGGCCATGTGTGCTTGCTCCTTCATCTTTCATCTTGTATTCTGTGCGGTACAATTCTATTCGTTATGAAATACTTCTTGCACCTCGTGCATCAGAAAAGAAGAGGGCAAAAGAAAAACAGATTGTGATTCCGAGTTTATGACAGAGCCTTATTGTAAAGAACACCTGATGAGCACGATGACATTTTCAGAAGTGGGCAAATTCATCGTCAGATGACATATACCAACAGCAACATTATGTGAAATGATGTCACTGATAGCATCTTCACACTGGTATACACTGAGATACTTAGATGTTGCGACGCTTGGAAGAAACAGCTTGCCAGAATGCCTCAATACGCACCAGTGTCATTCGTCGAAGTTGCCATGGCTGAAGCTTTATAAACTCACTTGCTAAGAATAATCAGGAGTCTTTGACAAAGATAGGTCCACCTATCGAAACTTCAGCATTCTTGTCTGAGGCATTTATTCTTGTTCAGGTTACCTGTATACCATTGCATTTAATGCAAATTCCGTTTTCTGAAAATTCTGGGCTGGTTGTTCATGTCTGGGTGAAGACTTATGACGTTGCAAAAAAAATTAATGACTTGTGTCATCTTCCCAACAGGGATGTTTATCAAATTGCAGAGAAGCTGAAGGAAGTGAACCCGCGCTGGCGTGAAAACAAACAGCTGGCGTTGATGCTTCTCACGGCCGAGTTTGAAGCTATTGTCTGTGGACCAGGAGCACCTAATGGCAAAGCTGTGCTGGCCCAGGTCCTGTCCCTCTCTGGAGACAATACGGACATCATTGAGGGATTTGTTGCCATCTGCCAGGTGACAGTTTACGTCCTTATGGCTAGATGTTGAAACATTGATGTGTGGAGTCATTTCATCAATATTCCGTGACCACGAAGTGTTGGCAGAACATGACAACAAAGTTTAAAAGATAAGCGACCCTGATGCAAAACATTGGGGTCTGAGAGTGGCACTTGCACAAAATGTGTTGGTGAACATCTGATCGTCAGTAGCCATCTTCTTTTTCTTCTTAGTTATTGTATTGACCATTGCCCCCTCCAGCCCCCCAGCCAAAAGCTTTCTGCATCTAACATGGTTTTTCCTTGCCTCCTTTACCAGCAGTACAAGCTGTCTACATGTCACCTACTACTGCATGGCCTCTGCGATCAGCACACCTTCGACCATGTGATGATTTTGCGTAATGAAGTAATCACTTGACATTTTTAGTGGATTCACAAGGACATCACGATGACATAACCTTGGCAATCTGTGATGCCATGATGATGTCATCAAGCCATAATCTCTGATCATGTAACTTTTTGGGTTGCTTGCGTTGATGCCACCACTGATGCTGATGGTCACTTTTCTCGTTTGATGAGCCATGTAAGTTGTTCTTTTCGAAATATAACTCTTAACTTGAACCACAACCATCAATAACATATTGGTTTGCTGAAGCATTAATAAACTGTGGTTTACACCAACTTGTACTAACTATATGACTGCACTTTTAATTTATGACATAGCTTAACGTCCACTCCATCATACACAAGACTTAGCTTGACCAATTCCATCTATCTTACACATATTTTCATTTTTGTCAAGTTTTCAGGCAACTCGAACTGGAATTTAATGTCATTCGGTACTTGTCCCACTAAACATTCTGGTCCTTCAGATGCCAATATCACAACACAATCATGAGATGTGCCATGGTGGGGTACTCTACCTAGATTAATTCCAAGTTGGACCCACATTCTCGAGCACATGAATATCGTTGAGGAGATTTTTCAGTTTTGTTTCAGTGTAACAGAATATATAGCTAGGCTATAGATGGTACTGCACTCTTCATGAAAAACCCAGAGAACTGGAAAAGTCAACAGATGCATGACGGTTGCATGCAACTCAAGCAGTTGTGTTGCGTGCAACATTCGTTACCTGTTGTATTTCTTGTGTTTTAGTTACAGCTGCTAAACTCTTGTAGCTAATGGCTGAGTGGACAATGTAATAATTTTCCATTTCTTCATTTTTATTGTTTTCTCGTCATTTTTCACCATGTGTGACCAATACTGGCAATTACTTACATTTGATGCCATCCCAGCGGAAAAAATGAAAATAATGAAAGTAGTTTATACACTTAATTTATCTCCCAGTACCAATTATTGTTGTTTCTTTCATTTTTCTTGCGTGTGCTATTACACACATAAAAGAAAAGCTGTTGTATTCACCTAATCTACAGTAAGTGAGCAGCATGGTTTTTTTCATCACACCGCACCAGATTGTGTTTGCTGGCCAGTCAGCAGTGTTCCACAGAATAGAAAATACTAGGTATGGGCAGGTTGTGCACTTAAGGTTTTAAGCGAATTCATAGTGAATAGTTATGATCTGATTATTTAAAGTCAAATGGTTAAGACAGTGTCTATTAACTGTGTGTTAGTCCTCATTATTATTGTGTCTAACAATAAAAATGAACACCTAAATTTACACTTCTCTTCCTTCGTAGGATAATGCATAGTAATGTATCACATACTTTAAAAAAAAAAAAAATGAGCGATATTGTAGTGAGCCAACTCACTCGCACAATATTTTTAAAAATACGAGCAAGGCTAGTGTAATATCAGTTTTTTTTTTGGTAAGAAGCAAAGTGTAGATACATTTGAATGGCAGTAGGGTGCAAGCTCTAGGTAGTAAAATAAATTAAGCTTTGAAATTTTTTGCACTTATGGCATCTTAGCCTGTATAACATGCTTTTAAACATCATGAAAAATATTATTCGAGGAGGAGGTGATATGTGCAGCTAGTTAATGACTTGGTGGGTGGTTTTACGGCATTACAGTGCCATGCTGCAGTGAAATTACTTTTTTAGGAAGGTCACATGCAGTCAAATTACGTTCATCTGTTCACTTTGAAATACTTCGAAACTGCAAATAATTTAAGTTCTTTTGAAAACCAATACGAATAGCATAATATTTGTTCGAATATTAGAAATGCTTGGATATTCGCCCATGCCTAGAAAATACAAGGATTGTTCAAGGGAAAAGTACGAAACATTGTAACAATATGACCGTTAACATAGATGCCTATGCCGCTATGGACAACGTAACGAGACATATAAGGATGCATTTGGAGTCTCTGCCTTCAATCACAGCATGCTGGGTTGCCCGCATGTGCAAGAGAAAACAGAGGCTCTTATAAAGAGTGCCATTCAATTGACACGGCATTGCGTATGAGGATGGGATGGCGTTCACATTTCAAAATTCTATGCTTGAAGAGCCGCGAGGCGTTATCTAACTACTGACAGTGGACGGCGTTGAATTAGTCACCATTCATTGCCTGCGATTTCCGGGAGTTTGGTCCCCTCAAAAAATGTGAAAGGAAAGCGCTTTAACTGGGACGATGAACTCAATGATGCTGTGAAGGACTAGGTCTCATCATGGCCACAGAAATTCTGGGAACAACAAATCATTTGGCTAGTTCATCAATGGGATTGATGTGATCAGGCAAATAGTGCATACTTCTGATAAAGTCTTTGTACTCACAGCGTCATTCCGCACATTTTCATTTGAACACCCCCCGTAAGTGCATTTTATATATAGATAGCAGCAAGCAATACAACTTTGTGCAGGATGCCAGCTGCAAGAAGGGTGCGTTCTCAGTGCCGTTGCTGCGACGCTGCATTGGTCTCACAACAGCGCAGAATGAGCCGGACAAGTTGGTCAAATACTACCACTTGCTCTTTCAGGCAAGTCAGCTCATTTTGCCACTCAGGTCAAGGAAATGTTGACCTCAAATGTCTCTGTTGGTGTGCACTTTAAATCATAGCGATGGTGGGGAATACACTCAAACCTCATTATAACGAAGTTGCATCTGAAACCGAAAGAATTTCTTTATGTCCGAAAATTTGTTATAAAGGTATATTACTAATACTATAATTACTGCAAGGCTATTATTCATTTACTTTGTTATAACCAATATTTCCTTACATCCAGGTTCGTTATATCGATGTTTGAGTGCATTCTGTACTTGGCGACAACTGTTCTTGACAGCACTGTGGAAGCTACAGAACCAAAGCACATGACTGTTAGGGTGCAAGAAATAGTGTTTATGTTCACTGATAATTTTCTCATTGGTCTTGCTGAAGTAAAGGCTGCTTTATTTCTAATGAGTCTCAAGCAGTTGTGAGAAGTTGGAGGTAAAAAACAGTTGTTTTTCACACGACCTGAATGCCTTTCTTTTCTTTTCATTTCTTAGACAGCACTGCTTTTTCCACACCCGATTTTCAATGTGAACATGGCGTTCATGACATAGTAGTTCAGTTTGTGGCCACAAAATCAGCTGTTTAGTCCCCCCCACCCAAAAAAAAAAAGGATTTGTGTGGGCCACGTAATGCATTCAGTAGACAACCGGTCATCACTTGGAGCAGTGAAATGGCTACCAAGGGATGGGAAACACAGCCAAAGACGGCAGCTGGTTTGATGCAGTGATGAAATTCAAGGACCTGCAGGGATAAAACGAAGTCAACTCCCACAAGACAGATTAAAGTGGAGATCATTGGCAAGGGCCTGTCCTGCAAAGGGCATAGCAAAAATTGATCTGATGATGCCCTTTAACATCGAGTATGTTTGAGAAAGATTGCAATTATATCTTGTTGAAACACAGCTCTTCATCAATGTTTTGTTAATCATCATCTTTTAGGTGAGAACATTCCACAGAAGGAACCGAAAAAATGGAACTAGACATAAGAAAATTTACATAGTCACTGCAGTGGAATTTATTGAACAAGAACCGCCCATCAATCAAATATTCTAAGACTCTAACGCAGCCCTCCAAGTTGTGTGAAGCTTTTGTCATAGAAATAACGATTATTTCGTGTCTCTGAAGGCACTTCCAAATTATAATAAAAACTGTTAACAAAGGTAATTAAGGTTTTGACGAATGTTCATCTTGGAATGATGGGCTTTGCCATCGTGACAATCACTGTATTACGATCTGGATTTCATCAGTGGCAATCATTTACTTCAATGATAAGATAATATCAATTCATGATTGCTTGTAGGCATTGCTGGATGCACGTGATGAGGATGGACTCGTGGCTTGTACTGATGATGTTATCAAGCTGCACTGCTCAACATTCCCAGAGACAGAGGCAAGTTATTTGGTGAATGTGTACTAGAACACGGCTTCGAGTATGTTGGCATGGATAGGGGGCAAAGTAGAAAAAAGCTATTGTGAAGTCAACTGTATTCGTGGGGTTGGGCTACCATAATTACTCCAATGATTTCAACAAGGTAGGATAATTATGACTAGCTAGGTAATTAAAGACAATTGTAGGTAGTTAAGCATGACACTATTCCTAACACATTTCTCTCACATTTACCACTAGATCACCGCTGAATTTTGCGACTGTGCAGTTTTAGTTGTTAGTAGAAATATTTAATTTTAGTGCTTTATTTTTCGGTTTTACATTCTGTTTCATTGTGATGGACTGCTCACAAGAGTATGCAAGCCATTCTCGACAGCCAGCCTAGAAAATGCGAGCATCAGTGATTACATGAGTAGTATTAATCGAGTGCTAAAGGCTGGTTCACACCGGCGACTGGCACTGTTCGCGCGACCATTTGTGACTGGTCGCAAACGGTCGCATCGGTCGGAAAGCGACTACTTTGGCTAGTTACAACCTGACCAATTTTTCAGTCGCCCGACTGCAATCCCAAAGCTGCTCGAACCAATCAGCGATGCCCTGAAGTGATGCCAGCATTTCTTTATATCCAGGCTCTTTTTTTCGTTTTTTCATCGCACTGCCTCTTTGTCGCCACATACAAAGAAGCGCATTCCTTTAAGTCTTTGCCACCATGGCCACCGCGGAGTACTTGGTTTGGAGATGGCAGGGGGCAGCAGCTCAAGCAAAGTGTCGAACTTACGTGGCTGCATTTGCAAGAGACTAAACACCCTCAAAATAAAGAGAAAATGTATTGTGCACTACTTTCTCTCTAATTAAGAATCGTTTTTGTCTAGAACTTGACTTGCCATCGCCTTCAATTCAACGCGTTTGTGCAGCATGCCTTGGCACCGCCTAAAGACAGGACATTTGAGACGTGTTTGTGCTGCATTGGAGGCGATGGCAAGTCAAGTTCAATTCAAGGAGCGTTTCCAAATATGTTACTCCCAGAAATAATCCTCGTCATGTGAGCGCAGCTCGAGAGGCAGGCGCTTGCATGGCCGGCCAACTCTTGCGAGCGAAGGGATGGTCACACCCACCACTGGCTTTTTTCTTTCTTTGGAGGCTTCTGCTCTGCCAGCTCTTAGACCATGACATCGCGCATCAGCGCCATGACAATATTTTGTTCTCCGCTCGAATCGAACCGTACGACGCTGCTAGGACTGCTACCCGAAAGCGAACGAAAACAATAAATGCGGCGCACTCAGTTTGCTTTCCTCACTTGGCTGGCGATGATCTCCTGATCAGCTTATCGGCACCGGTCTCCAAAGTTCTCGCTGATAACGAGATCTGGACGTGACTCTCTGGCTTTGTGCCTTCCGGTTGCTCGCATGCAGCCTCTGCCGGTGTGAACATCAGTAGCTTTTTGGTCGCCAATTGCGAATGATCGCACGACCGGTGCTAGTCGCTGGTGTGAACCGACCATAACTCACACACTCAAACCTCAATAAAATGAACCAGAATATAATGAAATATTAGTTATGACAAAGTAAATATTAGGAATATTTCTTTCTAACAAATTTTCAGATATAACAAACTTATTTTTCGTGTAAGATGTCGCTTTCTTATCATGAGGCTTGAGTGTAACAAGGTTTTGCACTAAATGTCAACAGCTGTCTACTGCATGGTGATGTATAGGTCCTTGCCCCCGACTACCCAAAAGCTTCCTGAACCTAACGTGATTTCGCAGTGCCTTCAGGATTGCAAGCATTGCAAGCTTTCTGTACCTGACCTAGTTTCACACTGCCCCTGTCATCGGCCCAACCTCCTTCATGCGATGATTTCATATTGTTACGTGGAAAATAACAATTGTCAGTCCGCAGCGACAACGCAGCTCACGTCACCGACAACGTCCACTTCTTCACTCTCAGTCTGAGGCACCTTACTTGGGTATGCCCCACTATGCCCACTTTCAGTCAGACGAAATCACGTAACACGACCCCCGGCGGCAAAAGCGCCGACCCGGCGAGTTTACGGGGCCACAGCAGGAGCAGTGTGGTAACGCTTGAGCCTTGATACGTGGACGATGTCCCTTTACAGCAGAGCGGAAGAGGTTGATGGATTATCAGGGACAATTTCATATGTAGTGTCGGTCACTCTTCTAAGCACGCGGTATGGGCCCGTGAAACGAGAGAGAAGTTTTTCTGAAAGGCCTGCATGTCGCGTAGGGGACCAAAGAAGAAAGAGGGAACCTTTTTGAAAGTGTTCGCCGCGATGCCGCTCGTCGTAACGATGCTTCTGCGAGTCTTGGGACGCCATTAATCTGCTGCGGGCAAGCTGACGGGCGTGGTCAGCTCGGGTAATAGCGTCGCGTGCATATTCAGAAGTAGACTGCGCAGCGGCTGGCAGGAAGGTATCCAACGGCAATGTTGGTTCGCGTCCAAACAGAAGGTAAAATGGCGAGTACCCGGCAGTGTCATGCCGGGAGGAATTGTATGCGAACGTCACGTAGGGTAGTGCAAGGTCCCAATCACGATGGTCGACCGAGATGTATTTCGATAGCATGTCTGTCAGGGTGCGGTTTAAACGTTCTGTAAGCCCGTTTTTCTGGGGGTGGTACGATGTCGTGAGCTTATGTTGGGTAAAGCAGGAACGCAGGATATCGTCAACCACTTTCGAAAGGAACGTACGGCCTCGGTCTGTCAGCTGTTGACGAGGGGCTCCATGCACTAAAATGAGATCGCGTAGTCGAAAATCAGCGACGTCTGTAGCGCAGCTTGTTGGCATGGCTCGCGTAACTGCATAACGGGTCGCGTAATCCGTAGCCACCGCGACCCACTTGTTTCCGGAGGCAGATGTTGGGAAGGGACCGAGAAGGTCCAAACCAACACGGAGGAATGGCTCCGATGGGATGTCGATGGGCTGAAGATATCCGGAAGGGAGTCCCGACGGCTTTTTGCGACGCTGGAAAATTTCACAAGCGTTGACATAGCGACGTACAGAGCGTGAAAGGCGAGGCCAGTAGAGGCGGCGGCGGACATGGTCATATGTGCGAGAGACACCAAGGTGACCCGCGGTTGGCGCGTCATGGAGCTCGCGTAGGACTGTGGAACGCAGGTGCTTTGGTATGACCAGAAGTAGGTCGTGACCATTGGGCGATAAATTACGCCGATATAAGGTGTGGTCCTTTAAGGTAAACATGCGAACAGAAGCGTCTTGCGGTGAAGATTCGAGCTGTCGTATTAGGCGGCTGATATCCGGATCGCGACGCTGCTCGTCCTCGAGATGAAGCAGCTGGGAGATGGAAAGGACGCAGCCCACAGAATCAGTGCTCGTAGGATCGCAGTCGGCCACAGGGTAGCGTGACAGACAATCCACATCTTTGTGCAGTTTTCCTGATTTGTACACTACGGTGTAAGAATACTCCTGGAGGCGGAGTGCCCAGCGGGCAAGACGACCTGTGGGATCCTTGAGGGAGGCGAACCAGCAGAGAGGGTGGTGGTCGGTGAGAAATATAAATGGTCGGCCGTATAAGTAAGGGTGAAATTTCGCGACTGCCCACACCAGCGCTAGGCATTCGCGCTCTGTGATGGAATAATTACGCTCCGAGGTGGACAGCAGCCTGCTGGCATAAGCTATCACGCGATGCTGCCCACGTTGTCGCTGAGCCAACACAGTGCCTATTCCGTAACCGCTGGCATCGGTGCGCACTTCGGTCAGTGCCGTAGGGTCGAAGTGAGCCAGCACAGGGGAAGAAGTGAGCAAAGTGGTCAGGTCGGAAAATGCTGCTGCTGCTTGCGAGGGACCCCAGGTAAACGTCTCATCTGGTTTGAGTAAATCTGTTAGGGGCCGAGTGATTTCGGCGAAGTTCTTGATGAACCGCTGAAAATAGGAGCAGAGCCCCACAAAGCTGCGGACATCTTTGGCGGTTTTTGGCACAGGAAAGCCCTTCACAGCTCGAACTTTTTCTGGGTCAGGCTGTACGCCGTAAGCGTCAACAATATGTCCAAGTATTGTAATGCGACAGCGACCAAACCGGCACTTGGATGAATTCAGCTGAAGGCCGGCGAGACGGAATACATCAAGAATTTTCGACAGTTTCTCAAGGTGCGCTTCAAAAGTGGGAGCAAACACAATCACGTCATCCAGATAACAAAGACACGTAGACCACTTGAATCCATGGAGCAGGGAGTCCATCATTCGTTCAAAGGTGGCGGGGGCATTACATAAGCCGAAAGGCATGACTTTGAATTGGTAGAGGCCATCGGTTGTTACAAAAGCCGCCTTCTCTCGGTCCATGGGGTCCACGGCAATCTGCCAATAACCAGAACGAAGATCGATGGAAGAAAAGTAGGCGGCACCATGGAGGCAATCAAGGGCGTCGTCAATGCGGGGCAGAGGGTATGCGTCTTTCTTGGTGATGTTGTTAAGGTGGCGATAGTCCACACAAAATCGCCACGATCCGTCCTTCTTTTTAACTAATACCACCGGGGATGCCCAGGGACTGGAGGATGGTTCAATAATGTCCTTCGCTAGCATCTTGTTCACCTCCTTCTGAATTATGCTCCGCTCAAAAGCAGACACTCTGTAGGGACGGCGGCGAACAGGGTTGGCATAACCAGGCTGCTGTGTGTATGCGATGCTGGACAAAGGACGTCTGCCCAAGAGGTCGGTCACCAAAATCGAAAATATCCTGGTAGGCCTCGAGAAGATGTTGTAGGGCTTCAACTTGTGGAAGCGAAAGACCAGTGGCGATCATGTCTACAATTTGACGGCTGCCCGAATGTGTTGCAAGTGATGTGCGCTGCGGTGAAACAAGTGTCTCTAAGGCAAGCACTTCAATTTGTGAATCGAGCAACGGACACAGGTGGGCCACAGAAATACCTTGTGGAAGCACATGATTCATGTAGCCGAAATTGACAAGAGGTAGACAAGTTTTCTTATCTGTGATGCTGAGCACCGTATAGGGCACTGCAACATTGTGCGCAAGGAGTACGTCGGTGAGAGGCGTAGCGTAATAGTCACCGTCGGGCACAGCTGGTGAGCACAGAAAATCGACGTACGTCACAGTTTTGGAGGGCAGGCGAACAAAATCGCTGCATTGTAATCGGCATGTAGGTTGGTACGGGGCGGCACTGATTTGTGGCAGTTCAAGACGGAGCACACCAGCGGAGCAATCCATCAGAGCAGAATTGGCGGCAAGAAAATCGAGGCCTAGTATGAGGTCGTGGGGAGATGTTGCAAGCATGGTAAAAAGGACGACTACTTGATGACCGGCTACGGTAAGTTGAGCTGTGCACATACCGACGACAGGGACTGTTGCACCATCTGCAACTTGGACGACACTGGTCAAGGGGGGGCGTGAGGACCTTCTTCATGCGACGACGAAAACGCGAACTCATAATACAGACGTGAGCGCCCGTATCAATCAAAGCTTCAACAGGTGTGCCATCAACATATACTTCTAGGGTGTTCCGGTTCAAACGTAAGGGCAACAGAGGATTTTTGGGTAAGGTCGACAGGGCAGCTTCACCTCCAGAAGCTGCGCAGCCTAGTTTTCCGGGGACATGCGGTGGTTGAACGATGGCGAGGGAGAGCGGCGACGCGTATTTGAACGAGAAGGGCGGCTTTGAGGCGGTGGCGACAACGGGACAGGATGGCCGTAGTTCTCAGGGGCAGTAAATGCTGTAGACTCAGTGTGGGTCGAATAACGGTGGTTTGGTGGACGGAATGAGTTACTGTAAGCGGGGTGCGAGCCAGAAGACATAGATGGCCATTGGCTGCGGCAGTAACGAGCGATGTGTCCTGCGCGACCACAGCGGAAGCAGATTGGCTTATCATCAGCTGTTCGCCATTCAGACGGGTTCCTGGTTCGAATAGAGTACGGACGGCGACATCTCATGTCCACAGAAGCTATCGAGGGACCGGTATTATCCAGTGTGGGTGCAGTGGACAGGATACCAAGGTTAGCGAATTCCTGGCGGACAACAGCCTGGATCAAGGCGATAGCTGGCGTTGAGGCGTCGGGCAACGTCAGTTTGTTGGCAGCCGGGTAAGCGGCCCCGAGTTCATGTCGGACGATGCGCGTCACGTCTTCGGTTGTAGACGGATGACAAGGAGTGGCTTCGCAAGACGACGTTGCCGCGGTGTTGGGTAGGCGCTGAAACTGCTGCAAAATGCGTCGACTCTTTGCCTGCTCGAGACGGCGGCACTCTTTGATCACGGCGTCGATGGTCGTTACGTTGGTAAATACAAGCAGGCTGAACGCAACGTCGGTGATTCCTTTTAAAACGTGCGAAATCTTGTCGGCCTCAGTCATGTTGGGATCAGCCCTTAGACACAACGCTAAGACGTCTTGAATATAACTCAAGTAGGGCTCAGTGGACGTCTGTGTACGTACAGCCAATTGCTTTCGGGCATCAAGCTGTTGACCAAACGGGTTGCCAAAAAGGTCGCGGAGCTGTTGTTTAAACATTTCCCAGCTTGTGATTTCGTGCTCGTGGGTCTCAAACCAGATGCGAGGGGTCTTGTCAAGATAGAAAATGACATTCGCAAGCATAACGGTTGGGTCCCAGCCATATTGCTTGCTGACGCGCTCGTACATGCTAAGCCACTTCTCCAGATTCGCGTTGTCCTCTCCAGTAAAGGTACCGGGATCACGGGGTTGCGTTAGGGCGACGTACCGGGTTGCTGTCGTTGCTGAGGTAGGTGGCGAAGCCGTATCTTCACCCGGAGCCATGGTAGCAGACTTAAGGAGGCATCCACTGCGTAGCTCCGTTGTCAGAAGAGCACCCAGCACTTCCACCAAAATATTACATGGAAAATAACAGTTGTCAGTCCGTAGCGACAACGCAGCTCACCGACAACATCCACTTCTTCACTCTTAGTCTGAGGCACCTTACTTGGGTATGCCCCACTATGCCCACTTTCAGTCAGACGAAATCATGTAACAATATGATGACACCGTCATGTGAAGTCATACAAAATTAACAATTGGTGACATCACGATAATCTGATTACCGTACGTGTTCTTTTGTGTCATTATTGTTAACATTAGAAACACTGACAATCACATTTGTCGTTTGATGGGAAATCTGAGGCGTTCGCCTTAAAGTGTAACTCTTAGTTTGAACAAGAATAATCAATTTCACAGCAGTTTGCCGAATCTAGGCCACCTAGAAAACAGTGAATGGTTGAGGTTTGCTCCAAGCGCCACAGTGATCCCAGCTACTCACAATCGTTCCATGAACTCACTTCATTAATTTCCATTAATTATATACACATTAATTGACCTTTACCTTAAGGGGGCAGACTCATCTTAGACATTTTTTGTTTATTTCTTCACTGATCTTGATCAAAATGCACAGGCTTGTGCGTTTTTTTTGTTGATATCAAATATGTAATTACTTTCCTGTAACTCATTCTGTTCATGAAAAAGCCTAAGCTCACCTCCTATTGTTTAAGGCACCATAAAAAAAGTGCTTAATTAAAAGTGATATTTAAGATAAGACAACATAAACTAATTACTAGAAATTGAAAGCATGGAAAAGTTTTCTTGTTTTTGGCCTTTTTTCATTATTTTATAGCAAATTAAACTTTCCATATTCATGAGCAGTTTTCATTATGTCACATTTTTAATGAATATTTAATTAAAAAAGGCTTGTGCTCTAAATTCCGCTCCCATACTTGCATTCTATACACGTACAGGTTCCTTTTGCAAAAATAATTATTGTTGTGCCCGCCTTAGCTGCAGAGACCTCAAAATTGAACAGTCGAAAATTTACTGAGAAAAATGGAAAAACTGCTAACACCCAATTTCTTCAAAAAAACCAATCACGGTTTGCATGTTTTGCAATGCCCATAAAAGCACTCATAAATTGGTAGTAGAGCTCCAGACACAGGTGGTGGCAAATTATAAAGAAGGTCCGAAGTAGGTTCTCCATTTTGTTACAGGTTCTGCATTGTGCTAGCACCAAGAATCGGGACAGTCAGAATGACATTACAAAAAAATTACAACTTCCTGGTGGCTGAAAATTTGCATAGAGATAGAAAAATACTTGCAGAAACCAAATATGCCAATTTTAAACAATGCATCTTTTTGTCACTTTTAGTCTTGAAGACTAGTCTGCCCCCTTAAGTCAAGTTATGCTCCGATATCCTATGTATTCAATATAACTCTTAACTCGAGCCACTGATTTCTGTTTTTAAGACGAGTTATACCTGAAAAACAGAAAGTGTGCTACTGCACATGCTTGAAAGACAAAAAAACTTGATACTCGTGCCACTAAAAATGACTAACATACCAGTGCTACACTAGCCATGCATAGTTCCAAGAGGAGAAACTGTGCCATTCGTCCAACATTTTTATGACAAGCGAACGTGTACATAGCCTGAAAAAAAAATATAGCTTAAACTAACACAGTGTTCTCTTATAGTGTCTAATGAAACATTACTTGCCCTGAATACAAAGGCAATGTGCAGCTGTGAAAAGCTGCTACCATGAGCAGCTTGGGGAGGCAGCCATCTTCTATGTGTGCAACATCGAGCAGACACAGAGCGCACCTAGGATAACTGCAACACAAAAAGTCATGTTCAAACTAATAGTATAATGATATGGAGTCTTTTCAGAGTGCCCGTTATTCGTTTGGAGAGCACCAGTAATTTCATGCCAAGTATTAAAGGCATTTTCATACAATACAAGTATTGTATGAAAATGAGTTAACCAAGTTAGCCGCAAGCAGTGCACTAACACTTTGCTTGTTTCTTCAGCTTATCTGGATGATGACCACGGTGTGGAATGAAGGGCTGCAGCGATATATCGAGGGTGCCCTACCAAGTGCCAAACGCTACCTCAACTGCGCCCTTCGCATCGTTGACATTCTGCCAACGCTAAAAGCCGCGTACCAGCAGCGCCTTCTGTCGCGATATCAAGGGCTCTTCGAGGATGAAATGGATCAGCAGTCTACGACTAATGACAATTCTGCGTAGTGCCTTAACTTTGCCAAACCTTAGTTTCTAGACTTTGTTACCTGCCAAGTCAATGCGCTGTTATTTCCAGTTAGAACAAATGTCTCTATCTTCACTTATTCATTATCATTACTTGAAACTGATAAAGCACTTCATAATCATCCTTAAAGCACTTCATAATCATCCTTTAATAACCATATTCACAAACATGAATAGACCATTATGAAAAACTTTTCAGTGGGTTTGGTGCGTTTGGCTGAATATGCACTCTTTTAGAGTTTTCAACAACTTTTTTTTTTAAACAAGATATTTGTGGGTGCATAAACAGTAAACTGAGCCTCCGTGAAGGATCTGTCCTTTAAACCCTCATACACGTTTGCTTGGTTTACTATTCGTTTCTTATCATCCACCATACATGACTTTTAAATTATGACGGTGATTTGGGCACAGTGGAGCATTTGAATCACATAAATACTGCAGCCCAAATTAATAGATTGATATAAAGGCTGGAGCCCCTTCCATTGCCATTGAAATGATATTGAGAAAGCGTCAACTACAGTTCCATTTGGGGTTCCAAGGAAAAACAAAATCCTTTAGTCAAGAATAATAACAATAATCATACCTTGCCTTTTACATCCCAAAACCACGTTACGATTATGAGCGACCCGGTAGCGGAGGGCTCCAGAATCCTCAACAGTCTGGCGTTCTTTAATGTGCACTGACACAGCACAGTAAACAGTCAAGTCAAGGTGAAAGGCGCAGTGTATATACACAAGCACATATATGGATCTACAGTTATATATGCAGTTTTGTAGACAACTCACAGATAACTACATGCTTCAAGGAAAACAAAATATGTCATCAGAAATGCCAGCTGTCATAGATATAAAATCTCTGCAACATTATTAAGAATGTGGCCCACAATGTAAAAGAAATCTGTCATTAGTAGAAGCACGTGAATAGTGAAACTTAGAACCGAATAGAATATGAACTGAACAGTAATCATACCAAATCGAATACCATTTGAATAGTTTTCAATATTAAGCCAACAGGCCTAGGATTCTGTAACTTCATTTATAACAAATATTCACATACTTCGACAAATTAACGTTACTGATACACTCAACTGACAAAATACTACAATTATGTTAACTGTGTCTAGCCCACATACAGCAACTACTACAACCTTCAAAGTGTTTTTTAATTAAAAGATGAACACAGCAGTTACTTCAGTATTCAAGGTAGTATAGGTGCAAAAAATAAAGTTTCATGATGAACATCATCAAAAATCTCATAATGCTGATATAGATCAAGGGCACATTCACTTCAGCGAGTGTGCAGTTTAAAGCAAGGATTCCTTAAAGGGACCATGCAACACTTTTCTGAGCAGCCATGGAATGAGCTCACTAAAGACACTTATTGCCTAACGAATTTGCCGCCGCAAAAATTTCAAATTCGTCCTGTACGAGCAGTGTTACAAAGAGTTGTCCCAGAGTGCAATTGTATTCTCTCTTCTCTGGGCCTAACGAAAGCGCTGCAAGCTAAGCAGGAAGGGATAGCATGAGTAAATAAAATAAGTCACGAGCCCCATGTGAGCTTGAGCGCTTTTTCTTTCCTTTTTTTTTTTCTTGAAAGGCATGTCTTTTCAGTGGGATTGCATGTGCACACGTGGACAAGTCGCGGCTTCCTGCAGCGACCTCGGTAACGACTGAGGCCGCTACGCTCAGCAGTGATCTTTGAGCCTGTAGAATCACTTGTCAAGAGAAAAGAATTTTTAGCCGACTTTAGGTTTTATTGTAAATTCCAGGCCACGTGCTGCACTATATTTGGCTTGCGTGTTCTTGGGAGCCTCTGCTATCAATCTACCATGTTTTCTAACCTCGCTCAGAAAGAGTTGCAGGGCCCTTTAATGTGATTGGTTAATGAGGCTCTAATAGCCCCGTAAAAGCTTGAACTGCACATATCTTTGTCATTCACTAGTTAAAATGCAAAATATAATCATTTGCTCTTCCAACTCTTTGTTCCTTTGAATTTCTTCTGTCAGTGCCGATTATTTGAAAAATATTGCAATTCGAATATGTGCTATTCAATTTGAGAAAAGAATTGTACGCCGTTTAATTCGTTCTTTGAAGTTATCGAATCTTCGCACACCCTTATCCATCTTGAGCAAAGACATATGATGCATCATTTTGTCAGTAACAGCACCTGCAACTGGAAGCAACAGTAAAAGTACTTTGTTTTTGTTATAACCGGCCCCCGCAGCTGAGCCGCGCCCCGAAATGCACGAACAGAGTGGCCAGGGCAAAAAGCGAGCGTTTGTTGTCCGGCTTGGGTTTTTATAAGAACGAAAGGTAAGGGAAGGGGAAGAGGGAGATAAGATAGAAGGCGCGCGCAGCGTAGACTGGCAGCGCTTGTTTAGCGGTGCCCGAACAGTTCGTGGCAGTTTTAGAATTGAAATGAAAGCAATGGAGTTCGATGGAAACTCAACTGTTTAACATACACTTCTGCAGAATCTGTGCAAGTGGCAATAATAGTCTCACTCCATACAGCTGTATCTTTTTATATCAGCGATGCTTTCTAATTCGATAACTACTTAATATATTATAATGAGTTTTAGATCCAATCAATTTTTCAGTAGAAAAAACAAGAGCGAACCCTCTTGTAAAGGCATAAAAAAGAAGTTAAAGTCCTGTAACTGCAAAATTAGTGGTGTATGGCACTGCGTTTATTTTGACAATTCAGCATTTTTTTTATGTGCAAGCAAAGCATGGCCAGGGTGGCTAAAAATCGAGCTCATGTGCATCTCCTGAACACAATAGACCCTTCTCATAAAAGAGCACCCCAAATGCCCATTACGCAAACTACTCCTTGCCACCATGTATAGGGTAGCGGAGCAGACGACACCAACAGCATTTGATTGTACACGTAAGAAGGCAGAACTTTCTTGCGCACTCAGAAACGTGCAGTCACAACGAGTAAATTAAAAGAAATACGAATATCTTACTGGTGTGAGCCGCATTCTGCCTCAAATATTTCCACAAAGAAAGTAACGAAGCAATTTTTACATATCACGTTAAAAATACAGGTACTTTTGTGGAACTACTTTCACTGGCGGTAGGATACACGTACGAAGCGCGCGCACAGACCTCCTGCCCTATACATGGTGGCTTCTATCCCAGAACCCTTTGTAAAATCAAACTGACGAAAAGCTCGCCGTCAGGCGGCGTATTTATGAAAAGGGTCTATGTCAGCACTAACTCGAAGTCTGAGAGCCCCCACAAAACATGGGCAGCGTGTTTAAGTTTATACTGAAACGAACTGTATAGTGAGCATAGGTCGGCAAACTCGCACGAGTAGACCTACCCGAACCGAGATCAGGCCGCGAGGCAGAGAGTTACATTTTGGATACATTTTGGAGAGCGAGTTAAGTGAGGTCCGTAACAAAATGCTCCTTGACTCGAAACTCGACTTCAAGGCATCCTTGAAGACTGTTTCTCGCTGTGGTTTCTGCAACGCAAAAGTTCCAAGGATTCCTTTGAGGTCAAGTTTCAAGTCGAGGAGCGTTTGTGAATACCGGCCTTAAAATATACTTCTCGAGCGAGTCTGAACGACCTCCACCTTTTATTGCAGACCTATCTTATCTGGAGTATTACTATCAGCCTTATACAGGCTTACATTATTACTTAGGTCTATTCACACATCTCCGAGCATTAGCGTCCATTCGCCACAACAATATTCATTGATTGAGGCGAGATGCAAAGAAGGGGGCACCATGACTTCCCCCTGTGAACTCTTTGGCGGAAGTTCTTGAGAAGAACATCTCACTTGAGTAACGCCTTTCATAAAAATGTCATTACAGGATTGAAGCCACTAATAACTCGTATCTGAAGTAACATTTCAAAAGGCATATTGTACAGCATAATTATGCGAGATATTAACGTTAAAGGGCATCGACATCATGACTGAAAAACTAATATTATACTAACAGACCCCCCAGTCAGCTCGCTCAGGCCAAGCCGAGAGTCTCAGCAAGTCAGGCTGAGTAATACATTGGCGAAATTAAGTCTGACTAAGCCCTGCAAGGAAAAGTTTCAGCGAGTCTGGTTGAGAAAATATTGGTGAGCCCGAGTAAGCTCTCAGAGTAAAACATATTTCATGAGAGAAACTGAGTGAACTTTTTTTCACCAACCTGAGACGGTCAGCCAAACGAGTTACAAAACACTCGTATTTTACAAAGCCATCATATGTCGTGTAATACAAAGTTTTAGCAGGTTTGCTGCACTACAGCGAATTACTAAATTATAGTTATCGCATTACGACGTGGAAATTTATATTCATGTTGGAACCCATGTAATATCATTAAGTTATAGTGGCCAGTGGTACAAAAAACGACAATGAGCTGTTCCCAATGTGTGAAATGTATTTTAAGTTTCAGCTTGTATTCACACTAATAATATCTGGACTTCCAAGTCCCAAAACCACAATATGATTATGAGAGAAGCCACAGTGGAGGGCCTTCCAGAAATTTCGAACATTCGGTGTTTTTCATCGTGCACTGCCATCACACAGTACACGGCCATCTACCATTTCGCCTCCATCGAAATGCGACCGCCACGGCCAGGATCGAACCAGTGACCTTCGGGTCGGCAGCCGACCACTGTGACTGCTACACGACCGTGGCAGACCAACTTGCAATCAAGATGACCGAACCCACCCGAAACAGTTCCTTTCACAAAGTTTTTCTTTTTTTTAAAACACTGACAAACACAGACATCCGTTTTGCCAATACTCCTTTTTATTTCACCAATAATATCCCTATGAGATAAAGCATCTTTCCTTTTTACACTTCTCAGTTTCCAATAGCATTTTTCCAACAGGCCAGATTTCAGTGCCAAATGCAGATTCTTGTTCACTCCCTTGTAAGAATGTAAAATAAAGACACAAATCTGAATGCCAGGATAGCATGAATAAACAACCATAGAAAATCGCTGAACTTGTGAACAAGGTAAATAAGGATCCCTTGAATATTTATAATCTGAATTGGCACCGGAAGCACAAATAAACGTATGACCGATAAAAACTAACCCACAGCTTGTGGATTACTAATTATACATCTGTCAATGTAATATTAATAAAAAAAGAATGTCTATAACATTTAAAATTTTTTGTTTTATCTGCACATGCATACATTCACATACACACACACATTAACAAATAAAGCATTGCGGACATTATGGTAGTTTATGACTCTCCTGAAGCTAATTATCAAAAAATTTTTTTAAGATACTACAAAATGCTAACAATTGCATCATACTGTTTTTGCATTTTGTTTTGTTTTTCACCTGGTGTGCTTGGTGGCTGTTCCAAAAAGCTGTGGTCAAAGAGGACAGTTGGGTGAAATGCTCAAAAGTGACTATGGCTTGCAGTCTGAACAACCAAACTCTGTCGCAGTACAACACACAAAAAAGCTGGTTGAGCTGTGCATGAACCAATCATCTTCAAGCCGAGTTTCAGCTACAGCGTGTTGCAGTAACCTATTTCATTCATGTGATTGCACACAGTGGTGAAACACTTTTCTCCGGCTGTAACCGAGGTGCACCCTAGCCACCGTTGTGTAAAACACCGTGTGCTCATGGGCTCGACCAAAATAGGTTAGCTATGAGTGCAAAGCATTGTTGGGAGTTGCAACTGCATCATACAAATCTCACTGCACTGTTTCTAGGCCTTGTGAGAAGTTCGCAAAATAGTCTGTAAGGAGCAAACTGAAAGAGATACAACAGATGACTAATCAAATGTCTGCAAAGTGCATGCATATAATGTGTAACATTGCAATTTTTGTTTCGCATGTAGCTAGGGGGCTATCACTTGAAGCATAGTTGATGCAATAGTCTACTCATCCTGAGGAAAAGGACTGCAATATGGAATGCCATCTATACTGCAACTTTTTTGTGCCTATAAATCAATCCTGGGAACAGCTCAGCCAAACAGCCTCTAACTTTAATAATAGAATAAAGCTGCACATACCATATAGAGAAAATGCTGAATGACCAGTACACTTTGTTCATAAACCACATTTTGCGGGTGGACTGCAAAATGTTTCGCTTTTTTAAAATCTCTCGAAATGCTGGGCTTACAAAGGCACAAACATACACAGATACCCGAATACACATTGATATACCCAAACACACATCCATTCAAAGATTTGTACTTGTTGATCCGGAAGCTCAAAAAGTTGCGACCCAACGAGATGGGAAGTTAGCCCAATGAATTTTTTTTTTTCCCTAATCAAACTCTAGCTGGACAAGGGCACATAGACTTGACAGAACAAGACAAGGCCATGGCTTGGCTTAGGCTTGATTCATGCAGCCATCAAACACTCGCTCACTTCACCTGTCACATTGCTGATGTCAACGGCATTGTCCCTGGCATGCCGTGATAAGATGTCACCTCATGATAAGATGTCACCTCATGGCTGGTGTCGTCGTGGTGATGTGACAGAGGGTTTCAAGGCCGTATGACATGGGCCTTAGAGCAGTAGCGAAGCCAAGGCAAGCGCTGCCCAGTGCCAAGCCAACACTTGGCAAGCAAAAGCAATCTTTTCCAACAACTCAGTTTGGTCCTATTAGAGACATTGCTTTTGCTCCACTTACATTCTCTGCTTTCACAATACTTAACAGATTTTACATTTTTAAACCTCTGATCAGCCTATACACGGTTGGGTGCCAAATCAAGCTGTCGGCAACAGCAGCACAACACTTAGACACTACTTCCCGCACTCACATTGAGATGGTAAACAACCATAATACAGAGTCCGCATGGCCACATGCCACTGTGGAAAATGAGGTCTACAAAGAAAGAGGAAACTTTAACAGGCATACTCGATTACTGTGCACGTAAGCTTAAACTGCAGCTGCCGTTACTAACCGCGGAGTTCTGTTGAAGCAATGCTCCATGTGGTACGTTTCTAGACTAATCGTTAAAAATATAAGGTTTCCCAACAGCCTTGGAACACAAAGCAGGGATTCCCATTCGCATCACCACAGGCATACTAAGTACACAATGACGCCCAACATTGCATGTAATCCCAGATCACCAAGTTGCCACAGTGGCATGCGACATCGGACAACACCTCATCTTGTGGGCAACACGTGAAGGTAGACAGCAAAGTCCCCTGTGCAGCATGTCACCACCAAGCAAAACATCTCCAAAAGTGCTAGACCACTGTTAAAAGCACACAGGTGAGACTGGCATGAAACTACGGGTCATGTAGTGGGCATCTACTGCCTCTCAAACGCTCTGGACATCTTTATCATGAGCGCAGCAGCTGTTTAATAAATGATTTGTGGTGAAAACCAGAAAAAAAAAAAACAGAAGAGAGGACACCATTCTGTTTCTACTTCTGGCCTTCTATGCCACTTTAGTTTTTTTCTTTCCTTGTTTTGTTTGTGCCACAAATCTTTTGTTAAGCTATGCACAATTCTCAGCCTTCTACAGAAGCCGTAGTTACAGGCAGTATCCCATGCACTTTTAACAACGGCCACACAGTCAAGTCATGACCGCATTAACTCTATACACGGTCATTCACGATACATGATCTTAACAGCCAAGGAGCAAAATAACTCCATGATAGCTTGTGATCTTGCATTGGTCAAAGCTTCCAGCTCCGTTGACAGTTAAATACTACAATGCCTTTTTGATGTTTGTTTGCAGTTTTGTTGTTTGAGCTCATGGCTGCAGGCGTAGAAGCTTTCATGTGAAGGCATGGTAGACGAAACAGTTTTTGAATTCAGGAGCACTGACACATTGAATAAGACATTCCTGATTTGTGCAGTGATACTAAGTGGAAATGAGTACCAGCTTAAGAAAATAAAAATAACAAAGATTTTAGAGAGAAAGCGCCATGAGCAAAAATGTGCCCCTGCTACCATAATCTGCATACCAAATTATGTGCAGCAAATAATCAGTCTGCGGGAACACGTGGTCACTGGAAGCCTTGACCAATCACGGGAGAGCACCCAAACTTCAGGTGCTACCGAAAAAAAAAAAAGGTCTGCACTCCTGGGTCACTTGACCACAGGTTGCCTGCCACAATTCTGATAAGAAAACCTTAAGGCTAACTCAGTGGCGAGAATCAAAAAGTTCAAATCTCTTTGAAACAAAGTTAGTGAAATGAGACTGCAAGGAAGAGAATGAAAAAAATTGACTGTGACATATTAACACAATGACAATGGAAGGAAAAGCAAATGCACAAACTATCCAAAAATTCTCCAAACCACTAAAAATGAACAGTACAACACTATGCTAACTATAGATGCACAAGAACAGTACAGTGTTTTTGTTTTTTTTGGTATGCGGTGCATACCTTTACTAGAAATAGCTAGAAACACCTTACCTGTGAGGGCACGATGTGCCAAGCTTTAAGAATGACAACAAGGTGTTCCTAGTCATTAGGTTTGCAAGCAAACGACTTGCAAAATGTTGGAGCTGACAAGAGTTTCGGTTGTCAAGGTCAGACGTATCAAGCCATCCAAAAGACACATCATAATTGACCAGGCTTTTTCTTTTTCCTCTGATGTTCCGCCAACAAGCAGCCTCCAACACATGCCAGCCAGTGTCGGACAACAGCAAATTTTAAGTAGTTCCCTGACAGTTGTTAAAGAAAAAAAACCACACCACATCTTTTAAACTAGAACCCTGTTCGTGTGTACTCTAACACACACAAAAAAAGTTTTTGGCCAGAGTTTAACAGGAAGGTCTGCCGATAAGGGACGGACTGGCGGGATAGTTACTCTGGTGAGGAACTTTCGTTTCAAGGAAATGGTAGCAGTGGCATATCGGTTCGGACTTTGCTGCTTTGACTTCCTACCCACAACTTTGATGAAGCGTGAAACTGCTACCACAGCATGACATGATGGCTGATACCAATGTCAATGGTTACACTGTTCGTAACACGAAGCCACTTCAAGTCCGATGTCCAGTCACTGCACCTCGTCTATGCCAGCTTGGATTAATGCAGCTGACATGATGAAAACATATCTTTACGGTATGCAAGATGTGCTGTTAGTTACAGATTCATTGGATGGCATGGACAAGTGTAGGATGATGCACGGATGTGTCAAGAGAGCAGTGCTACAACATTGACAAAATGACTCTTAATGACCCAACACCACTCCTTAGCAGCCAACACAGCCCTGTTAAGAAGCCAAATTTTTGCATCAACAACTTGAAATTATGTGACTTGTTCCTTGCAAGACAGCATTTTGATAATGATATGAAGCAACATGGGACTATCTTTATTAACCCACTAGAAATGAGCTATAACCGATTCTGACTCCGGTTTTTAAAAGCTCTCAAATATCAGGAACTTGACAGCCCAGTGTAGTCGCAGTGTTCATTTCTTGTCCGAAGAAATCACATTAACATAATGTGAAAGACGCTCACATCACTTTTCGTTTCTCCTAGAGACATTCACACACCTCTGTTAATGACACATGTACACCTGTTTGCCACTACACACCTCTGTTAATGACACATGTACACCTGTTTGCCACTAGAAACAAGGCACAGGTCTGTGTCAAAACGTGCTAAACCACATGCACGAGAGGCTTTAAATGAGTAACATGAATGAATAGGTGCGACCAAAACGAAAAACAAACACTGACAGCTAACCCCTGATTTGTAGTGCCGGCATGACTATAAACTATAAAATGCGGTCACAACACAATTTATCATCGCTGCTACTTGCAGCTCTTTTTGCTGAAGCCACTAGAGAACTTTTGTAATCACAGAGAAAGAAAGAAAAGTAACGGCTAAGTCACCATATGCCATGACACGTCCTCACAGACACAGGGAGCACAGCTGGAGGGAGGAGGCAGGGCGATTCTTCAATGCCCCAAGCATCGCAGTCACGTCACCACAAGCGCATGGCTGCAACATCACAGTCCACACAAACATAAGATGAAGCGGCATGATTAAGTCCAGCAGCTTGCGAATGAGGAGATAGTCACAAGCTCCAGACATGGAGCAGGTAGCTAACAAAGTGACAGCATTGTGACCAGATAACAAGATCTTGTCCCAGTCGTTCAAAAGACGACAGCGTCTATGAATGAACGGTGAGGTCAACTACGTGGCAAACATCCACACTCGCTGCTGCCTTTTGCATGAACTCCAGTGAAAAGGTTTGACAAAGCTTTGAGAAGTCCCTCACTTCTGTGGTGAGCGGTGACTTGCAGAAGTTGCCACACGGTTATTTGATGACAGATGTGACTTCAGCTGACGCGAGTTGTGTTGACCTATGAGGCGTGCAACTTATGCTGCTCCGTCCTGTCTCTGGCAATCATGCAGTCACCGGATGAACAACACTGATGCCCCGTGGAGAGGCCATCCTCAAACGTGGTTGCAAAGGTTCGTTGAGCAGGTATGTACATATTCACAGTCGACATACTCACAAGGAGCAATGGGCGTAGTGTCACCCCCTACCCCATAAAAAGACACACACACAGAAGTACGCACTCACACAGATGCGCGCACACTAGCTGGATCCTCCCTGCTTACATAGGCGATCCTTTCCGCCCACATAATAGCATTGCACAAAGTAGCTTAATGTGTCAAATTTCAGAAAGACTCGATGCGATGAAGACACGTGAAAAGCTTGTACAACCATGACAATGTTGAAGAGATAAAATATACATGACAAGATTAAGGGTCAGCGGGACGTGCATATGTTGATTAGAAATTGCTGCGAAAATGAAATTATGCATTGGCAGGCTTAGCACATAGGAGCAATCAATGCAAAGAATATGCACAAGTACAGAATGAGGATGTGCTGTGCTTCAAAATAGGTTGGGGAAGACAAAAGTATGTAATTCACAATGCAGCTATTTACAACACTTTCACACAAAAATGCACAAAAAGAGCCGGTAACGCACGAATGAGCTTGATGTGCAACTCCTGCAAATGAGACTGCCCTCAGTACAACACTGTCAAAGTACAACAGGTGGGTGATGGCACAACTTTCTTTTTCAAAAGCAGCTAACTGAAAGCACTGCACTTATCCACAGGCTCTCGACAAGTTATAGCAATGGGCAGCAGCTTATCTACATTTATGATAAAAATGCCTCTAACCGACACCTCGTTGAGAATAAATGATCTGCTGAAGATGATCTTGAAAGTGCAAATGATTTACAATTTTACCCTTTAGATGATAAAAACAGCTGAAGTAATGAAAAAACTGCTTTTTGGCAGGTCTTCTCATTAATTAGAAACATGAACTGCCATGTTACCCACATGACCTCTGATTATCCGAAGATTACCAGAACAAGTTTAGTGAGCATGTAAAACGTGAACATGTGACAAAGCCTAACTTACAGGAACCTGCAGTTGTAAGTTATGTTGTAAGTTATCTGAAATGTACCGCACAATCTCCTTGTTAAAAGAAAAGCTACTCGCAGGTCAGGATGAGAACATTGAAACCCCCACCATGTGCTCAAAATGGAGGGTGAAGCCCTGGGCGGAAACTGTATGTCATCATATACCACCAGAAGCTGCACACGTATCACAATCGTGACTACCACTGATCGAGGACCTTGAGGTGCGATTTTTGAAATCCCAACCCCCGCAGCTAACACAACTGTAACAGTGCTACATTCAAAACAAAGGATAGAAAAAAAATGCTGTCCTTATTGTTTACACATGTCAATGTAGGTGCTGTTCCATAATATAGGGCACACAGCAACTTTGTTGCTGTGTGCCCTATTATGATTTTTTGAAAATGTGTTTTTTGCCAACTTGCACAAGTTAGAAACACCATCTAAGATACCACACAGTGCTAATCCTGCCTCTTGGGAGAGCTCTGTGTAGACAGCTAAACTGAAGAATGCCAATGGTTTTAATATTCCCAAGCAAAGCATTTCAATCGAAAAAAGAAACCCTCAACTATAATCGGAGTGGCACCTGGATGACTTAAATTTAGCACTGCCCCACTTCTGTGACAAACGTAATGTACAAACAAATGATTTTATTTGCCTGTCTCACATTTCTTAGCTACTGCAGAACATGTAAGACATTACAGCTTCTAAATGCTATGGCTAGCCTTTTGCCTGCCTCGATATATCTGCGAGCCTTTCGTATACACTGCCAGTGCAAACAATAGACAAACTGAGGAAGAACACCACTTGCAATGTGTAGAACATGTGCCATGTCTTCCCAAGTGCACATAGGTTATCCCTGTGTTCATGCGTATTTCTAAAATTCACCTGCAGTGTGGCATACCCACAACTGTTACTTCTACAGGTATCAAGTTTCGACAGCAACACACTAATCTTTCTTTCATAATTCAGCAACTTACTCTAATGTCAAGGTCATTTGCACAATTCTTAGCCAATGAGCACCATGAGTTACAGCAGAGTAGCACTGTGAAGTGCTTTGCCCTGGTGCTTATACGAGTAGTATGGTGCTCATACTAAAATTAGCTAAAACGTAGACTGAAGTCCTACAGCTTTGAAGTAGTTAGAATTCTAAATTCTACAAAGCTGATATGACAGATTGAAGCACACATTACAACTTGCAGCAAGAACATTGCACCATTAGGTCACCCGACTTTTTGTGGATTCACTTAGTGACTATGTACATACGGTGGCACCTGGCCCCATGGGAACTAATTGAGACACGCTAAATGAGAACACTGAAGCAATCTGTCATGAAAGTGTTACATACTCTGCATTTGTCTGCATGCCCTACCTATGCATCATGATCTCTTCTAAATGTCATTTGCAGAATGCTTGATTCTGAGCGTTAATCTCAATTTAAAGACCATCTTTGCATTAGAAGGGTCACAATTTGAAGGATGTGACTTCACTGAACAATTAGCATTATTTTTTTTTTTTGTGTACATGTCCTGTTTCTAACCCTGCGTGTCTGGAACTTACTCGACCTACGCGATTTTTTCTCGAGTTCCACAACAACGAAAGTATATTACTGGCCGTAGAACAACAGAGGATTTGTGATAACATATCTAGTTTGTCTACTCTCATCTTAGGTTCGATGCCTAATTTAAATTTCAAGTAATGTGTAAGCCTTTCAGGGTATATTTCACAAATATACACCCTAATTATTAATCCCTGTCAGCCTAACTAATTACCTGTCAGGACGCTCAGATGTTTACGGTGATGCTGATGAATAACTAAAGCACGTGGAACACTTCAGCAATGCTGTACAACTGATGATGATCACTGGCATGATGAACTTGAGACTCTAAACACCGTGCATTTCTCAGTAAGACTTACACCCTCAATAATGCGTGTTCACTTAAATATCATGGGTCTGTGGTATGAGGTGTCAAAGGAGTGTCATTAAATTTGCGAGCCCATTATCGCAAAAAACAACAGAGCTTGCCTACAAGAGCAGAGCCACATAAAAAGGGACAACATGCACTTTTCTTTCAGTTTGCTGCTTGTGAGAGATCCAGCATCTACTGGATGGAGTGAACATGTACACACACACACACACACACACACTATGTACACTGTACATTAATTACATCATGTACAAAAACCCACACTGTCGCGTGTGCGACGTAAACCAGTGCTAGTGTCACACACGGGAGTGTATACATACAAGTGGTATCTATCCACTGTGACAAAAAAAAAAAAAAAAATCTGGTGAGTGAAGTAAAGACAGTAGTACAATCACGAGGCAAGTCATCTAGAGCACTCGTACGCTTTTGACATTTTTTCTTACCAACACGTAACGAAACGACCATAAAACGTAAGAAGTACAAGAAAAAAAAAAGAAATGCGAGCTGCAGCCACACACAAACATGCATGTAGCACCATTTTACTTTGCACTGCGACCCTCATTCTCACCCATTAATTACTTCATTAACTATGTGGCTTCAACGAGCCAAGACTAGCTTGCCAGGATGTCTCTCTCGGCCTCAGTGTCATTGGCAAACAGTGCCAATAGCCCAAAACAACAGAAATGATGAGAAATGCAAGCCCCCACAAGATGTAATATTGCCTTCAAGGCAGGAAGAGCCAGTGGTATGCTTGAAGTGCACTGGCCTACTTCGCGAAAGAAGGAAATAATCAAAGTGGGCATCTTGCCTCACGGCATGTGCTTGCAAATCTAGAATTCACTCATTCGCACACCCTGTTAGACCGTGCTTTTTCCCCTTCAGCTTCGAACGAAAATTAAAGAGCTTAACATTACAAGTGCCTGCTTGAAACCATGCCTCGCCCATACAACCACTGACAAACGAGACCGTAAGCGTGAGGCCCAATTTCCAAGCAGCAGTCACACAATGCAGAAACATCGTCCATGAAGTCAGCAGGTGCAATCGTGAATAACAGGCCTAACAAGAGTTGGAACACCAACTTAGGTTCCGACAACTTGCCATAACCGCCATGCACAGACCGTGGAGGCCTAATCGTAAGAATGACTGACAAATGATCCTCGGAGAAGTTACCCTACTCAAGTTCGTGAACCCCTCTCCCGAAAACCAATGCTGTGAAGATCACACAACTACCAGTTACTAAAGGGGACGGTCAGAGGTGGTGCCACCAACATAATGCTCATGACCTCGGGAATCGAGCTTTCCACTGAGCATAGTGACAAGCAGTACAAAGTAACAGTACTTCTAAAATGAAAAACCTTTCACTCAAACCACGAAAAAAAAAAATGCTAATTATAAAAGAGACAGCAATACCAAACAGCACCACTAGATGAACGATATAGCAGGTTGGTTTCGTCCTCTCGCGCACACGCCTCATTTTCTCCAATGAGACCCTCGTGCACACGCTGCCTCTATCTAAAACACGGAGGGGATTCTGTAATCTTGCTTTGAGACAGAGGTGGCGTGAACGTGACACACTGAACACCATTCTGGACAGAACGAACACATACACACATTGGCTCGAAGGAACAACTCTAAGTGCTCAAACGTTAGCCACTTTTCACCGTTGACGGTCATGTCAACAAAGATTAGAGAACAACAAAAATTAGAGAACAGCAAATATGCCCCCATCTAATCTGAGACAGAGGCAAGTTGATTAAAGAAAAAAAAGTTTTGAAAACGAAAGTGATGGTATGATAAGACGAAAGTGATCAGAGGACCATTTTACATTCAAGCGGAAGAAGAATATAAAGTACGATAGGGTCCGGCACGGCTGCATACGAAACAAAATCTCACAAAATGAGAAAGAACGTGCCTGGCTGCAGAACAGAGGTGGAAGTTGAAATCCTGACACCCGCCTTTTCAACAAGCTCGCTAAGGAAGTGGGTCAATGCTTCAGGGCAAGTAAAATTGAATCGAACAATGAATTAAAATTTAACAGCAGCTGATGGCAGTCAAAGGTAAAATCATGAGTTCCATATCTGCAGTAAACTTGCTTCTCAAAGTTGTAATGTTAAATCAAGAAATCTGCCTCTCCAGGATGGGAAATGTTGAGGTGCACTGGTAAAAGGAAGGAACCAATTCTTCTGAGCTTGAGACTTCAAAGACACCCGACTATATAATGAAACAAGACGTTCCATGCATAATTCCTAGTGGATTTCCTCGTGAGGAGTAGCTCATCTCTATCAAAATGACCTGAAGGATTTGACTTAAAAACCAAGTGCACATGCATAAGCACTGAAAAGACTTGGGCTGGTTCAAAATGGTCTTCAGCGAAAGATTGATGGTTTGCAAGAAGCAATATGTGGCCTCTATCGCTGCGGCTTTTCGTTTGCCAGAATCCTCTGGCAACTGAATTGTGCAGGCTCAAGTCAAAAGCTGCCTGCACCGCGCAAACTTCTCCACCTGTGCTTCGCAAGTAATTCTACTGAGGCCGGACATTAGCCGCTATTCCAATCACACCAAGTTTTCGCACTGACACTAGTTGCATCGGTTTGATTGCACCTCGCCCAAGCAAATTAAATGCATGCATGACGATGGGACTCATTAGTAAGGATCTTTCAGGAAAGCAGCTCGCATGTAACAAGAACACGACACTGGTCAGCTATTTTGTTGCTGTTGCAGTGTCTTCTATTTAGACTGTTCAGACACTTCAACTTGCCCTGGCCACCTCATTAAACAAGTCATTTTGAACATACTTGCCAAAGCCTCGATGGAGACCCTCGCTTTAAGGCAACACTGAACTTGCCGCTTCCTCACCTGAATGTGATCCCTTTACGACGCCTTCACAAAGTAAGGAATGGCGATATGCATGAAACTGTTATTCCAGGGTATCCGCAATTCCTACCTAAACAACTGCGTGATGAAATTACAACTCCCTAATTTAATGCCAAATGTGTGCACGCAAATCGAAAGCAAAAATGAGAGCCTGCAAAGAATCACCCGAAAAGAAAAGATGGGAGATTCATCCCTACTGGCTAATTCACTGCGCCGACTGCGCACGCCATGTAAATGACCTGAACTGCTTCTAAAAGAAATATCAGTAGAGTTAAGAAAAACAGATTAAAGAAAGCTTAAAAACACCTCTGATCTGCAGAATCAGACAACACCGCTGCACCCAATACTACGCCAGCAAGCAATCAGCTGTAAACCCCAGAGACAGGAAAACCAACGCACTTATTATGTCTCATATGCTACAGAATAGTGACAGCAATGTGTTTTAAATAAAAGAAGCGACAAAAGTTGATGATACGCTCCTCGATTTGCAGCTCTGTTGGAGGTGCCTGCCAAGGTCGTGCAGCGACTTAGTCAATCTAGAACGATCTCTACTTTAGAAAGAAGAAACCTTCTGCTCTTGAGAATGTAAGTGATCATCAAGATAAATTTAGTGCTGCATGTGCAAGTTGAAACTTGTACATCAAAAGTATGCTCATGACAGTAAAAAAAATATGTCACTAGAAATCGCTAACGGCATTGGAGCGCCACGAATTCTTTTCGTACGTCACAAAAAATGGGATTGCATGAACACACTAGTGCCCACTCCTTTAGCAAACACTGGCAGTACTTTAAAGCCCGTCATGTTCTGCACATGCACAAACCTGTCTTAAAAAATTACTCTCATTGTGATGGCTGTGATCAGTGATACAAAAAGCTGATAGGCATGATGAAATCGCACTAATTGCTTGCCCTTTGTTATTACAAATGGGGGCGACCCATAGGTCTTTGTCAAGGAAATTTATGCACCGAGGGCAGACGACTGATAACTTTAAAAAAATTTCGACTGTACTAGGCATGAACTGACAGTGGCCCCTGTATTTACAAATGGGTTTCATCTAACAGATCTCCTGAATTTGAATAACGCTGTCACTTGAAAGAGACACTGCACATTATGCAATGCTTCTCGGAGGTTCCCGCAGCGATTCAAACCGAGCCAACGTTCGACACCATTCACTTTGAGCGTAAAGTGAAGGCGACTCCCAAAAAATGAAGGTGGCCTGTAAGATTGAAGCACATTTGTAAACACAGTGGTCAGTGTAGGCGCACCAAGCACGTCTGCACGAAACAGCGGCGGCAAGGCAAGCACCTCTCGCAGAGCTGCAATAAAGGCACAACGGCCACAAAAACGCAACGATTCAAACTCCCAAGCTGAAGTTGATCCCTATACTAAACACCTTCGTGTAGCTGCACTCGTAATGTTTCCATAGAGGTAGAAGCACCGTGCCACCCAATGGTGCAACTAACGTCTTCTGCCAGCTATGCTGTGCAGGCTCACAAGGTTACGTCGAGGTTCGGCAAGCGTCCGTCCTTGCCTGCTTGAGCACATCCGACAATGTGCGGCTAAAACGCGTGCTCAGCACTTGTCCATAAGAGCACCTCCAAACAGTCTCAGAACGCCTCCTGCGGAAGATGAGGTGCCGTGGACTCTCCGCAAGGCACAAGAGCCGTGCAAGCACGGCTCTGCGACATTTGTTTTCACAAGAGGGTTCCCATAGATGAGCCATTGCCAGTCCGCGTGTTTAGGTTGAACCGGCTTTTCAGGCTCCCCACGTATGCCTCGTGCAGCTTCACCAAGAAACTGTCGTCCGTCTGGAACGAGCAATCATAAAGAATATGTGTTTCAAGGGGAACCCCGTCTCAGATACGTATCTCTACTTTTGAGCAGATTTTTATGAATATTTTGCAGCTTACGTATTTATATGTCCTGGTTACAAATTTGAAATTGTTTTCTTTTACTGAAATTGCAGTTCCAAAAGTATTCAAAATTTCATGTACCCTGATAAAAGTAAGACTTACAGTAGATTCTCATTAAATAGAACCTTAAGGGACCGAGAAAATATGTTCTATTTACCGAGACATCAGTAAGGGTGCAGAGTAGAAGTACGAAATCAATCTTGTCAGAAGCACTAGTTCCACTTAAGGGGGGACGCGGGTCTTACAATGACTGAAAATGGAAAAAAAAAAAAAAGAATTTGTTTGCAAAACTTATTTGTGGGATGCTTGTGATTCTGAGCACTTACTCTCCAACTGCTAACGCTAAATTCACTCGGGAAATGCAATAAAATGGGCTTTCAAAGCACCCGGCAGCAGTACAATGCCCCTGAACAAACGAAATTTGTTAGAAGTTCATGCGCGCCACGAGCGTTGCAGCGGGCTGAGCGCCGTTTACTTGAACTGGTTTTGAAGCCGTTTCCTTTGTGCGCAATTTGCCCCATCTCAAAATGGCGCCATTCAAGCAGAATGGCCGCCATCGCTGGTTTTCTGCAGGTCATTCCTAGGTTGCTGATTGGCTCTCACTCAGTGCGCATTTCAAAAGCACCGTACCGCGTCTCCCACTGCCTAATGTGGCCGGCGCCCTTTTCAAGAACGCCGTCTCGCGTTTCCCATTGGCTGGTGTGAGCGATGCACAATTTTTTTTCTTGTGCGTTCGCCGCCCGTGGCTGTCCGACCGCGTGCGTCTGCTTTTGCGCTCATGCGTGTTTCTCGATGCACCATACTTCTGCCTTGCACTGGTAGACTTTCCACGCGATCGAGATGCGCGGAGACTCTTGTCTGAAACCGTCCTTGCAACAAGCTTTTGGAAGCAGTGAAAAGCGGGCTTGGAACAAGGAGGCGCAGGCTAAAAGTACATTGTCGGGACAAAAGTTTGGTGGAGTCAGTGCCCACACATTTATAATCAGCTCCGTGTAGAAGTAACTTAAGGGGGGAGGCTACCATCGGATACCAACTTTTTTGTTTATTGAGATATCTTAATGAAATTTTCAGGATAGACTTATAGCAAAAGCATTAGAAGAACTACAAAAGTTCATCAAGTTATGTTCACTGGTTTTCAAGTTACAGCAGAATATCATGGTAGTGCACATGGTTCTCTTATTCCAGGCCTGGAGAACTTTCAAAAGGTGCTGGAACTGTGAAATTAACTATGATGATTCCCAGATTGATACTCCAGGGGGTAACAGAGCCCTTTTTTTGAATTTCCTTGCTGAAAAGTTTTAGCAGACCATCAAACTTTGTGTTCGTGATTAGGATATTATCAATCAAATTTTGATTAAATATAATAAATAACACACACAATATATTGAAAAAATGGGCTTGTCACCCCGTCAGAAATTTATTCATGTACATAATAAAAAAAGACTTATGGAAATCCAATGAGTGGTTCCAGAGATATGGCTGGAATAAGCAGCCTCACTAGCCAAAAAAGTCATTTTGAGAAAACGACGTTTGAAAGTTTTGAGCACATAGGCAGTTCTAAAATGAACCTGCAGCGTAACTGGAGGTGTCCTTTGGCACTCTCTTTCTTTGCCGCCTTTTCATCTTCTCTAGGGATCGCTTCTTAGCCTTTTTCAAGCGCAGAGAATCTTTCTCGGCTGCCCGTTGAATGACCAGGTGGCCAGGTGTTAGCCCCACTGATGAAGCTAGCTCTTGGGTGGCCCTGTAGCAGCCAGCATTGTATCTTAGCACTGCATCATGCAGTGCTGTCTCCACAGCAATCAGTGACGCATGCTGCTCTTTGGGCATGAGGGACCACAGCACAGAGTGAAAGGACTCTGATGCATTCTGCGTCTTTGCTCCCAGGCAGCGTTGCAGAAGAGAAGCCTGTGAGAGCCTCTCATAAATGGGTAGAAGTGCATCTGCAACATAGCGTGGCAGCTTGTACGAATGCTTCGCAGGTGGAACACCGGTAATCTTGCTGGCATTGTGACGACACCAGGAGTCTGCACCCTCTGGGCACAAGTCGTGGTGCGGCTCCTCATCCGTCGACGTCACATGGTGGTACGATGCCATCACTGCCCGCCTCATTGCAGCCACATCATCGGAATTGTTCCGTAGGGCCCAGCCATAATAATCTGTCAACTTATCGATGAGGGCCTTTGTCAGCCTGCCCTTCCCTCCCAAAGCCTTGTCACTTTTCTGCACAAGGTTGCGAAGTGCAGTCCCCATCCTCTTCTGAACGTGGTTCAGGCATTCCTCTTTTGAAATGGGGACCAGTCCATAAACATTTTCTTGTACAAGGGCAGAGAAGGTGGCACTATCTCCATCAGACACGAGCGTTGTGTAACGGAGGTTGTGCTTCGACAGTGAGCGTGAAAAGAGGATGATAGCTGCCTCAACCTCCATTCTCCCTGATTTAGAGTCGGTGTTTTTCTGGCACACATGATTCTCCAGCCAGCATGCATAGTCTGCGTCTCCAGGCTTTGGCCCTACTTGGCAACCAAGGCACTGATTAGACAGAACAATGGCGTCCAAGATAAGGCCCGTATGGTATTCGATAATTGCCCCGACTCCAATATGGGATGTGTGCCCACGCTTGTGCCATGTTCCATCATAACAAACTGTTATATCCCTGGTGAAATATTGATCCATTTCTTTGTAAGTGGCTTTTACAGCAGAAGCAGATTCTGCATAGAAATTTTCTATGCATTGTGTCTGCGGTTCCCTGAATTTCTTCAGGTGCTTCTGAAAGGTCTTGTGATGGAGGCCACGATGGGACACGTTCATCGCTGCCCAAAAGTCGTTGAGAGCTGTTTGTCCCTTGCCTATTTGTTTTGTAGCCATAATGGCTCTTACATTCACATCAAAGGCCTTTGTGTCATCCTGACGAGATGAACTCCATGAGCTTGAAACTACTCCACAATGCAAGCATACTAGCTCAAGCTTTGCAGCAAGTCCAAGTTGGGTGCCTCCTCGTACCTTCATCCCAATCGCGGTGCACCAATGGCACGGGGTCCGAGATAGCAGGTCGTCTAGGGCATCCATTTGCACAAGGAAAAATTTTTCGCCTTCACTTGTAGCGGTGGCAGCTTCATGATCACGCTCCATTGCCTGAAATTTCCGCTCCGTCGCTGGCATAGCGCCAAGTTCTCTTTGCACAGCAGCGCGTAGTTGATCCGCCGCCTCTTTCTTCTCGCACGTCGGGAAACTTGTTCGCAAATGCACAGTTGACGGCGCGATCGCACTCGAGGCCGATGAAAGAGAAGATGCGGAAGCCACTGTCGATGAGCACGAGACACCAGGCGCACTTGTAACGACAAATTCTTGCACCGGCGGAGCAGGAGTCCCGTTGCTAGGCACGTTGATGCGACCACTCTCTTGCGTAGATGAAGCAGAAGCTGCCCCACAGGTACCGTCGGCGCGATCACCGTCGGCGCACGTGCGAGCGGAGAGCCTCGCCGCGCGAACAAGCTTCATAGCTCGCTTCCTTGCACCGAACGATTGTAGCGTCTTCTTTTTCGTTGGGCGCATCGTGAGCGAACACAACAACGATCTCGTATAGACGGTTGAAAATCGTCTCGTAAAGACGGTGGAAAATCGTTTCGAAGACAGTTGAAACGTGGAGAGTATGCGAACGGCTGCAACGATACACGGAAGCGAGCGGAACACAAAGACGCCGGACGGAGGAGCAGCAGACGAGCGGCCGCATCGGCCGCATTATGCGCAAGAGCACTACGTCATCGCGCGCAGCAGCCAATGGCAGTCGCGGGCTCCCCCGCGTCCTTGGGGAGCGCGCGCTTCGCCCAATCCCAGCTGCGCGCCTCAGCCGCGGGAAACTTGAAAGCTCTCGCGAGCCCTCCAATCATGAGCGGCTTGCTCCTCTCCTGCGCTGCCGCCGGCGATGCAGGTGGCGGGGAAAGAAAGAGCAAGAATTCACAAACAAAACAACACCAAAATGGCGGCGCTCCGTCGAGCGGTCGAGAAACTGCGATCACGCCAAGTTGGGGTATTCTGAGCGCTCGCGCGCTGCTCGAGGGCCGCCGCGGCATGTTCTAAACTTTATTTCAAATGGTTTCGCGACGAATTAGACGTTGATATTTACAGAAAAGGTAGTTTATGACACATACTGCCCGAATATGTGGTTTGCCAAAAATCGACTTTTTCGCGATTTTTCGGTTTTCAAAGGCCGCGTCCCCCCTTAAGTGCATATGCAAAACGATCGCGCGAGCAGCGGAACTTGAAATGCATCTCGCGCTCGGCTTACGAAGTCGATTGAGCGAAGGGTAAGAACGCGTCCACTTGATTTCATTGCGATCTTGCAACCGATCTAACCGCATCTTGGCAAAGTGCACTCCCCAGAAACGCTAAATCTATGCAATTCCCTGCACTGTTTTGGGACGCTACGTCTGCGCGTGGCTGAGTGTAAGCAATGCTCAGCTCATAGTGACCTATTACACAGGGCAGCATGCTGCCTTAACATCCAGGTGGTTATTTATTAAGATCTAGCCACTTAATTAATGCAAATCTAGTTCTCATTAATTTACAAAGAAACAGTGGCTTTAGTCTCATACCCCACGGTTTTTGTAAGATAAATACATTTCAGAATTATGGAGCATCAACACAACTAAAATTTTTATATGATTATGTATATCAGCATCAATATAAATAGTGACTCCACATGGCACGTCTCTGGCTGAAGCTGCATCTTAAACTGCACTAAAAAATGATGATGGAAAGTGGCTTAATAAACCCATAATTAATAAAACTTCACTTATTTTCTCATAATCTGAAACCTAATTGAAGTACAATAAAACTAATTACATTTCTGAAATCAGTAGAAAGAAACACATATACAGCACCTAATTTCATTAAAATATCTATAATTATAAGAAATCTGTACTTTTGAAAGACCAATGTCTCCTTTTAAGCAGCACACACAGTTGGGTAGCAGGTTGTTCCTGCGATGACTGTGCCTACGTGATGCCTGAATGCTGATAGCATTGACTGTGGAAGTCAATGCCAAATGGGTTCTGTTGCCTCTTTATAGCATAGAACAAAGCCACTTCCCGATATGTTCTGCAAAAGAACACAGAGTTTCACGGCTTGACGTTCACAAGCAACAACTGCTTGAGGCTGTAACGTGGCCCACATTTAAATCTGAGAACGTGTTTTTGTACATAAACTGGCCCACCACTGCGTGCTTTTGGCCAAACATTAAAGTGCGCACATGAGAACCCGAATATAAAAAGCCGTAACTACCGTTTGCTGTCTGGACACTAAAATGCTAATCTGTGAACAAAAGGAAAGTTAGCAATTGGTCACCTGTAACATGTGGACCAGAGCATCCTTCAGTTGATCCTTTGTCAATGCACTCACAGGCTCCTGTTTTTTGGCCACCACATCACCATTCATGAACATACCTGCAAAAGTGGTAGTACCCAAAATCAAGCAACGCACTGTTAAATACCCCATAAATCTCCAAGGTGCAATAGAGTAATTTCCTGCAACATATTCAATTTTCCCACATATATCCAACCTAATTCATGCGATATCACAAATGCTTCCAACTTTCCTTTACAGGGGCTTTGCAACACTTTTCAAACTACCCATTGCGTGGCTTCATTAAAAGAGTTCATCGCCCGGTAATCAACCGGTGCAAAAATTTTCAGAATTTGTCAAGTATAATTGAAAGTACAACTATTTTTTCGCATGCTGTAATGGCTTTCTCTCTTCCATTGCTCGACGAGCACGCCGGAAGCTGAGCAGTCAGGGATGGCACGAGAAAACGAAGTTACGTCACATGCGCGTCATCACCTTGAGCGCCTTTTTTTCTTTCTTTTTCAAATGTGCCGTTTACTTTTAGTGAGTTCACGAGTCCGCCTGGGCACATGGCGGCCCCATGCGAGCCCATGGTGACTATGCAGTCACGTTTGGGTTTGTGACGCAGTCATTTGGGTATATGGCATCACTTGTAGAAAGACGAGAAACCAATTTGAGCTGACGTTTGAAAATAATTGCCGATTCCAGCCCACAAGTTGCACTATGTTTGGCTCGCGTGTACCCAGGTGCCTCAACTACTGACCGGCAGCGTTGTGTCTGACCATGCTGGAAAAGTGATGCATGGCCCCTCTAAAGTTTGACTGTGCAGACTTCATTGGTTCTCTAACAAAATTTTTGTTGCCATTTAGAGGTTATAATGTGGATGGTATTTAATGAAAAATTTGTGGCTAAAGTTCTAGTCTTTATTTAAAATGGCAAATCAGCCCATTATAAGACACGGTTGAAGTCAGACCATATGAGAGAACAAATGACAATGCAATGTGACAACGTAAGTGCTACTCACAGCTAAATGCTTTCGTGCACTGTTGAGTTCTATGAAATGACAGAGGCACACGAACAATATGCAAGGTACATAAATAAATCGTGCTTTTAATAAATTTTACCTCTTCGTGGCGTACAGAGAATGATGTCTGGCGAACACAAGAGTACCTTTATGAATGTGGTAGGCTCTCAGCTGGGTTCCCATGTTATGCAATTTTCATTTAAAAAGTAGAACGCTTATTTGCAAGTACTGTGCACATGCTTTTCATTTGTTTTATCCTTTGTTCCACTTGTGCTATGTGATTTAAACAGTGTTAGTCTAGTCTAACAAGTTGATTGATAACACCTCACATTGTTTATGCTTGTACACTTCTAGCCTCTTCTTGATTCAAGAATCAAGAAGAGGAAATGGACATGGGCTGGGCATGTAGCGCGCAGACAGGATAATCGCTGGTCATTAAGGGTAACTGACTGGATTTCCAGAGAAGGGAAGCGGGTTAGGCGGAGACAGAAAGTTAGGTGGGCATATGCGATTAAGAAGTTTGCGGGTATAAAATGGCAGCAGCAAGCACAGGACCGAGTTGGCTCGTGGAACATGAGCGAGACCTTTGTCCTGCAGTGGACGTAGTCAGGCTGCTAATGATGATGACTTCTAGCCTTACTTTACGATACTTAGAGAGCCTGTATACTGTCACTACAACAGAAGAGGAGAGATGTACTTACTAGGAGTCGCAAACGATGCAGAGCCAGATGACAAGGAAGACATTGCAGCGAGTTGGGCAACTGGTTTTGTGAAAGCCATGGGTGTGAGCAGGGGCAGGTCTGATGCAGATGGGGCCTGCACGAGCATTTGAAACACATGACACACTCCTCTCCTGTATCGGATATTGGGCACAAATTTAAAAGACTACCAAGTTGAACCCCTTTATAAGGGCAGGGCAGCAGTTCATGTCTTTTATATGAGATGTCTCTTATAAGCAGGGTACCACGTATGCATTTTCTTATTCACCCGCATTTTACTGTAGGCAAATTGGTGTCTCTCATACAGACAGTGAAATGTGGCACACATTTTTGCCAGAAGTGAGTCGTTGGGCTAGTTGGTCAAACAAGTTAAAAGGTAAAAACAGCGCAAACTAGAAGAGACAAACCAAGAAACGCTCGTCTTCTCTGTTGTTTCTTCGTTTGTCTCTACTAGTTTGCGCTGTTTTTCCCTTTTACAAATTTTTGCTGTTGAGGCACACAAAAGCATTCTGACTGGTGCTATGACTAAGAGCTACAAATGTGCAGTACAGGCAGCAGAACCAGATGTGGAACTCGACTGTAGCTATCAACCCTGGCACAAAGCAACAAGAAAAAAAAAGAAAGGGAGGGGGGCCTTATTCTTTGGGAAAAATGAGGGCAAGCTAAGCTGTCATGTGTTCTATCACACTGTGCAATGCTCCATCCTAAATAATCCCTTCCTCTATGCTCACAATTGGACCTTCTCTGGCACACTTCTCTGGCAACAGGCGACAATGAGATGTGGCAACGTGCAATATGACAAGTGACCTCGATAAGATAGATTTCTATATCAGAAACACTTGATTGCTGACAAGGTCACAATAGTGAGAGCATCAGTTACACTGAAACCTCATCATAACAAAGTTGCATCATACAAAAATAAAGGTTCATTATAACTGAAAATTCATCATAAAATTTATTCCTAACACTGTGTCTATTGCAAGGCTATTTTTCATTTGCTTCGTTATAGCTGATATTCCGTATAAACACAGTGTGTACTAATAGGCATGTTAAGGCCGCATCTTTGAGAGCAGGCTATATTTATACACCCACAGTTCCATAAACTTGCCAGAGCTGAGCTTTTGGTGAACTATGTCATCCGTTATCTGCACCTATGGAAGCTTTAACTAAAAAGGGGAGTAAGCTGCACCAGACAATAGGCGTTTCCAAAGTAAAGTACTCACCGATCGAGATGCAGCACCAAACTTTTTTAGAACTTATAACAACTGGTGTGTGAAATTGATCAAAATCACCCCGTCAGGTCTTGACGAATCTGGTCTCTAAAGATAATTCTGGCTCTGATCTAAGCATTCCGAATTGGAATTAAGGGAAGACGTGGCAATGGAAATTATAAATTTGGTCAAAACGATCAGCTTTTGAATTAAATTTTTTTCTGTAATCCTGAGACCACGTTTTACATCATGGTGTGATTTTAGATCAAAATAAGTAGGAGAAGTTGAAAAACAAGCCAATTACTGGTGGGCTGCCATCAAAAGGTACGTGAAAATAGGGCATAGCAAAATGCAAATTTGTTGCTTGCAAAGTGCCACCATATTGGCATGATCATAAAGAGGACAAATTGGAGCTCAAAATAGCCACAAAGATGCATTTCTCCAATGAAAAATAAAGCCAGCTTTCCTCCGTGTTCCGTTTTATCAGGTTCTAGCTTTAATTTCTTCAAGCTCCATTTTTCAGGTTTCATTTTTCCAGCAGTTGCCGTCAGTCATAACTGTGCCATTTTACAACAAGTTAAGCTATAGCCATTCCGTTTCCTGCACTTGAATTGTGAGACATTGGTGAGCACCGTAAAGATGTTCATATTTGTGTGCACATCATACAGATTTTTGTAATTGGCTTTTTGTAAAAGTAGTTGGTAAGACAATATGTCCAGGACATTTCTGAAAAAAATAAACAATTAAAATAAACCAATAGTATTACAGCACAAAATAGATGCCTTGTAAATATCCTTATGCAAAAATTGACGGACTTGTGTCTAACTAGCTACTTATCTTACGGTGTTTTAACTCAGAAGTTATATTAGATAGCTCTAGACCGATGTCGGTTGTGATATCAGCACAACAAATGACATCTGCATGCCGAATTTCATCCCAGCAGCTTCATAAATAACAAAGATAATTTTCATTGCCGCGTCCTCCCTCAAGCTAGTATGACCCAAACCGCAGACAGTCGAAACGAACAGTATGCACATTTCTTAACCCTAAATTAAGAAGTGAAATTTATGGGCTCGTTTGTCTTTTCTTAGGGGGGACGTGCCTTTGGAAACGAACCTTCTTGTTTCTGGTTGGATATTGATGAAAATTGGCACTAAGGTACTAAGAAATGCCTCACAGTGTTTCCATAAGAATTTCGAGGCGATAACCACAAAAACCTAATGAGGAGAAAATTATGTTTTCATTGAACCTCGTGGAGGGGCTGGAGGATTTACAAAGTGACAAAAATAGTTGGTTATTACTGTACGCACAGCCAAATCCAAGCTCAAGGGGCCTGCATATTCAAAATAATTTTTTTGCTACACTAAAACTTGTAGTTAACGTTCTCTCCAGCGACACTGCAATGAGCACACTTGCACTACAAACAAGAAGCTCTACAAAAAGTTTTCAAGGAGTAAAATAAGAACTAAAGATTGCAGTCCATGAAGCACAGTTCAAGAAGCATTACCAAACAAACGGAATCAAAATCTGTGAAGTAGTTGCCAAGATATCTGGTCCACCAGCTGAGACTAATTAAAAAAAAAAAAACAGTATTAAGAAAACTGCGTTTGAAGTTTCACCTTCTCTTACGTTACTAAAACACCTAAAAATAGTTATCTTAGGTCTGTCTTGCGATATTTGACTTCTTGGGCATGTGGCCTCTGCCCAGTGAACCTTTGTTGCCTAACTTTTTTTCTTCATAACCTTTATTTTTTTTTTGATCTACAAAGAAGTATAGATTTCAAACCAAGTTCTGTGTATGAAGGCCATATACTGAAATGATTACACATCTTTCTTGTGTTCAAGCTGTCATTAGCATAATTAAGTGCTTCTTGATTACCAATAATCCCTGAACATTTTTTATATATAGAGAGGTTTATTATCAGAAAAATAGCTCACACCATGACAGCCTATGCCTTCTTTCCAAACAAAGCTATGGGTAGAAAACTGGTGGCACAGAAACATTTTCACAGTTTATTTAATGACACGAAACGGGCATATAAATACATTGCCTCTTTTGCCACTCTAGCCGTGAAACGCATCATCATACGACCGGTTGTGGAAACGCTAATCTACTAGGCTTCATTGTCTCAGAACATTCATACACGCTCGCAGGGATACCAAGCACGGCTCCAAGCACGTCTAAATCGCAACACAAAAGCCTATTGACAGCACTCCCTATGACCGTGAATTGTGCGGCCGTGTAAGCAGTGCAGCCGGCGTGTGGCGCACTTTGCGGCGGCGTTCGATGACGCTGCACAAAATGTGTAGCTATGATGACTAAATCCGGTGCGCACTGCAGTATCGCATTTTCGAGTGCAGACGCAGGAAATTGCTAGCCGATGTTCTAAGCAATCCTTGGCAGTGGAGGGGGAATTGACGAGCTTGACTGTGGGTTCCGCTGCCTATGCGTATAATGCCCGTCTGAGGTACCAAGAAGGCAGCGAGATGATGTGCATCGTTGCTTGCGAAGAAGCACGGCGCCATGAGTCCGCTAGCGCATCATTTTTGCCCGCAAAGTTCATCTCAGCCATCAGCGGAGTTAGGTCTAAAGACGACTCCGATGACTCGCCACGCCCATAGATTGTGCGCCCGCTCGTAGTAATCTGATCGAGCATCCCCTTAGAGCTCCTAACTAAAAAGCATAACTATATCCTAAGTGATCGTCGAGCTGTGAACACGACACAAAGTAGCGATTTTCGAGAGCTATGTCCTCGCGATGCACAAGCAGCACATGGCGATCTCCCGGAGCGAGCATCGGGCCAGTGGGGAGGCGAGCTGGGGCAACATGGCCGCCACAGCCCATCAGGGGACTCAAAACGACTTTCAAACATTTGCATTTTGCGCACCTGTTTGAACAAGTGCGCAAAACATGAAGAATGAAATTTGAACATGAAGAAATATTCTTTCAGATGAGCCCAAGATGCCAGGCTCCTGGCCGTACTATTGTGAAGCTATAATTTTTTAAAGGAGCTGCTGTCTTGTGATTTACAGAAAAATGTTCACTACCTAGGAGAGTGAAACGAATTTTCTGATGCACTTCTGTGCAGTTTATAGTGTAGATAATTTGGAATCGGATAGAAAAAGGGTTCCAGAAACTGAAAACTTTATTATTAAAAAATCAATTTTTTTGCAATTTTTCGCGATACGAGTGAGGGTCTAAGAAGGCCAAAAACCGCAAAAAAATTGACTTTTTGAAGCTGACATTTTCGGAATCTGTACCTATTCTTGCACCTATCTGAGAAATTTCTAGCTTCTCGCGTCATTATTTCTGGCGCAAAACCAATTTATAACATCCCTGTGAGATGAATGTGAGCGCCAATGGACACTAAAATCGCTCTTTTTCCGCGCCGAACTGTTGCCGTTACACACGAGCTATCGTATTCATGTTCGGTCTCGTTTGGAAGGGTCGTTCTTCATCTTCAATTTTCCCGCCACCGCTGGCTCGCCTTGCTCATTGTTTTTTTTAGCGAAGACGCATCATCGAGAAGCACTAGCGCACAATTCTATAGGCTGCTTGGGGCATGTGACAAAACCTAGCCATCCGATTGGCCAAGTGGCGTTTTCGACGTCAGCTTCACGATCAGTGACGCGCACGGACATGCGCCATTTTGTCATGGTGCTACTGATTGCCTGCGGCAGTAAAGAAGTTCCGTGCTACAGTAATTAGTGAAGCAGGTGTGGCGATCGTTCGTTCGCTGTGAACTTCAGAATGAGCCCCTTTATGGCTCTGGACAACAAGGATAACGAACTCAGTTGTGGTCAACGGCGATCGCCGAGTCACTGGTGTAGGCAGGCCTAACTTACGTACGAGCCCGTTGGCTGCCGACAACGCTTACTGTTTTGCAGCCTCATCAATTAGAGGACGACAAGTAAAAAAGCAGAAGTGAAGCTACAAGAGATATCAATCTTTGTAGTGATGGAACAGAAGCGCAGTCTTATCGCTAAACGCGCCGATGCCGCAGTTCCCCCCACCTGATGAAAGGACCTTGAACTGCGCGACGGGTCGTCAGCGTGGAGTACTGCTGTGCGTCGACGAACAACAGAAAGTCAATCCGTTCGCGGTGAACGTGCTCGCCGCTCGCGCAATGGAGGCTACTGGCAATAGCTAGACTGCTTTTAACGACATGTTCGCAACGTTGTCGTGGTCTCCGCTCGAAAATGTGGCAGTCCTACGTGAAAAAGGAAACTGATACCTCGGCATTCGCGAAGCCTCGAAATTGATGAGCGAGGGACCAAGTTTGGTTCGTGGTAATTCGTTCTGGACAAGCCGGAAAACATCGCCGTGTCATTCGACGGATCTTGGATGACGCGCGCACATTTGTTGCACATCGCCGTCAATACAGTCACCGAACTGATAAGCGGCCTTGCGGCAGACGAGCACATGGTGACAACTTGCTACAGGACTAGAAGAAACGACACGCTCGTGCACACAATTAGTCCTATTACATTCCTCCTGGTGCATGTTAACTGACTAAAAGTATCTGTGCCATGACATTTTTCACTCGAAACGGCAAAATAAAGTTTTAACAGCAGTACTTTCGAAGTACAGATTTTGACCACTTTCTTTTGCTTGTTCGGTGAAAAGTGGACCTAGGACCGCTAGAGCTGTAATTGTTTTTGCACAATGTAGCTAAATGTGCACAAAAAATAATGCTGAGAGCCTATTTATAATGGTCAGCTTCATTTTTTTATTATAAAAATTTTTCTTTTTGGTTACATGCAATGAACTTTATTGTGCTGTAATTCGAGAAGTAATAGTTCAATTATCGGTCAGCTTGCAGCTTTGAACTCCTTTGGCTTTCTAGTATCCATATATATGTTAATGACTATGTAATTCTAAATACATACATTGTCACGGTTGAAAATTTTAGAATTCTTTGTTTTCTTGATTTTCTCAAAGCGGCGATTTTGTACACCTTGCATAAACATTCCTGCAATATATCGGAAACTATTACAGATAGCAGAATAATTTTTGTTTTGCCGCATGAAGCTATATGTTTGGAGCACACAACATAGGAAGCAGATTTTGATTTCTCTTGATGCAAGTTTTTAAAATTAGTCTTTTGTGTGACCACACGATGGCCACATTGAGAGCTATGAAGTTTAGTGTACTGTAAAGTAAAAAATAATGACCCAATCAGAAAAGTGCTACCTATGTTGTGTAACTTGTGCTTTCTAGTGTTGGTCCCTATGCTATTTGTAAATTTCGGACTGGTGGTTATTTTTGTATTATGGTAAGAACAATAGATATTGTTATCTTAATTAAATAATGAACTAATGAAGCTATATAAAAGATAACTACATATTTAAAGTATGAAGAACAGGCTGAGTAAGCTTGCCAACTTTTGTCACATTCGGTTCAAAATAAATGAGAGAGCCCTAAGACCCACGTCCCCCCTTAAACAACATGGGAACTAACGAACAATGATGGCAAGGAAAGTATCGGGAATGTTATTTGTAGTAATTTTAATGTAAATGTAAAAGATTGATTTAGTGATATGTGAGGTTTAACGTCCCAAAACCACCATATGATTATGAGCAACGCCATAGTGGGGGGGGGGCTCCGGAAATTTCGACCACCTGTAAATGTAAAAGAAAGAAAAGTGGACAAAAAGAGGACTTCCCGCTCACAGAGACTAAACCTGCGACTTCCAATAATGCCTCCGATGTTCCACGATAGTCCGATGATAGAGGATCGAAGGCATTATTCGAAGGTCGCAGGCTCAGTCACCGACCACCGCAAGTTATCTTTTCATCCACTTTTTTTTTATTTACATAACAATTACTACTAATAAATTTCTTATATTTTTCTTGGCATAATTGCCTTTTCATTCTTTCAGCCCTAAACTGTCTGGTTTCAATTCATGGGTATGGTACAAGTGATTTGATAACATGACAAGAAATTTTTTCCTCGCAGTCTGGTACAATGCAGTTTCCGCAGTGTAAAACAGCCGTTCTCACCTTGCACGGCTCTCTAACAGAGCGTGGGCCTCGAAACGCGGCCGTTGTTGGCGAGGAGCGGCGCTCGGAGCTGCCGATGCCAGTCTCCAAAATGGCCGGTGTCGCCACGGAAGGCAGCACGCTTTTCTCGGCAGAAGATGAGGAAGGGCAGCACAGGTTGAGCTTGTGTCGCAGATCGTCGCTCATCTCCCAAGCCGATATGTTGGCCTGGCAGGAGGCCGCACGCACGCGCGGCTGCTCACACGACACGTCACCATTCGCGTCAGCTGTGGGAAAGAAAGCGGCACGTGGTTGTTAAGTAACATTGCTCCCCTTTCCATTCTCTTTCACACTAATTTCTCATCCTCAACTGCTGAGGACCTTGGAAATAAAGGAACTAGATGATTGCCGATGGTCGTAAAAACATTCTTAAAATATGGCACAAACAAAACTATATAAACTTTGAAGAAAATAAAAAGTACCACACTTGGTTTGGCAGAAGTTAGAGCTCCTATGGCATTATCAAACAAAATGACCAAAGTTTCTTCACCTGATCATTAACTCCACACCTGGCTCTTGCAACTGCAGTGCCTTAACACTAGCTATAGAGAATTGCACTCACATGTCCCATGTCTTGAATGGCATTTCCCATGAAATGCATTTCTTAAACCTTGGTCGTAATCAGCGCTTCATCCCTCTCTTCCACTGTCCCGTGTTTCCCACTCTTTTTCGCTTTGTTATCACGTACCAACCAACTCAAATGAGCACTCTAGTACAAAATATGTCAGTGTTACAGTTTTTCGTGTCACTACCTCAACTATTTCTCGGCTATATATATAAATTAAGATTGCTTTCAAAATGCACATTAAATGCCTTCAACGAGTCAACGCAATCACCGACCTTCCTTGCGCTGTATCCGCTCCACGTGCTCCACCCGATTCTCGGGATTGGACAGCAGTGCTTGCAGCAGAGCATCCTTTGCATCTTCAGCTTCGTCCCCCGTGGGCTTCGTCTGACTAACAGCGGCAAAGAGAGACTCCACGCTGAGGGGCGTGGATGGCACCTGGGTGGTTGGCGCGGCAACGACACCATTGGTGGTCGTCCTCAACGGCGTGGGCTTGTGCAGCCCGTTTGGAGGAGACGACACACTGTCGTGGTGGCCGTTGCTGGCAGCCTCTGGTTGCGCACTGTTTGCAGTCGCCGACGGGACGAAGGTTCGGCTTCCTCGGCCCCGAGTCCCGTTTCGGTGCTGCTTTTGGCCAGTAGAAGTGGCCTCGGCTTTCTTCTGCATAGCATGTGCGATTCGGATCAGCGATGCACTCAACAGGAAGAAAACACTAAACCAGAGTCAAAAGCTACTTCTCATAATATGCATGAAGCCTCAGATCTTTAGATTTGTTTTTATTCCACAAATTTCTTTGTACAGTACAATGGATATTGAAGATGTTTTTACGTGGGCTTTACCTTTCACACCAATCTAAATTCAATAAACAAACTTTCATCAAGTAGTGCACTTTCTGGAAATCCTTCCTGGTATTAATAATTTCTGTGAGTGCAAATATTAGAAAGTTATGAATACTGAATTGGATAGCATCTTGTTGAATTGATCAAGCATAGCATTTAAATAATGTGAATATCATAATATAGGTGACGAATATGTTCAAGTGAGACATGCAACCAAATAAACATAAAATTAGCACCAATTATGCTAAATTTCATCACCACCGGCATAGTATGCATAAAACATGGCCACTTATGTGGTGCTTTGTCACTTGGTGACTGAGTTTTACCAGCTCTACACAACAACTGTTTGCCACTCAGAAAAAATCTGTGCATGCAAAAAATCCACCAATTTGTTCATTGATGCTCCACTGGTGCTCTGAACGCTAAAATTAATAATAAGAAAATGCTAATATTACCTGGGGTTTGATGTCCAAAAACCACAATATGATTATAAGGAACGCCGTAGTGGAAGGCACCAGAAATATTAACCACCTGGTGTTCTTTAACATGCACTAACATCACACAGCGCATGGGCCTCTAGTGTTTCGTCTCCATGGAAATGTGACTGCCGCAGCCAGGATCGAGCCCGTGACCGACGGGTCAGCAGCTAAGCACAACTGCTACACTACTGCGGCGGACAATGCTAAAACTACAAGTACGAGAATGTGAACATCATTCAAAATCGACATTGAGATGTCCGTTCGATATTATACTCATTTCTGGCACTGCACAATGCACTACCAGATAATGACACTCTTGAACAAAAACAAATGTACAAGAGAAATAACAACAAACCACAGATTAAGAAAAGTAATAAAACAAGAAATAAGTGGGATAGTTCTTTAATAGTTGTTTGTGTTACTTGCAGTTTATGTTTTTTGTTTGTGCTTAGTGATTTGCATTTGAGACAATGATAAATTGTTTGCAATTTTATATTTACCAAGTTGTTTATGCAATTTTACTGTTTCTGTGTGTTTTCTTATCTATCTAACTTTAACTTTGTTCCCAGTGGCCTGTGTGTGAACTGTTGTTACAGTTGGGAGGACCTGTCAGGCACAAACACCTTCAGTCCTCTTTTTCTTGCACACATTTGAATAAAATCAATTGAATTCAATTTGCTATTAAATTAGGTCTCAAGATAACACTATTCGCACGCGCTCAAGGTTATTCATACCCTGCCATATTCTTATCCTTGCGAAGAGATCTTTTCCACCCACCATGTTATACTGGTCCTTTGCCTTGGACAGAAGGGCCACAATGTCCTTGGGACGACCGTTCTGCGAGGCAGCTGGAACAGCCAGTTGAAGCTTGTGCAGGCTGTCACTCTCGGAGGCGCAGCGCTGGCGGTTCTTTGACTTGGACGACATCTCGTTCTCTTCTGCTAGGCTGGACATTGTCAGGCAAGGCACACGCAAGGTAAGGCCTTGTTTGATTCACTGCCCGCAGTGATCACCTACCTCTGACAAAGCTTCCCGACCCTTTCACACTCGCTTGTGTCGTAGAACCAAATGCAGTATATTCCAGCTGCACGAATTAAATGCATAAATTACAATCAAGAGGGGACCCTATGCAAGACTGTTAGTACGTCCCCTTAACCCTTTGAGCGTTTTTGCCAAATGCCTACAATAGTAGTTCCCTGCCTCAGTGTGTATTTGCTGCACAGGTACATTTTCACCTCTTCGTTAGAAATTTTGTGCTGTGATGGCAATGCATGCTCAGTGAGAGGTCCTGGTTCTACAAGAAGCAATGGGAGGTGCTAGTTGCATCAGCACAATGCGATGTCTGCGGCAATGTCGATAGGCAACACCCTTCTGTGGTTTCGGTTTCCCCGCGTCACCGCAATGAAGGTGCGCGAAATTTGATTTTTATCTTTAATGGTACTCCCTTGCAGGGACATTGGAAGTTCATGTCCCTTTCTATTGGCACTGCTCTTAGCTTCTTGATCACCGACACTCCTGAGGTATTGCCGTTCTTAATTGCAGAGTTTGCTCTGTCCAAGGCAGCCACACGTAGAGACGATGCAGTGTGTATGCCAGCACAACTGATTGCTCCAGGAGAGAACAATGGTTTCGGTTTCCCCGCGTCACCGCAATGAAGGTGCGCGAAATTTGATTTTTATCTTTAATGGTACTCCCTTGCAGGGACATTGGAAGTTCATGTCCCTTTCCATTGGCACTGCTCTTAGCTTCTTGATCACCGACACTCCTGAGGTATTGCCGTTCTTAATTGCAGAGTTTGCTCTGTCCAAGGCAGCCACACGTAGAGACGATGCAGTGTGTATGCCAGCACAACTGATTGCTCCAGGAGAGAACAAAGACGCGTGCCATGTGTTCAGATGGTGATAAGGCACTGTGCGTAGACCCGCGTTTTAAGAAATATCACGTTCTGAAACGCTACTAAGCGTTTTCTAGTTTGGAGTAATGCGGACACCAAAAACTGTTCATTTTTTTAAAACATTTTTCCAGACATTACACATTTTGTACATTCAAAAACTGCTGCAAAGTAATTTGATCACCTGGGAAAGTCTCCTTCCGAAAAATTGGACACTCAAAGGGTTAGATTTGTGGGGTTTAACGTCCCAAAACCACCATATGATTATGAGAGACGCCGTAGTGGAGGGCTCCGGAAATTTTGACCACCTGGGGTTCTTTAACGTGCACCCAAATCTGAGTACACGGGCCTACAACATTTCCGCCTCCATCGGAAATGCAGCCGCCGCAGCCGGGATTTGAACCCGCGACCTGCGGGTCAGCAGCCGAGTACCTTAGCCACTAGACCACCACGGCGGGGCGCACTCAAAGGGTTAAAATACTGTAGTCGGTGACAACCAAAAAACATAAATGAGCTCCACCACCAGAACGGCAGCATACCTGTCATTCAACTGTGCAAAAGCATCAAAGGAGGCATTTTTCATTGTAAATGTTGGCGCAAGAAATTCTCAGGCAACAGAAATTATTTAAACATATTTTCTTGGTCCCTACATGTTTCATTTAACAAGAGTCCACCATACTTCTCCACTAACATAAATATGTTAGACTCTCGTTAAATGAAATATGAAGGAACTGGTACTGGTAAGTGTAAAATACACTCCATGTAAAATGAGTTCTGCTTATTGAAAAGAGAAAAGGGGCACGAAATGCAAGCATGAAGTCAATCATATTCAAGAAACTTCTTCCATTTATGCATCAATTCTGTTTAACAGATGTTTATTAACTGAAAGTCTACTGTACTATGCCTGTTAGTATAAGTTTAACGTCCTCGCTTGAAACATTAGGCTTCCCTGAGCAGTGATGCCGAAACATTTGCTAGAATTTGCAGGAAGTTCGAGTTCCAGCACAATACTAGGACACGAACAAATGTTTTTGATGCCTCTATTACAACGCTTGAAAACCATGCCCTAGGAACCATAACCTGTACATGCCAAGATGCCAAGAAGGAACAAAAAAAAAAAAAAAAAGCGACTCACAAGCACTTTGTACAAAATGAACGGCGACTGTGTTTGGAACTCAACCTCCGGAGTGATCACTTCTAAGAAATTTGTTGTGTTCAGGCGGTTCATAACAATGAAGCCATGGCTGGGGGTCTTTGACCTGTTAACGAGATCAAGAAAATCCAAGCGTAGTGGATGGTCAATACGAAGAGAAATTGAGGCTTAAAAATAATTGCATCAAAATATTCATGTAGCATAAATTCTTTTTTTTACACAATTGAAAATGCAGTGCTGGCAGATGATGCACAGGAAAAGGACAAAGTTAGTCCCAAAATATGAGGAAAAAGTGTTTTTACTTTTTAACTTCTTTGGTCTTTCAAGATTTAAACTAGAAGGTGCAAATGCATGAAACGTTCGCTAACCTTACTGGAAAGTGTGTAATGCAATAAGAATAAAATCCAATAGCCTCTTCCCAGATGAGGTACAGGACAGCACTTATAGTAAATTAATGAAACTTGGCACGCTCAATTACACAACAATAGAAAACAAAACAAACAGTGCTCACCATGCAAAGATGAATAAAGATCCTTCAATTTCTGTTTTTTCCTGCATATGAATGTAAATAAAAAAGACCCTTAAAAAACAAGGTAGTACAGTTGAGTCTCAAGGGGCACTAACACGTAACTTTCAGTCATTGCTTTCTTTTGTGTGTGTGTGTGTCAAACAAAAGGTTAAGCCCTCAAGATCATAAAAAATGTACTGATAAGTACAAATGAAACTTGACAAATGATTTGCAACACTCTTTTAATAGGCCACTCACCAGGCCCCATACTGAATTTTAGTTAGACAGTGGAAGTTGTTTGGTGTCCGATGAGAAACGTTTTGCCACAAAAATTTTTCGAGTTGGTTCATTACGAGCGGAAAAAACAGGTTTTTTGAAACGGTGCGAAACGAGGCTGAAAAGAGGCGAGCTCGAAACCCTTGCCGCTCCTCCGCGTAGCCTTCGCAAGCCAAATCTCTTCCCCACCCTCTCCCACATCCGACCATGAGGTGACGCGCGCATGATGTGCCCGAACAAGCCGAGCCCCCGTGCACGCGAGCGGCGTTGCTTTGTTGACAAGCGTTATTTTGTGGTCTTCTGCCTGTTTCTGCGGGATTGTTTGGAAATGCTGGCTTAGACGCGGTAGAGTAGATGAGCACAATGAGTGCGTGAACACATAGGAGCATTCCACGGCGGTCGTCTACTCAATGCGCTGACCGCGGGGACGCGAACGCATGCGAAACGCTGGCACATTAGCCCCGCATCTCGTAGCATTTCACGGGAAAAAAGGTAAGAAAAACGCGCTGTTGTATTTGTTTCGTTTGTAACGCCAGCAAAACCAGCTGCGCGCGCACCATTTCGTTTGGGCCCTGTGCGCCTTCATTCCCCCTCTTTCCCCCCTCCCTTCACCCTCTCCTAATGCCAATGTATATAACCACGCTGCGGACAATAAACGCGGGGTTGACTGCCCGACTTTCGCCCTTGCTGCTTGGCTGCGCGCGCCTGTGATACTACAGTGGCGACGAGCCCGGAAACCGCCCATGCTGCCGTGAAAGTTGAAGCCGACGGCCTGCCGCAACAAGTACCGGCGACCATGAACAGCCTCCAGCTCCCGGTTTTCGACGACACAAGAGGTAAGTGGAAACCATACCTTGTTCGGGCTGAAGCGTATTTTGAAGCAAATGCTATCACTGACTCCAAAAGGCAGAGAGCACTTCTGGTGGCAGCACTCAGCACGCACACTGTGCAAGTGCTAGCGGGGCTAATTGCACCTCGGACGCCGAATTCCCTTACTTACGCCGAAGCGGTCGCAGCATTAAATGACTACTACGATCCCAAGCGTCACGAGATTGCAGAAAGCTACAAGTTCTTTACCCGTTGCCAACAAGAAGGGGAGTCGGTGCACGCATTCCTAGTCGAAATACGGCGCATAGCAGACAATTGCAACTTCGGAAGTGCGCTGAACCCGATGTTGAGGGACAGGATTGTTTGCGGCGTACGCTCAACTAACTTGCGCAAGCAGTTACTGGCACATAAAGATTTAACCCTCGAGGAGGCTGAATCAATGTCCATTGCAGCCGAGGCAACCGACAGCGATGCAAAAGATATGAGTGCAGAGCCGCCGACTGTGCTAAAAATGCAAGCCCATCATCGCTCGCTTTCTCGAGGTAATCGTACACTAGGCGCATCGCATGACTGCGGCCGATGTGGAAGCACGAAGCACGACCATAACGCCTGCCGCTGGGTTAACGCACGCTGCTATCACTGTGGGCGGCGCGGTCATTTGGCAAAGAAATGCTACAGTGCTCCAACTGATGCAAAGGTGGGAAGGCGGGCAGCGAGTGTAAAGGCACTGACAGTTGAATGCGCGTCTAGCAACGACCACCTGGATAGCGCACATGTTTGGACGTTGATTTCGGGAAGAAAAAACGGTTTGGAACCACCCATACGCCGCACGTTTCGATGGGGCAACGTAGACCTTGCCATGGAAGTGGATACTGGTTCCTCGGTGTGCGTTGTATCGCGCCAAGTGTACGATTAACACCACGCACAATGGCCACGCTTACAACCACCACGAATCAACCTGTCATGTTACGCGGGACAGCTTCCGGTGTTGGGGGAACTCGAACTCCCAGTGAAGTATAAAAATGTATCTGTGCCTTGCCTGCTCATCGTGCTTGACTGTGCAGGACCCAGCCCATGTGGCCGCGATCTCCTTGCTTTGCTTAGCAAGACGGGCGTTCCCATTGGAGACCTGACTGCGCCGGACCCTACAGCAAGCGCCGAGCCAAGCGACCCTATGCTGAACGGACTGCTTGGCGAGTTCGAGGATGTTTTCTCAAAAGACCTTGGACTAATCAAGGGTCCACCAGCCAGCCTAAAACTCAAGGAGACAGCGACACTGAAATTCTGTAAGCCCAGATCTCTTCCTTACGCCCTCCGCGATAAGGTCTCTCGTGAAATTGATCGGCTGGTGTCACTTGGTGTTCTATCGCCCGTGCAACATGCAGAATGGGCTACACCTATTGTAGTCGTTTTGAAAAAGGACGGGAGCGTGAGGATATGCGGTGACCTTAAGGTTACCCTTAACCCGGCATGTGAGGTGGAGCATTACCCTCTTCCGGTGATAGAGGACATGTTCGCAAGCTTAAACGGAGGCGAATATTTCAGCATCTTGGATTTAAAAGATGCATACAATCAAGTGCCCCTTGATGAAGCGTCCAGCGGGCTGTGTGTCATTAACACGCATCGAGGGCTTTTCCGGTATAACAGACTTCCGTTTGAAATAGCTTCCGCACCGGCCATTTTTCAAAGAAAGATGGATGCAGTACTCGGCGGGCTGCCGGGTGTTCAAGCCTACCTTGACGACGTGCTAGTGTCAGAAGGCAAGAGTGATAACGGAGAGCAGCTCAAGAGAGTGTTGGAGCGGTTCCGAGAGCACGGCGTTAAACTTAGGATTGACAAATGCAAGCTTTGGCAACCTTCTGTGACTTACCTTGGCCATCGTATAGATCGGCAAGGCCTCCACCCCATTGAAAAGAACATAGACGCCGTCATGCAAGCCTCGCGCCCGCGTAACGTTAGCGAATTGCGCTCGTTCCTTGGCATGCTCACGTTCTACGCACGGTTCCTGCCCAACATGTCGACTGTGCTCAGCCCCTTGTATCAGCTCATGGAAAAACGAGCCCGTTGGGAATGGCGGGAACCGCAGCAGTCAGCGTTCGAGAAAGCGAAAGAAATGTTGAAGAATGCGCAGCTTCTCGTTCATTTTGATCCCAACAGGGAACTGAAGCTAGAATGTGATGCTTCCCCGTATGGCGTGGGTGCTGTTCTGTTTCACTCGGCGGGAAATGAGCACAGACCAATCGGTTTTCGCTCCAGAACGTTAACAAAAGCGGAGCGAAACTACTCTCAGCTGGAGCGAGAAGCCTTGGCACTGATTTTTGGCATTTCTCGTTTTCGTGACTACCTCCTAGGTCGGCAATTCACCCTGGTAACCGACCATCAGCCACTGCTGGGACTGCTCAAGCCTGACCGCCAAACGCCGCCGATGGCCGCCGCGTGCATTCAATGGTGGGCACTGTTCCTAGGAGGCTACCAGTACAAGCTACAGTACGTTCCGGGGAAACAACTACTGACAGCAGATGCCCTCAGCAGACTACCAGCCCCGGCGGCAGCGGAACCAGTAGCCGAAGGGGAGCCTCCCAAGTACGTCCTGTCGTTGGAGGCCCTGGACGAAGGTATAGTGACGACGCACGAGTTGCAGGAGCTCACTGCCAAGGACTCGTTGTTAGCCCGTGTCGCGGAATACATCTTGCATGGCTGGCCTCGAACAACAAGTAGAATGGTGCCAGACTTGCTGCCTTTTTTTGATCGCAAAATGGAGCTGTCGATGGCACACCGGCTAATCTATTGGGGCAACAGAGTCGTCATACAACGGAAGGCGCAGGAAAGGATGTTGCAGCTGCTACATGAAACACACCAAGGCTCCTCGTCAATGAAAGCGGTGGCACGGTCACTGTTTTGGTGGCCAGGGATGGACAGGGAGATTCAGGAATCATCGTCGCAGTGTGTAAGCTGTGTAGAAAACCTGCCCATGCCTGCGGCAGCACCACCGGTGAGTTGGCCGAAAACGGCCGAGAGGTGGTCCCGGATCCACATCAATTTTGCGGGCCCATTAGCTGGCAAGATGATACTTGTGGTGTTAGATGCTCACACGAAGTGGATTGAAGCAATACCTATGATGCATGCGAACACAGCGGGTACTATTCGCTGCTTACGAAGTTTTTTGTCGGTTCGGAGTGCCACGCACAATCGTGTCCGATAATGGCACGCAATTTACGAGCCAGGAGTTCGCCACGTTTGTAGCAAGAAACAATATTATGCACTTGCGTACAGCGCCTTTCCATCCTCAGTCGAATGGAGCAGCGGAAAGAGCAGTGCGAACCCTTAAGGATGGCTTGCGGAAAATGCAAGATGGCCCACTAGAAGATAACATCATGCGCCTGCTATTCCATTACAGGAGGACCCCGCAAAAAGAAGGAAAGTCACCCTCGGAGATGCTTCTCGGTTACCAGCTGCGGTCCCGTATTGACACCTGCCTGCCGCCCAGGAATGAGAACTGGTCGCCGGGTGCTGACGATTGGACCATCTCGCCAGGAAGCAGCGTCTACGTGCGCAAATACGGTGCCGGCAAAAGATGGACGCCTGGACGTGTAAAAGCTGCGTCGGGGGTGACAATGATAGCAGTGGACACACCAAGAGGGTTAGTGCAGCGTCATATCGACCTAGTCCGCCGCCGCCGCGAATCGACGCCGGAGTCTGCAACTGCGGGGACGGCTGAAGGCGCGGACGCTGAACCTGCCAGTGTGACTATTCCTGTCCCGTCTCCTGCGTTGCAACGCACGTCCAGGCGGAACGAGCAAGAGCGAAGCCCAGAGCTACCGGCAGCGGATGGTCGGAGTGAGTTTTCCCCACCAGCTGCTACGGAACCTCCAGTCGCTACGGACGAACACTCGCCTGAGGTGGTCCCACATCAGCTAACGCTGAGGCGATCGACAAGAGT